CGCTCTGAAGACTCCAATCGACGATATTAAGTGACCGCCAGCGGTCCCGATTTCGGGGCCTTGCCATGCAGTCCTCGCTTTTTTTAACTTCGTCGCGAAAGACCCACTGACGACGGAATAGTCGGCCCCAGTATCGACGAGAGCAGTGACGAGGTTGCCGTCAAATATTACGTCGAGGTCGCTGGTTCGTCGTCGTGCGTTGCGGTTGGGTCGTGTCGTCGGGTCACGGCGACGTCTATATTTGCTCCGCTTCTTCCACGTTACGTCATGGCATCTTTTGCAGGCTGCGAAGGTTCGATGTCAAGACCCTTTTTGTCTTGCGGCGGGTGCTTTCGATTTCGTCGCGGCATCGTCTTCGTCGGCAGCGGGTGATCTTCAGTAGTTCGTTGTACAGCAACCACCCCTCCATCGGTTGCTGCCCTTAGTTTTCCGAGTAAGGGCTCGGAGATCAGCCCCGAACAGAGCCGGTGTGCTGCCCGCGGTGCCGTGAGGCGTAGCGGCCTGGCGACGGCGAACGATAAGGTCGTCGGGGTGTCGACTGCGCTCCCGCGAGGTAGTCGTCGATGCCATGAAATCGTTCACCCCGTTGTGGGCTATGCACGTTTATGCCGAATCCCCGTACACCCATCTGTCGGTACTGGCAAGGGCGGTAGGTGTGCCCGGCCTCGCCGCAGTGGTATCAGAGCGGGCGGTTGTCAAGGTGCCCGCCAAACGTCAGTTTTCCTCGGCGCACTGCGCTGGCCAGCTGGCGAACGGTAGGTAGGACGTCGGGGGTGGTAGTGGCGGTGGTGGCGTCTGGCGACGGGGCGGCGTTTTGACGAGGGCGTGGAGGAGGGGCATGACGGCGGGCTGCAGCAGCATAGCTCATGGCTTGTGGCTCCGGCTGTACTGGTTTGGGTGTCCGGAAAAATTGCTGAACTTCCTGCCGTAACACGTCGGCGATCGGGTCAACGGGATGCTGTGAGGCCGGCAACAATTTACGCAGCTCTTCCCGTACGATCGCTCGCATCGTTTCGCGAAGGTCGTCAGAGCCGAGAGCATGAAGGACTGGGTTGTCTTCCATCATTCGCCGATTGTACTGGCGGGTTCGCATTTAAAGCGTCTTATCGATTAATCTTGCTTCCGACAGGAATTCCTGGACGGTCTTCGAGGGGGGGGGGGGTCAAATTAGTCCAGCGAAGAGTTCTTGCTTGACCCCTCGCATGGGAAAACGAACTTTCTTTTAAAGGACGTTGGTCTTTCTTGGGGACCTTCGACGGAAAAATTTTGGTCTGTCTGTGTGTGCATTTGTCTGTTTGTCCACGCTTAACGGTGCCGGGTACTCTGAACGACATTAGCGGATACCACAAACGGCCGACCCCATCCGCAGCGTCCATGAATGTTGCTCAAGATTCAGCGTTCAAGCTTGTGCGATTGTCAATTAAAAAGCAATTATTATGCATATCTGAGGCATCATAACAACACGTATATATTCTGTATATATGCATCTCTTACTAGAAAAAGCATACATAGGTAATTCTAAGGACAGTAGCGTTTATCAGGCTGCACTGACAATGCAACGCTTGCACGAAAACGCGAGTGTTTCCAACGCTTTGCTAATACGACACGGTGATGGCACCTGCCCGTCGCCTTGCGTTCCACACCTTATCGCCTCTGAGACGGGTGCGCATGTCAGTCTTCGAGCCACGCACTTCGTTTTCGCAGAAAACTGCCAGATAGCGCTCATGTCTCACGTGTGACGTGACTTGATGCGCTCGTTCACCTCCGTTGCACGCTCGAGGCACTCTAACGCGGCGCCTCTAGAATACCATTCACCGATTTCTTGCGCAAAACATCAAATAAATGTTTTGTTCACTCTCTCCACACGAAAGACTGTCGCCTTTCGATTACACATTTGAAGATTAACATGCAGATATATACGGGGCCAATTTTTTTTTTCCTCGAGCATGTCAGGATCAGAATGGTGAAAAAGTCGCGCCATTTCTTCCACGAAGATTGTTACATATTCATTCGGAAGTTTCACCCTCGTTTCCAGCAGGGTCGGGCTTCTTTCTTTGCGGGCGATGCTCCTGAACGTACCTAAGACTACGCCGCGGAGGAGATCCCATGTTTGAAGGCAGACTCCCGATTCTTGAACCAGGTCCTACACGCGTCCTCCAAATAAAATAAAAGACGCGATGTATTTTCTCTTCTGTGTCCCAGTGGTTCAGGGCGGCCACCCGGTCGTAGGTCCCCGGCCAGGTCTTCGGATCTTCAAACGATGACCCACGGAAAGTCGGTGGTTCCCTTCGCTGCTGCATTACGATCGCGGGCGGTGGCGCAGAAGTTGTCATCGTTGCCGCGGTCGATGTCATGGTCTTCGTCTTCCCGAGTGTGGTCTGGTAAAAGCTCGTACCCCGGTGGCAGACCTTGTTACTGCGGCTAACTCGCTGCTGGCGTCGGTGTCTTCGCGGCGTGGGCTGGGTTCACGGCTTGACGGGCGCGTCCGGTACATGGAAGAAACAGCACCTCCACCAGATGTCACGGGATCGTGACGTGGTCAAATGGAGCACACTGCATGCCCCGCCGCGGTGGTCTAGTGGCTAAGTTACTCGGCTGCTGACCCGCAAGTCGCCAAATCGAATCCCGGCTACGGCGGCTGCATTTCCGATGGAGGCGGAAATGTTGTAGGCCCGTGTGCTCAGATTTGGGTGCACGTTAAAGAACCCCAGGTGGTCGAAATTTCCGGAGCCCTCCACTACGGCGTCTCTCATAATCATATGCTGGTTTTGAGACGTTAAATCCCACATATCAATCAATCAAGCATACTGCAAGTCGAATAATAAACTGTTTATTTGGGCGAACTTGTGCCCATGGTAAACGGAAAGTCGGATTGCAGTAGCAGTCTTGCACTGATAGCGGAGAACGGAGCGTCGGCCGTCGATCTACCGACAAGCGGCGAAGAGTGTCGGCATTTATACCATTGTCATCGAATATTCTAGCGCTATTGCTAGCGGCGACGTATATGTTCCCGAATAATCTGCGACGTTCCCGAAGTGGGCGTAATCTTAACAAAACGATCTACTAAAGCCTCGAAGCTTCTCGAACATCGTAGGCTCGGTTTGCGCTGAACGTAGCGTAACGGGGTGATCACAAAACTTGAGGAAAGTAACTTGGCAATACTATTTTTAAACTATGGCTCAAGTTACGTGGTAGTAGTGGTTAGGCTTATCCTACTTTCTGCCCCTGCCTTAGTTTCCTCTTACTCCAGCCGAGTTTCTTTTAATACTCAGAACATAATGAAGAGTCGGAACGGTCGCTAATTTTTAGAGTAATATCCAAGTGGAAACCAGAAAACGCCTCGTTCTGTGATTCTAACCTTCAATATTATAATGAACTAGATATTCAAGATCAGCCAAGATGATCATAAGGTCCCTAGATGAAACAAGTTATATATAGGGACCTTAGGTCCTCATGTCGCAGCTGGCAAACCGGCCAAGAGCCAAGTGTTACGTTAACCATTTCTATACCGTCAATCGTCATGCGATTTTATGCCAGCATTGCCAGAGTTGCTAAGCAGCTAATCGATTGGGTATTTGCTGCTCCGTGAGATTTCAAAGCTAAGCTTCTGCGCACTGGCCCCGCCGCGGTGGTCTAGTGGCTAGGTACTCGGCTGCTGACCCGCAGGTCGCGGGTTCGAATCCCGGCTGCGGCGGCTGCATTTCCGATGGAGGCGGAAATGTTGTAGGCCCATGTGCTTAGGTTTGGGTGCACGTTAAAGAACCCCAGGTAGTCGAAATTTCCGGAGCCCTCCACTACGGCGTCTCTCATAACCATATGGTGGTTTTGGGACGTTAAGCCCCACATATCAAGCTTCTGAGCACTGCACTGCACCTTGACTCTTCTTTAGATGACGGTTGTGTAGAGTTACAGCACGTTAAAGAAAGTGGCGTGTTAAGTATAGGGGGTATGCACCGAAACCAGATGCACTGAAAGCGATTGACTACTTACCCTATCGCAAATTTTACGGATAGCCAAGAAAAAGAAAAGAAATACAGTACATTACGTACAGCTTACCTTCGCAGCGACGAACTCTTCACCCATGGTTGGCTTCACGAGACCGCTGGTGACGTAATAATGACCACCCGAGGATATGTAGCCGTTTACTTGGTCCCGCCTCACCAAGTTTGTCCTTTGAATCTTAGAGCCGATGATATCCGCAAGGTGTACGCTAGTGAAGTAGTCATCGGAGAGCGCCAAGGGGTCTCGCCACATTGGTGATGTGCCCGTTGCAGACGGTGTGAGGCAGCGACTTTACGAGACCACCGAACAGCATTTTTCACAGCAGTACCTGGCAGTACTACGGCAGAGCAAAATAATCGGTTGCTTTCGTTACGTTATTAACACGTAGCAACAACGTGCTGCTGCCCGATCAAGTCCACACAGCATGCAAAAGTAGAGGAAACTTCCAACGCCACAGTACTGTTAATGCAATACACGAGAACAAGTAAGGTCAGGGAAACAAAACATAAAATACCCATCACATATACACAGTGGCAAGCATGGGTCGTCTGCTGCGTCAAAACCTCAATAATGGCGCCTGGCCACCGACCCGCTTTTTTCAAACTAACTTCAGCAGTCTGTCAAAAAAAATAATAATGAGTGAACAGAAGTATTCTGGTAAAATTTCACCCTATTCTGTTTATTTTTCTATATGTGCGACGGGTCAAACCCCTGTGGTCAATTAGAGGCATGCAGTAAATCGTTTTCCAAGATTTTAAACAAATTGCGAGTGTTCGCTGCCTAGCCGTTTATAAAATCTAGTGTCTCATCATCCAACATAAGGAAAGTTTTATTAAAAATGAAGCACCTAAGAAATGTGCAGATAAAATAAAAAACCAAACAAGAACAATTTTTTTTATGTAGCGCCCTCTGTGTTTTTATATGCTTACAACGTTTGTGGTTATCAGAACGAGCCTAGCCCAGTGTAAGGAACATGGACAAAATGATGTACTCGGCTGGCTTGGCGGTGGCGGTTTTGTTTAAACTAAGCTTTCTCTGATCGAAATGGATATAACGTTGTGGGAAATGACCGAAACGTACCTAGAAGCGGTACGCGATGGCTCGTGCTCGACCACAGTGTTTGATTTCACGTAGCCCGCGGGCGCGCATCTTGATTACTACTCTTTTCCTCCGATGCCGGCGTAACGGAACTTGTGTGGACGACCGATGGGTCCCAAGTATGAGGCTCTACGGAGCGATCTCACCGAAATGGGCTACACGGAAGCCTTCAGCCTCGAGTCGGCGCCTCTTGTTGCTCGACTGTGGTCGGACCTGTGCAGCTATCAGGAGCAGTGCGTGGATGCGAACACGGCGCTGCGAAGGACGGTGCAGGTGATCGATAAACTTCGTTGCCAGCGTTTTCGAATTCTGTGGAGACTAAATGTCTCTCCACTCTGATCAGTGGCCGTAACACGCTGATCACTTTTTCGTTCAGGAGAGTCAAGAGAAAGACGACTTGGCCGAGCGTTATCGACAGGAGAACGCCAAAGCACTCGCCGAGGTGAATCGACTGCACGCCTGCGTCGTGCAGTTGAAGGAAAAACACAACGATAAATTGAACGGTGAGTCACTCGGCACAAGTCGCGCTGTGCTTCTGAGATCGCATTTCTTCCAGCGGTATTACAATAGAAACTATGTTAAGTCTGAAATCGCCGAGTACTCCGAAGAAATGAGTTAATCTGGATGTGATGATTACTGTTAGCAAAATAATAATAATACAGAAATATTTAATTAGGCAGCTCTAAACTGGACTCACCATTATCGTATTGATTGTTGCGATATGTATATAACCACAACTACGACTCTTCACGCGCGTGAGTTTGTTTACTTATTTTTGTTGACTTGTGGGATCTGTGGAAATCTTTTATCTTTTCCCTTATTGCCTACTTGCAATCACTTAACAAAAGCACTGCAATCAGTCTTCACCTAATACAATATCTTCTTCTTCTTTTTCGGGATGCCCATTCTGTTTGAAACACTAAACCACCAAGTTCTATAAGTGATTAATACCATTATGCCTATAGGACCTTTAAAAACTTAAATCGCTTCGCACCTGTGCATATACAGACCGTGCATTGCTTTATAAATTTCCTATGACCACAACATTTTGTAGTGCAATATTTTACAGTCCTTAATGCAGATTACAAATTGAGCACAGCAGCCGAAAGTGTAAAATTAAACTTTGCACAGTTACACTTGGTTACATACAGATGTTGTTTGCGCATAGAATAAATACCAGAAACACATACACTAAACAAGCCAGAAAATTACCTAATATTGCACACATACATTTTGCAAGACCTGGTAGCAGTTTCCCAGGGACCGATGTCTCAGGCCATAAAATCAAAATGAATGCTGTCACTGTGCGGTGTGAATAACATGACCTCTCCCATCGTTGCTGACTACTTACAGATTTGGAAAATAGGCTTCACGAAGCTGAGCAATGTAAAAAGAAGTTTGAGTTTGTGAAAGCAGACTGCATAAACAAGATTAAACATCTCGAGAAAGAACTGCAGCTGAAATCCGACAAAATCCTGCAGCTTCAATCAGCACTGTCGACGCAAGCGGTTGTTCATGTTACAGGTACTGCAGCCATTTGCTTTCCTTGTCAGAGTGTTTTTTGCTGTGGGAGTACAATACAAAGGTGACTGCTGTTTTCCAACAACTGTTGCTAGTTTATTTAAGCTTGCAGATTGTGTGCTAACGATGACCTTCACCTTTGAATACGGAATAATGAGGGGCCCTTTAAGGAAACCCTGCTGGTTAAATTTTATATTGAGCTCTCCACTCTAGACTGTTTATATTTACTGTACAGCATTGGAATGTTAAAAACCCACAAATTAATAATTTTGAACTTTGGATTATGATAACTAGACAAATATTTCTAACTTTTTGAAGTTTCATGTAAACCTCGCTGCACATTATTAGTTTCAATAGCTCCCAATGTTGTGCTTGCTGTGGTATATACTCTGCTGATATTTTAGTAGCGAGCATAATAGTACTCCTTTATGTTATTGCCAGTTGGTTTAAAAGTTTTGTTTAATAAATTGTCTCACTTTAATGAGAAATGCTCACCTTGCGCATGTGTTTTCTTGTAGATACTGCAAAAGTGCCTGCATCCTATCGAACTCAAGGTATTGAACTAACCTCCTTGCTGCCAAGGCAGCAGGGAGTGGCTGGACGGAAAGCAGGACCCCCAGCAGCTACACGAGATGCTCAAGAGATTGACATTATTCGGATGGCTGACACAAGAATTCACCAGCTACAACATGAGCGACGAGACCTCAAAGAATCATTATATCAGTCAAGAGTTTCTGTGGATTTGCTGCAGCAACGAGTGAGTGCATGCGAAATTCAGCGCACAAGTGTGCAACGTAAACAATTACACCATCATCATGTTCTTTCCAGCCTCACCAAATTTGAACAAATTTTTCATACAACATACTAATTCATAGACAAAGGACTGAAGGTGATAGTCTAGTTCTTCACATTTTAAAAGCTTTAGGCAAGTGAGAAGCATAGTTGCAAAAACCTCAGTTTAAAATGTGATAAAGTGTAGCACATACCGTTATTTCGTAGCCAAGGCCAACCTTGTGTATCTCCGGCATTTTTTTTTGTTGCAGATTGAAGCACGAAATGCTGAAATTGAACGTCTCACACGAACCCTGCGGGAGGGACTTCCACACACTGCATTACAAGATGGATGCAGCTGTGGTCGAAATTTGCAGGTAACATTGGGTGCAATGTTTAAAAAATGTGTCATTAATCGATTATTTAATGAAAGTTGGTCTTGTGGGATGACTTGTAAGGAAAAGTGATCCATTCAAATCACTGACCAAGTCAGTCGTCATCGTCTGTCATCTTGAAAAGAACACCAGTCCCTTGTTGATGGTGTATTAGGTGCAGTGTCACAGTTGGCTTTTGTATTTATTTCCACACACACTCGAGCGTTACACTGGCGGGAAATCAAGACAGCTGAAAACACAGTAAATGACATATAACATAAAATACTTATGCAATACAATAAGTGTAAATGCTGTGTTGCAGGCCACAAAAAAAAAAAAAAAAGACTGCAGACTTTTGCAATATTATAGACATAACATTATTTTAAAAAAAATAAACACTAAAGAAAAATGCATGACTGAATAATTGATAACAGGGCAATAAAGCTAGCCAACAAATAATGGATTTTTTTCAGCAATTGATGACACAAAAGGAAAGATTTTTTTCTCACATATGCATAACATGCAAGGTCCGCTAAGTGGTCAAAAATATCGGGCATGGTACCTGTGTCCTGTTTTAGTGTTCGGTGTCACCTTAGTAGTTAGAATTCAAGCACAAATGTAATCCTTACGTATTCTTTTTCTTTTGTGATAACTGATGCATAGCCCGAGTTGTTGATGTAATTACGCTTGCTCACATGGTCAACGAATACACTGTATGGAGCAGTCGTTAAGACATCATGTTTTTGCTTCCCGAATTTTTCTATGTAACATAGTGACAGGGGGTTGCAGCCCCTAGAATCTCTTTTTGTCATAGGCATACAGAGTTGCAATATGACCATTTGCCTGCACGGCCCCACACTTTATATCAAGGAGGTGCCCCACCCCTGAAAAAAATTTTCGCCCACGCCTCTGATGCAACATAAATAGCAGCCCTTGCAGTAATCTGAATAGTAATGATACAGGACAATGTACCACAATCTCTGTAATGAAAATTGAGAGCCCATATTATTGTTAAGAGGCGGCCGTCAGCATAGTGATTGTGTTATCATGTAGATTACTCGTATAAGTGGTGAGTGTGTATGATTTGCTACATTAAAACATTGTTGTACCAGTAAACGGGGCAATGAGAAACATGATAACTAAATTACTGGTACTAGTACTACGGCGCACTGTTCACAGTTTATGTGAGTAAACATGTACCATTTTCATTTCCCAGAAATTATTGTGTCTAACTATCATGTCTGTGCATGTACAGCCTCAAGGAAAAGAAGATGGAACAGCTGTCCCTACAGAACAGCACTCCAATGAGCCAAAAAAGCCAGCCTCTGGCAAACAGCCGCTAAAGCAAGTTCGGAAGGTTAATGTGAGTCATTCGGGTTGGCTATCTTGCGCTTGCCTAGGAATCAGTGCAGAACATTCAGAATGCCCACTACAGTATTTAGGGAATCTTCCAAATGAGGGCGGCTGTCACCTTGTTTTATTAGTGCTGTAACGATTTGAGGCACTTTTTTCAGTTATTGCCAAAAAGTTAACAGTTAACAGCTGACTGCTCTGTCATTTTACCTCCAAACTTGGTCTCCAACACTATAAAACTATGAGATGCTGTTGAAAGTCTGATATTTATACAGCACAACGGAAAAAGACCGAGGATGCGACATATCAGGCTGAACAGTGTATTATTTCACTCTCCTTTATTTTTGTTCTTCATGCTATAGAAGTACTCAACCATTATTGACATGACTTATTTGCAATTTTGCTAGCTCACTTGTGTAGTGTTTCTTTTACTGCTTAACACCTAACAGACCATCGCTCGTCTTGGTAGAACCTAGATATGTGGGCCCTTTTGTTGATGCACTTCGATTTAACACGCCCCGCAGCAGTGGTCTAGTGGCTAAGGTACTCGGCTGCTAACCCGCAGGTCGCGGGACCGAATCCTGGCTGCAACGGCTGCATTTTCGATGAAAGCAAAAATGCCGTAGGCCCGTGTGCTCAGATTTGGGTGCAAGAACCACAGGTGGTCAAAATTTCTGGAGCCCTCCACTACGGCATCTTTCATATTCATATGGTGGTTTTGGGACGTTAAATCCCATATAGCAATATCGATTTAACACACTGTAATATTGTTCCAAGCATCTTATGCAATTAAATTGCTAGCCTACGTATATGTCACAATTTTGCTGCTTATTTTTTGAGAAGGCCTATTCATGCCTTCTTTGTTGCCTCTTAAAAATATGTGGCCAAGACAACAGATGTTTTAAATTCATATATCTCAATTCATATGACTCAATGCTTCAGAACTCAATAGAAAAACCTTCAATTCCTTCAGTCTAGTCAGCTAGTTCCTTCTTGTTGCTTGATGTATTAACAATGCACTACATAAGTACAGTACGCTTCAAGCAAATTGTGAGGCTTTCTTCCCTCTTTAATTTCATACATCAGTGCGTGGTGCACTAAACAGCCAGGCGACCAAGAGAGTTTAATGGCTAAGCTTGTCCTGAGAATAGTATAGATGATATGATCAAGATTTTCCTCACTTTTGAGGCTGGTTTTGTGTTGCTGAAACTGGGTGCATCCACAGCACATCATGGTGTGTGCTTATAGTTTCATGCATTTACTGCATCTGTGTCAGTGATGCCTATCCTGTTCTCTTTTATGCATCACAATGTTTCATGCTGCATGTGCACAGTTTGGCCACCTGCACCGGAAAACAGATCCACGGGCAAGAGACCCCAAGCCAGCAAAAAGTGTGAGGGGCCGTCTCTTCTTTATATTGCATAGTTGTCTTAAAGTGTAGTGAAGCATACTTGTTTTTCGCAGAAACGTCCTACAAGTGTCCCTAGGCAAGCTGACCAGCAGTCAAAGGGTCTAACACTTGAGGAGCAGATCCAGGCACTGGAGGAAGAAAAACAGAGGCTGAAGGAACGAGTGAAGCAGCTGGCTAGTAGTGGTTAGTACAAATCTACATCATAGATTATGCTGACAAGTTTCCATTATGCTGACTACCCTCCTAGAAGTCGTGTACATTTCACTATATTGTATATGTCAGTTTAACCCTTTGTGGGTTCATGAATATTCTTTACTTGATAACAGTAATTATACCTGTGGGATACCTAAATAGATTGCTTAGAAACAGTATGAAGCAAGTTTCATCAAAATATGACCATTAGTTTACGAGAAAAAAAGTAGGACGTATGTATCCCATTGACCCATGAAGTGTCTTTGAAACAGTGGGACAAACGTTCCAAGTTGACTTCAGCTCGCAGTGCTGAATAAAACTCAAATTCTGGTGCAGGGGCAATGGTGGCTTCATGGCAGTGCTTCATATCTATAAAAGAAAGCTAGCTCGCGGCAATATGCGGGTATCATTTTTAGAAATTTCTTCGTGAATCGCACCAGAGGGTGCTGGCTGCGCACGAGAAAGTACAGTATATGTTACAGGTAAAGCCAGGAGGTAAACGTAATGTCGTAACTGTGTTGCAGCATGCCTGATTTCTTCTTCATCTCTATATTGGTTGTGAGTCTACCTTATAACTGGAACTATAGTTTTGGTTTCGATTATAGTTCAACCCCCCCCCCAACTTTGTATTTCAAATTTATACAAACGGCTCGCCCTGTAAAAGTGATATGTAAGGCTTTCAATTCACTAAAACAAATATTGCTGCTCCGTTTGACCTGCTATGTTTTTCTTCTATGTTCGATCTGCTGTGAAAATGCAAAATTCAAAAAACTTTCAGGGCTCATTCTTTGTGGTTTCCCAGGGGACGGTGAAATGCAACCCAAACTGGTATTGACTAAAAAACTTTTAATATAATGTGGAAACAGTCTAACAGCACCTGCATGTCGTTTAGTATACCTGCTCTTTTGCCTTGCTCAAACAAAATAACTTGGCAGGTTGACTTTTTTGTTAGTAAGCCATAATTCTGCTTAGATCATGCTTTGATCACCTTAGACATCTGACAGAACAAATGAAAATGATTGCCTCTGTGTGTTTGGAGTGGCACAGATTTGGCTGCATTATCGATGATCTGTTCGTGTCCCTGCAGAACGCCAGTTGCTCCTTGAGATACAGGGCCTACTGGCCAACAAAGGACAGACGGCTGATCCTGACAGCAGTGAAGAACTGCGGGCCTTAGAGAGGGAGCGAGACCACTACAAGGATGAGTTAATGAGGTTACATCAGGTGCTCAAGATGGGTAACACGAGACGTAAGCTTCCATCATCAAGCGGCAGTGAAAGTGGAAAGCAGGCCGATCCAAAGGTATGACCATGCAAACAAGTGAAATTGAAGTACGAATCATGCATCAATGTGTAGATTCTAAAATTATATATACTAATGTGAAAAGCCATTTTCACTTAGATTAAGCAGAATGTAGTCCCATTCAATACCATGGGAGAGTTGGCTGCCACGAAGCTCAAGTTAATTGGTGACTTTTAATGTGAGTGGCAACGTATTCGCGGCTCTAAGTGAGCGCTCGCCACCTAGCGGTCGTGCCTGGAAACCGCGCTAACAGGGTCAAGATTAAAAGGAGATATTTCACCATGTTGCATGCGTTGAGAAGAAGCCACATAGTTCCTTTATTTTTGACATACCACAGGCGCAAGCCCGACAAAGAAGAAAGTGATGTCCAAAGACAATTGCAGTGTACCGCAATGCATAGCATTGCGGTGGAAAGATGGCAACTAATGTATCATTCTATCACTTCCCGAAGAATGCAGACTAGGCGCGGCAAAGAAAGGCACAAATCAGAAACACGCATTGTAAAAAAGATGACGGATACTTCAGTAGTTTGCTCCAATCAATGTGCTCGCAACGACTTGATTCTCCTTGCTGTAATCCTTTCTCCCAAACATTTTTGATTTCGGATGTGTGTATATACATGCACACACACGTGTGCACAAAAGTTTTGCATGCATAGCGTGCATGTATGTGCATCCATGTGTATATATATATCATGTCCCTGCATTCATAGCGTACCTAGTGTGCATGCATATATCTGCTTTGAATATCAACTACTACTCACACGAACAAGTGAGTGTTCGGAAACACACTGCTTTATTTATTAAAAACTTAATAACATGAATCGGTGAATGAAAAGAAAGGAGCACAATTACAATCGAAACTACAATTTGCCTTATTTCAAGATACACTGGCCCAGGCACAAATTCGTTCTGTAATCAATTGAACGGCATGAGTATTCAGTTTTTGACGCAACAACGGAACTCAATGGGATACATTCAATAGGCAGCACGAGTCGCCGCGTAGTTACCTTGAAAACTATTAAGGCCTTACCTGTAGCAGTGTAGCAACGTGGCGCAATAGTGCTAGCAACTTTTGGAGAGGCCCGCTACACGTGAGCAGTTGCCTTCTTCAACCTCGGGCTGCCTAGAATGGTTCTTGAACTTGAAGTAAATCTGATGCAGTCCGCCAAAGAGGCTGGATGTTGTTTGCGTGCACAGTGCAACTATTTCTGCTGTTCACCAGTGAAATTTTTATGCTTATGAGAATAAGGCGGTTCGCGGCCAGCACCTTTTCGTCTTCGACGAAGCAGCGTGATCAGACGCCACAATCGAGAAACTTCAGGATAGCGCCAAGCGAAAGTGCTGCATTGACCCTGTTAGGTGTGTTTTTTCGACCACTGCTGCCAGCACACGGAGCGTTTTCTGGAGTTGCGAATGTGTGCTGTTTTATATATAGTATGGTTATAGGCACCTCCAATGCTCTGGTCTTTCAAAGGCCTTGTTTCACCAATGGCACTCTGTTGCTTCTGGCTCACCTAAATGGATTTGACAAGTTACACATCTTCAGTTTACATAAAGGCACCAGGTGTAGAGTTGTGATGGCCTTTGTCTACTCTCCAAGGCAGGGAAACGGTAGCTCAACTGCCACCTTTCATACCATGCCGTTTTCATGGTTGCGTAACGTGTGAATTTCTTCTGATGGCTCGCTGCAGAATCTGGAAACAAGTAATCCGTCTGCGGAAGATGAGCAGTTGCTGAGTCGGTTGGGGTTGCTCCAGAGAGAAGTGGACAAGCTCACAGCCACTGTGGAGAACCTGTCCAAGCAGCGTGATCAGTTGCTCGTGGAGAGGGACAGCCATGCCCGCCAGCTTGCCATTCTCGCTGAAAAACTTAAGGAAAAGGTTTGTAGCTTCAAATCTAATCGTATCTAATGCTGTATCTATTTTCCGACTGCTACTAGGCCATGAGGACCTTATAATGAAAAAAAAAATAAAAAGAGAAAACTATTGGTATTATCAGTTCATAATGAACATTACGTATGTATTGTTATTCATACGTTACTATAGTAACTTTGCATGGCTTAGACAATAGGTCAATGACCTGCTGTAATAGAATGAACTAAAGGCCCTGCTGATAAAGACAAAAGAGAAGACAGCAACACAGAGCTCTTTTTGTTCTACTGTCCTCATTTTTGTTTCGTTTTTTACGATGTGCTTAGTTCATTTTACAAGACGCATTTCAATGAAGTAGCCCAGTTGTGTATTTTTTTGCGCTATGGTGGATTGTAAAGAATGGTGTTCACCTGCTAAGCTCAATACAAGAGTTAGATTACTAATTATATAAGCCACATTTTGATGTGGGAAAAATGCAAGGACACCTATATGCTTAGAATCGAGTGCGCATTAAGGAACTACAGGTGGTAAAAAATATATCTTGAGTTCCCCTCTGCTGCTGCATGCCTCGAGATCATGTTGCGATCTTTAAGAAACCTCATTATTAAAGTTGATCCGTGTATAACTGTTTGTAAAGTGGCATAAGGAATTCACAGTGTTAGTTAATTAGGGTTTGACAAGTACACTGTTATGTGCCTTGATGTAAATATTCTTTAGTCCTTGTATCTAGTAACGTTATGTTTGTCTGTGCTGCCTCCAGATTGTATGTTTCTTTATGCTGGATCCATTACTAGCAATAGGCTAAGACTCTGCTTTTTTATGCTTACACTGAAAAGCTTGTCTTGTAATGAAACTGAACATAATCTGAACTACTAACTTTCGCTTTATTTTTATTTTACAGGACAAAGATACGCAGACTGCCCACTTCACATGTCGAGCTACAGAGTCACACGTTGAGTAAGTCACCACCTATCTATATCAAAAAGGATGCTGCAGGAAATCAACCTGAAATGTTTTTTTCAACTACCTTGCTGGAAAACCCTCATGAACAGAAAAACTTGATAATTCAACAGCAGTAGCATGCAGCCTTTCTGTATACGTTACTCCATTCAGCTTGACAGAGTCAATGGCTCATAGCCATTTGGCATCAGACCTCACAAAAAAAAAAAAAAGTATCAAGTGAACTTGCACTTTGTGGCCTTGTGTGTTTCTTTCTCTCCACCTTCAGTGGAGAAGTCAAGTGAAACGGTAACTCTGGTGGCATGCATGGAAGTCCCAGGCACTTTGGCTTTCGATTCTTCTGTGAAAAAAAGAATAAAGAAAACATTTCTTTTTCCGTATTCAAGGTTGGTACTATTTTCTTCAGGTCCAGTACTCACTATTGCTAGCATAATTTGTAGAAAAGCTTGCTTTTGCTGAAGCAGGGGCGTAGCCGGAAATGTTTTCCGAAGGGCGGGGGGCGGAAGAAGGCATTTTTTAAAGAACTGACTTACATATGCATAATTTGCAGGGGTGTGTGAACATTCGAAATTTAGAATATCTTCCTAATATTTTTTTGCTATTCGATTCACAAAGCGATATTACTATTTGTACTTTTTAAATACAGTCAACGTCCCATTCTTTTAACAAAAGCCTCTTCAGATTTTTAAGTTGCTTCACCCCATGACATGATCGTGCTGCGGAAAAGATACCTGTCAAGTTTAGTTACGGACGCAAATGCACTCAAGCAAACGCTGCTTCGAACATGGAGATGATATATGTGCCAAAGGTGGGGGGGGGCTGAGTTAATGCTTCCTTGGACCTTAAATATGAACATGAAGCCAGAAAAATTGGATGCCAAAGATATTTAGCATCCAAAATTCCAGACACTCTTATATATTGACATCTCTGAGGCAAATCGGGAACTCTTGACTTGAAGCGAACGCACCCATGTTCAGTCGGGCTTCCACTAATTTTGAAAGAAGATGAGAGGCTGAGAAAACAGCATCTTCCCCTTTCATGTGTAGAGTTTTGTCGGCAACACTTTGGTTGCCCCGAATTATGCACATAAATACATTTCAGCCTCTGCATTGGCTCGTTTTTGATATGACAACTATGAAGCACCACCTCGAAAGCGCTTCATGAACTCAGCCAGAGGAAACACTTTCATGTTGCTATCTCGTAAGATTATGCTTGGGGATCTTCTCTAACTTTATTTCTGCAATATCGCTTCTAAGTATTAGAAAAATAGTCTAAAAATATTTGAGAAATATTCGAAAAGTATTAGATTCCATTCACACTAACGCTCCAATATTAGAATTCGCTTCACACCAAAATTTTGCTATTCGCCGAGCCCTTATAATTTGGCACATATCATCAGTGTTCTGAGGATAACATATGTTGAAATTGTTATCAGAATGGGTGTATATAGAAAAACCGCTGGAGTTCCCTTTTAAGGTGATAGCCAATCCACGTAAAGTGTGGCTGCTGAACTTTCGCTAAACTTGCGACAAAGCGGCTGTAGGCAACAAGGAGCCCCACAGGGCTGGCAGAATGAAGCTTAGGCAAGCCTGTGACTGCCCACCATTCCCGTGCTGGCTGAAACTCCATGCATTCCAGCTCCCATAGGCGTTAGTGGCAGATTTCGCTCTAGTGTACCATTATGAGACCCTATGGTGTCCCACCTACACGCATCTTATTTCAATGTCCACAGCAAGCTGCAAGATGACCTAAACAGCAAGGACAGCGATATCGTGAAGCTCACATGCCGAGTGAGAGAGTTGGAAGCCGAAGCTGCATCCGCAGCCGAGTCCCATTCCCGCCTTCTGCAAGAAAACCAGAGGCTTCATGAAAACGTAACGCTTGTGGCAAAAGAGCACAAGGTTAGTATGAAAAAATTATTAATAGATATTTTTGATGAGCTTACTTAACATGAAAAGAACAACTCCTGAGTGGTGCTACAAGGAAATAATAATCAGTGAATTTGAAGTTTTTATGGGCATTGGCATATGTCTGTAGAGAGCTGGTTTGTTTGTGCAATAGTCGACTACTACTATTCAGTTTAACAATTAATTTCTGCTCAGTATGCAGGAAACAATACAAGTCAGAATCAAATGTAGCAATTAGAAAATTTTACTCTTCTCTAATGTTGTATACCAGTGACGCTGGATAAAAAAAGGGGGGTGGGGGTGGAGAGCAGTAGCATAAAAGTAAGCCAGGTAAAACAGTGAAATAAATGTTCGAAAGCACAGTTTGCTGTTATAAGAAAGTCTGTTGTTATAACTATTCCTTTTATATGCAAGAGTACTATTGTGCAACACACACGAGAATAAGAATTTCCTTGAATGGCGGTTGGGCAGCATTACGCCATAATAAGCCACTGGCTACACTTGACTTGCACTGTGCCTGTCTGCCCGCACTAGTGACAAAAAGACGATGAATATGCAGTAGGTTTTGCTTTTGACCAGTCTTTCGATTATAGTTGGCAAGCTTGCTTGACATAAAAGTGCACTGAATATTGTTCGCTCATTCATTTGAAAGTGTGACCGTAGCCTAACAGTAGGGTATGCATAGTGGCCATTGCGAATACATTTGCGAGGTAGCTTTATTGCACTTTCGACATTCTAAAAAAATTGTTTCGAAATGTGCTGGGCAGCTGCTTACAAGGTGCCTGCATGATTAGTAGTGGTTAAAATAAATGAAGCATGCTTTAAGCGCATATCAACTAGGAACCCCAACGTAGAGGGTATTGCATTAGTATCACTAAGCTCGCACTTCGGAAATGTCTGCTTTTAAATGGCTATATATTTATTTTACACGCTCTTCTAAGATGTTAGATGCATTTATAAATGACCACTTTATAACAAAGTTCTTAATAACAAAAAACTGAATTGAAGAGGTTTTAATCTCATTGCTATGGGCCAAGGAAAAGTTGTTAGGCCCTTTTGGCCATCATTGCTGCCATCGATGTCAGTGCGTCCTGCCTATATCAGCAACTTCAGGAAGCCTATATTATCCGCCAATGTCCTAGCTTTATGTTTTGTTTTACCACATATGAGAGACATGTCATTTCTAAACATCTTTCCTCTTGTGTACAGAACATGGCAGCTGACTTCGAGAATGCCGTGCAACAGAGGAGAGACCTAGAACTTCAAATCCAGGAGTATGTGATTAAAGTGGCCAAAATAGAAGAGCTCCTGCGTACTAGGGTGAGTTTAGCTTACTGCCTCTACTGGTAATTGAACACTGACTGAGCAGCAAAGACTTTCCTCAAAACACGGTAACATATTAAATCAAAGGTGCAGCTTTCCCACTTAATATTAGAGATGGGAGGAAGGCGCTCGGTGTGGAGGAATGTATGAAAGGCTGGAGTTCTGGAAGTTGAATGAATGGTACATTGAGGGAGGTACGCTTGATCACTCGGTCGCTTTTGTGATCAGGAGTTGGAAGTTTACGCACAGTCGATTTCAGCAGTACGTTCCACCACCCTCGTTTTTAATCTTAACGCTCCTCCTCAGACAAGAGAGGGGAAAGAGCAGCACATTTTTGCAACCCTGTTACTGATGCCTCTGTACTAAATCATAGTTTATGGTTAAGCATCAAATTGCCAAGTATCAACTGCTATCTGTAGGCATGCTCTGGATGTGCAATACGCACTTATTAAGATAACGAAAGACAGGCTCATTAGCAATTGAGAGCGTCACAGGTAAAATACAGACAAGTAAAGGAACAGGCACTGTGGTTGCCAATTTTCAACTTGTGGAAGAAAAGAAAAGTGTTTAAATAATAAGTACATCTGATTTCAGAAAAAACTCTCAATGAAGCTCTTCTCTTTAAGCCTCTGGAGTCGTGTCGAATATGCATATAGATTAGAGTAGGATTACTGCATGCATCTTGGCATCTAGGTGTAAGCAGCTGCACATTTCTGAATTATTGATTTATCTGTGCAGGACCAAGAGAGGGAAGATCTCTTGGACCAGTACCGGTCTCTTATCTCAGCCAACGCTGATCTGCGGACTCAAGCCGAGCAAAGCCAGAGAGAACATGACAGCAGTGATGCCACACTCAATAGCCTGCGTCAGCAGCTTGCCCGGGTGAGACTTTAAAAAGAGGAATGGCATGCAAGGTTGACGAAGATGATGGGTAACTGTTTGGGAAGAACACAAAGACGGAAGCATTTTAATGCAGGTTTTTTTTTTGTTGTTAATGGTAGACTGAATTGTCACACACCATTCATAGACTAATACAGTAAAAAAAACTAGCTCGATAAATTCAACCGTCCTCTCACCGTCCCTTCTTGTTCACACTGTTGACATTCCTAAGAAAACAAACTAGTAGTGATACACTAGTAGTTGTAGTGGCTGGTTGTACAGTAGACTCACATTGAACAGAAATCTGTTAAACAGAACCACTGCCTAAATGGATTAAGTGCTTCTGACAAGATTGGTTATGTTCTTGCACTTACCAAGAGACAACCCCTCTCAGCGAATTCTTTTGAGCCCCGAATTGAACTTTTAGATTGTGTAAATCATTACCTATGGCTGCTTAAAACCTTGCACCCTTTTGCAGGGTACCTGTCCCTTGTGAAAGTGTATTTGGATATTAAAATTCACCAGCAAGAGCATCAGTTTTAAGTAGTTTTGCATTTAGTTCCATTTGTTACCCGTGCAACAGCTGTGGCTATATACCATGTTTTATGGAGAGGCAGTGAACAAGGTGTGTAAGGACCAAGCATAAATTTTACAGGAACCAGGAATACTTACTGGGAAAATGCCTGTGGCAGTACAGGCACCTTTGCTTTATCTCAAATTCTGCAATGGTCATGCAAGTCAACTCAGTTTTTTTTTTCAATTTATTTGTTTGTTTTCTGTTTGCATTTCCGAGTTTAGCTGACACTTTCACAGCTTCCTGCATACTCCACTAAGCACTGACTGGCAACCATATTATGATTTCTCATACTGAAGTCATTAAGTTAAAATGCAGCAAACTGATCTTTTAATTTACATTGGCTCTATTGAGAGGAAGACAATGTGAAGCAGCTAAGGAATTTAGAGCTGAATGAAAACAAACAAGTGCATGCTTACCTTTCGACTACTTGACCAGCGTTCTGTTTAGGTGACTCCTTTGTGTGCCAAATCACTTTGAAGACTTGCAAACATAAAATGTGAGTGTTACTTGATTCATTGCTTCTTTTCAAGCAAAGCTCATTGTAACTCACAGATTTTTGTGGCAACCTCGTACACGAGAAACTTGGCACTGACAAACATAAAGTAATGCGGCTCTCGAAGGTTCACTGGTCACTTGCGTATTTGTATGTGCCAGTGATTGATGCCGTCTTGATCGTGGCCTGGTCGGCTGTCAGCCATTTCTAGTCTGGCAATCTGATCTTTTTATCGTGGTGACTTGTCCTTTCACGTTGCCACGCTTCATTGTTGTCTGGATATGAACGCATGATCGTTGATGTTGCCAGTAGCAACAAGCATGTGGATGAAGGTACAATTCCCGACATGTAAGAAGGAAACGGTTAGGAAGGGGCATTGCACAGTGTCACAGAAAGAAAAGTAGTACATCAGGAACGCACATGCCTAGCTTTGCTTGCCCCCATTTTGCTGATAAGGCAAGGGCTTGTGAATTTTGTTTGTTCGTTGTGCGGTGCTGTTAGATTTCTCACCGAAATGCAGTTGGAATAGCTGGCTGGCTATAATTAATTAAGTGCCTGCGATTGCCTCTCTGCAGCACATGAGCGTGACATCAGAGCAGGAGCGGAAGCTGGCCTCACTGGGAGCGACAGTGGCTGCCTTGGAAGAGTCGCTGCAGCACAGCGCTGCCGAGGGAAGTCGACTGAAGGAGGAACTGCAGAAGAGCTCGGACACACGTGCAAGACTTGCCGAGCAGGTGGAATCGCTACAGGACCAGCTCGCCAAAGAACAAACTGTCAACAATCAGGCAAGTTTAAATATTGTATTTACTTGTGTAAAGATTGCATTCGCATAATAAATGCATCCTCAACTTTAGCCGTCAAAATTCTGGTTTTTCTTTTCCTCTACGTAATAAATGCACCCCCTACTTTTATTTGCTTCGGGGCCCCCTCGCTTGTTGGTTTTTCGTTTCTATCTTTCTTCTCTTCTTTCTCTCACTTTTTCTAACTATGCCGATCCCCCTGAGTTCGCTTCTCCCCCTCCCCTCCGCCCACTGCCATACCCCCTTCTTTGCTTGTTTTTCTTTTTATTTTTGTGCGGCTCGTTCCTCACTTTTTGTACTGGTTCTTGAAGCATCCATGCGCCGCAGCAGGATTCACAAACAGCTCCCAAGCTCACAGTGAGCGAAGGCCATGAAACTGCCCACACCAGCCAACAGTCACTTCCTGCAAATACAAAACTTTAAGGTGCCAGCAGTGGGAGCATGTGGAGACAGGAGAGACAGCTTGCAGAAGATAATGCTGTGTACCTTATCTACCTCCTAAGTGACCAAGTACGAGGCCTGGTGGGACATCCAATCAAAGCAGTGACACCGGCTCTAGCGTTATATTGCATTCTAGCCATTGTAGCCCTATCTTTTTTTCCCCACGAGCCATTCCCACTCCTTTATGAGTACGTTTTTAGCCTCTCTTGAGTTTCACCGTAGATGATGCGCCAAAATGTGTGCTGCACGGCTGGTTGCAAGTTAAAGATTGTGAAGTACGTACTTGAGCACCTGGATCGTGCTGCTGATAGGCACTTCAGAATTGAAAAAGTCCGTGTGCTTTACTGGAGCAGCACAAGCTGTGCACAACAAATAGGGAGTGCATGTCTTCGAGGGACCGAAGGCCAGAAAGTTTCACACCATGCAAGAAGAGCTCTTAGAACATGTCTGTAACTTGCAAAAAGAACTCTGTGTCATTTTGCACGAAGCGATCAGGCTGCACGTGCATGGCCATGAAGCATGGCCTAATGGCCACCGCTTTCAAAGCGAGTACGTAATGGGTGGGCCACACGCTTCGTGTAGTACAATCGACTGTGTTTGACATCACTTTGTCAGTGACTGTCTCCTTGCTATGGAGAAAAGGTAGTGCACTTTCACAAGCTTATGATACGCCTGCGGTGGGACCAAGAATTTCTTCTCTCGCAAATCAGGAAAGCGGACCAGATGCCCGTGAATTTCGGCATGGCAATGGGTCCATGATAGAGGAACACGCAGCGTGCCCATTGCGAAGGTAGACGCCGAGAAGGGCTATTCCAAACGTTAATGCTGGTTATTGCTGCAGATGGCAGGAAGTTGCCACCGTATGCTGTTTTGAAACAGAAACCTGCGCCGAAGGCCAACTTCCCAGTTGGCACACTAGTGCAATCCTAAAAGAAAGGATGCATGTCGGCCAATTTAATGGCTGAGTGGCACTAGACAATCTGAGGGACGGTGCCCTGGCGCTTTGCTTCTCCTGTCTCTCCTTGTGCTCGACAGTTCTTGGGAGATGATGTATGTCGGGAACTGAGGGAGCTGTGCACCGAGGCCGCCACCATTCCAGGTGGACTCACAATGGTGCTGTATGTAGTCCCCTAAGGACCAGCAAATTACTGAGCACTGTTCTCAGTATTATTGTCATTTGTGCACGAGCTCCTTTAAAAACCTAGTGAACTGCCTTTATTTTTTTTAACGTGCATTAGCAGAATACTTGGATAAGTTGTTAAATTAGAGTATCGCACCGTGTTCCTATGTATGAATTGCTTGTTCAACCTGAGGCATTTTTTGTGTCATTGTTAAAGCATTCACTAATCAGTACAAATTAGCATTCTGCCGACACCTGTTTTGTGACATGGTGAGGAGTGAAACGGGCACAAATATATAACCGGGGTGCTCAACATACTGCATATAGTTCAATGTTCTATCTATTATTCACCCAGAGGTCAACATTCCAAATGCTGCTCAGTTAAGCCTTCTGCTATTTAAAGCAAGCCCATAGTCGGGAAGCATGAGTGCTGTAGCTTCCCCCCACCACCACCACCATCATTGAAAAATATTCCTGGCTACAGACCTGCCATAAGGCCTAGCCCTCCACTTCAAACAATAGCTGAATCAGATAATTAAATTCGAAATACGGCTCGTGTTCTTCCAGATCTCTGGGCACTTGAGGCGCCTCGAAGATGATCTTTCTCTGGCACGCACTGAAGCAGCCACGGCTCGTTCCGATGCGACCAGCCTGGAGCGCCTGCTCGCCACATCTCGGGAGCAGCGTTGCCAGACAGACATTGCCCTTGAAAGGCTCTCTGCCGAGATGGAAAAAATGAAGCAGGACATGCAAGCCGGAGTTGCAAGCAGGTATGCATGCTGCCAGTCAATGGTTATATATAATTACTAATAATGTAGCTAGTAAATATAGCTCAACTGCCATTGTTTGTTTGATGTTGTTCTGTCGCTTTGTATTAACGGGTGGCGCCGTCAAATTTCGAGGCTATAGCAAGCTTCTTGTGGGTTTGCCTCTATATATGCAGACACTCCATACGAATGGTCGGACACAGCCAACATTTGGAATGTACTTTTATACACTTCCGAAGTGTACCTAAATGCTCACTTCTCCCGATCAAGGTTCATGTCCAACACCACCTCAGCTCTATAGAAAAGACAGTGAAAGTAGTAGTGATGTCACAACATATCTGTAGTGAGCACTAGGTGTGTGCCGACGTTCCCCATTAGAAGGGATGAAGGTTCATCGCTGCGCTACCCCTTTCTATTACGTCAATGTGTGGGGCTGACTTTGCACCCCCCTGCCCTCTTAGGTGACTAGGGGAGCGGCCACACAACTGGCCACGTTATGTTGTTGGCTCTTTTTTCGAGCCCAGTAATGTCACAAAAATTTATGACATCAAAACGATTTGAAGTTTGAACGTCAAGGTGGCATCGCCATCTCGTTTATATTTTTTTCGCATCTTTTGCCTTGCCAAGTATCATTTTATAGCAAGCGTAGTGCTTTCAGTGTTTGGAAGGGTACTTGTGGTTAACAGTACCCCCACATGTACCCTCAGCACCCACCTGAGAGCGTGCAGAGTACTTGCGTCAGCACAGGTGTGGGAGTGTAAGGACGTTGGGAAGATGCATTGTGCTGTTCGGCTATTGAGAGCATATGTGATGTTGATGTTCTCGACTTGAATGTCTGCGTCTGAGGGCCCAAGGAACACTATAGTACTTTACTAATATACAAGCGAAGTCAATTTTTTCATCTAATGCAGCAACCATAAAATTCAAAATGAGTGCGATGCATGCCATAGCAGTGACTTCCTGGATTAAATGTATTGACCTTGCATTGCTTAACATAGACTACATATGAGCGCATAAGTGTTGTTGCATTCACCTTAGATAAATTGTGGCCTCTGCAGCTAAAAATCAAACCCATTACCTTGTGCTCGACTGCTGAACACAGCAGCACTTTCCTGTCCTTATGAAACCTAGGAAACCCTTCTAAAGAGGACTTTAGAAGGGTTTGCAGTAATATATTGTTGTGATGTGATGACGATGTCATGTAATTCTGCTCATCACGATATGCTTCTGTAATATTCTGCTCTATTTTACAGGGCAGCTCAAAATGAAGAAAACAATTTCCTTAGAAGCAAGCTGTCAGAGTTTGAGCATGCAGTCGAGCAACTTAAGCAACAAGTGATCAACGAGCAATATGAAAGGTAAGAGAGTGATGCAGTGGCTCTGCACTTATTGCTGTGAGGTGTAGTAGTGCCTGCGTTTCGAGACAATACAGGGTGGACAACTCTGGCATCACCTCGCAAACGGGAATTATAGTTGATTACAACCCGAGAATAAATACAAGCTCCCCACAGATGCATCACTGTTTCACCAAGAGAGAATTCGCATAGACGTTTTATGCAATCACAAGTGCACCTTTTTGCGACTACAAGTACCTTATGCGTGTTTTATATACTCGGATGTTCCCATATACACACATGTACGTGTCGCTGATTTTAAAGAGTCCCTCACCGGGCCACATGGCAAACTTTAGTTATGCACTGGAGGCTGTTGTGCCCAAAAGAGAGCATCCTACACAATAATTTCTCGAATTGGTTTATTATGAGCAGAGATAAAAAAAATATTTTGAACCAGCTCGCAAAAGTTATGGGAGGCGGCAAGCCTTGCGCCCGTGCCATTTTCTCTGTCTAACCTTTACAAGCCAAAGTCCTTCCTCGCCTTCTCCTATACCTGAGGAGGATAATCACGCGACATACACATATCACCACACCACGCACACATAATGACGCGTGGCCCAGACAGGCCGTCCTTCCTCTGCAGTTTATGCTGCACTGGTGTGCCTCGGTGTCTTCCTCGCCCATTGTTTTCTTTGGTGCGCAGCGCAGCACCTTTAACTACGTTGCACTTGTTGTACTTGATCGTCTCATCTTGAAATGCAGCGTCCACGAGAAGCAGAGCAGAAAACGTTCAGTTTGAAGTTTGAACTTTTTTGCCGCAACATGCAGCGATGCAACTCTTGGCATATATGATCGTGAGAGCGCGCAACGTAAGAACTGTTCTTGTCAGCTCAAAATGGCCTGACCTAGTGAGGGGCTCTTCCAAATCGAAAACTTGGGCATTTTGGAAAATTTCTTCAGATATTCTGACATCACTGCGTAGCGAAAAACCATATCATAGGCAGGAATGATGGGCCTTTAGTTTTTTACATGCGTGATTTGTGTATTAGTACACAGGAGAGGTACCTACAGTTTGAAATAGAACACTGTGTTCATTACTCTCTTACATAAGTGATTGATAAGTGCCCCGCGGCTCTGTGGGCAGAGCTTTATTTATTCTTAGTTTGTAATCAACCATAATGCAACCATTTGTATTTACTGCAGTCTAATTGTAGTAATAGTGCCCATCAGGTCACATTTAAGGTTTTTCTTTAATTTTTGCCCGCAGCATTAAAACCATACAAAGCAGTTTGCTAGAAGCATTAAAACCACTTGGAAATGCTGACTCGCCCTATTTCTCACTTTGTAAATTTGGGAGATCAAACATGCCTTGTGCACATGTATCTGTGTTGAATGTCACAAAATTAAATTTAAGATATCTGCAAATATCTGTGACAATTGTGCTGCACAGGAGGAGAATTTTACAGAAATACGAATAGCGTCATATGAAGCTCAGAAGAAAAAAATTAAGGGGGAGAATCATTGCATAAAACGCACGATACTGGTTGCATCAGAGAAGTACTAATGCACATTTTTTAGCTTAAAAAAACTCTGCTGCAAACATCTCGCTCCCCAAAAGTCCACATTTAGGCAATATGAAGGTTGGAAAACACTTGAATTTAAAGTTGACAAAGTACTCTTGAAATGTCAGACGTATAGAGCACCACCTCTACAAAACAACAAAGTACTCTGGAAATGTGAGACGTGTAGAGCATCACCACTATAAAACAAGATCTGCTGTCATGGAGCAATAAAGCTAATGGTGATACTGATAAAAATTCTTACAGGACTATATGATTAGATAGAAATTAAATGACACCGTTATGTTCTTTGCTTTATTGAACTTGCTGTCTGGTGAATGTTTAGCTTCAAAGATAGGGCTCCTATTGAAGTGCATTAAAGATTTCAGAATAACGTTATGCATGCTTTAGTTTAGTTGCTTATAATGTACTGTCTTTAAATTGGTTATTCAACTGGGCTACTCAAAGCAGCGAGCCAGAAAGGCGTAGAGGCAAGGAAAGGCCAGAACAAGAACTAGGTAAAACACTGTATTGAAAAAATAAAATTCTGCCCTTGCATCTGGTAGCATTGGAAATCACTGGAACAAAGTGAACCAAGGTGTTGCAATGCATTCAGCTCCTATATATGTACTGAAACTAAAGTTCATTTGTAGAGACAAGTGCAAAAATAACGTATTCGGAGTCCTGTAGCACCCTGCTAGGATTGTTTTTTTATCGGTACAAGGCAAGGGTCTCCTCAAACACAAGGCCTGCATGTGACAGTCTTCATTTCATTTTTTTTTGCGACTTAGTGGCTGTTCGTGACATTGCTAAATGATAGCAGATGAGAGATTGAGACCATTAGTGTAGGGGCTGTGCAGCTTCAATTTGCACAAAAGAATGGACATTTGTGAGAATATTAAGTCTTCACCCCTTTAATATATCTGACAATACAAACAGCGCTACATAGTAGTAGTTACAGCATAACTACAGCAGCAAAAAACAAGGACAGGAAAAAGAACTGGCGTTAAATAATGATTTATTAGCAGAGTGGTGTACATAATAGGGGAATGGTGTCCACTATTAAATCATTGTTTAAAGTCAGCGCTCTTTTCTGTCTTTGTTTCTTGCTTCTGTAGTTACGCTGCAACTACTACTAGATTGCACTGTTCGTATCTTCAATTATGTCCTACCAACTTGCCCAAGTTTCCAGGGTTTAATTTTTCCTCACACACCATGACAAAATTTGGTTAAAAGTAAAAGCTGCTGTGTGTGTGTGTTCATCAAAAGAAGCAGGGCCATCGCACAACTCTTATTATAGGAAAAAGCAAGACATTTCAAGGCAGTGTTGAAGACTTCATGCAGAAAGTAAGATTGTACTCAAATGTGATGAGAACTCGTACGAAGTGTGCATTCTTACGGACATTAGTCATTGAACTTTTGTTCATTATCTTTTTCCTGTAACATTTTTCAATGAACACTTCTTTTGCCTGAAGGGCCAGGTTATGCAAACTGTCAGCTTATATGAATAGTAGTGTTATCCAGATGAGATTTGCGCTTACAGTAAATCATGACTGGGTAGGACTGGCAACGCTTTTCATGAAAAAAGTATTCACAAAACACATGAAATTATCACAAATGACTGGTAGAAAAATGGGTCATGTCATGGAGTGGGAAGGGCAACTCAGAAGCAAGACTTTACACAATTTTTGTAGGCCCAACCTCTCATCTAAAGTGCTGTGGACCCGAAAAAAGTCTTCTAAACATGTTTACAGGTAAGAAAAAAAAAATAAAACTCATACATATCATAAATTTAATTTCTGCAGGGAGAAGTGCAAGGAAGAGTTGAACCGACTGCACCAACAAGCACGCAGTGGACTCAACGGCAAACTTACGCTGCATGGCTTCACGGGCTCATTCCAGACGAGGCTAAACTTCAGCCCAGAAAATGGAACCAGGCCCCCGCAATAGGCTAAGCGTCATTGCAGCTTCGTCATAGGCACAGTACTTCATCCAGACAGCATGCACTTGCATGGCATTGAAAGCAACCCTCTCATTTGTACAGGAAATCATTTGATACCATAAGCATCCTCTCATATTCATTTTTTTATCAAGACTTTCTTGAAGCGTGGCTGTGCAAGTGTTTTGCACTGTAATATATCTTGCTACCCTTGCTCGCTGTGCTTTGGTTTTTATTGACCGAATAAATTTATCTTATACCTTTATTATCCCAATTATGCAATGGGGAAAAGTATAACTGAACACTAAGCGACACAAAAAGTTAGTCTCCTGCGCGATGTTTGTTCACCACCAACATTTGGTGCACTCATACACAATGCCCTTCAACATTAGCGTGAGCTTCAACTAGGTAGGCAATAGTTTAGCTACAGTAAGAATAAGGTGGTACGTGGGTTTGCTACTTCAGACATTCTTCTTGCTTGATGTACTTTCTTTAATGGGCTCAAATTTCTAAGCAACCATTAATAATGCAAGTTCTTATATTTATAGTACAATATCTTGATGTAGGCATAAGATCAACTTGCAAGACGTAAAGCAGAGGCCAAATGCACAAGATCTGGACACGTCATCACACTTGGAAGCCTTTATCATACAGTGTCTTTACTTCAATTTTTATTTCAATTTAGGCGTTAGACAACTAAAATAAGTACTGCAGAAAGTCCTGTTTCACAGTGTTCATTCAGACATTACAATGCCTAGTTCACAATAAAGGTTGCAGAGCCATATCTTGAAAATACAGAATAGAGCACTGCTCCCATTTTATTCGTAACATACTACAAATGCATAAACATACATTAATAAAGAATAATCTGTAATACAAGCGGTATGTACATGGATCTCTGTACCAGAGTTCCCATAAATAGAAGCGTCAATTGTGACCGTTGCATGTTCTCTACACTACCGACATTGAGTGCGGCCGAGTTGAGTAGATTGGCCAGTATTGCACATCACAGTGAAAACGAGGCACCAGTTGCCGCGGCTGCCTCTTCGGCTCAGGATGGATTGGTAAAGATTAGTTCGACAGCAAAGCCATCATCATACACCTTCCACGTCTTCGGCTTGTGAGGATTGTCAAGAACGTCTCTTGGCAAGTACAACCTGAGGTAATCAAATACAGTGGTCAAATTAGAGGTTGTAGCCTCTATTAACTCTCTCTATACACACAATTTCTGAACAGCATGTCCACTTGAGTTTGTTGGCTCAGTACTATGCACTTATGAAGAGGCAAAAACTGAGATGAGGCAGAAAATTAGTACTGTGCGACTATCAAAAATGTGCATTCGAGCATCCACATGATTTTTAAAAACTTTTGAAGCCAGAAAGTATGGAACAATGGTATTAGGTGCCAACGTTTTCTGTCCACATCTAATGCGAAAGGTTTTCAGACTGCTGTCATTGATGAATAGTATTATACTTCATTCTACTATGCCAAAAATTTAATGCAGAAGATTCAGATAGATTTTTCTGCTCTAGAACAACCAAAATATACTTTTCAGTTTTTCTTGACTGCCATAATAATTAACTTACCATGGCAGGTTCTGGCACATTCCAGTGTATTTTGTAGTGAGCAAATATCTTTTTGCCTTTACTGCACACACAACCCATTCACCCTTGTGTATAATATGCATAGTGCATACTTTGCACTAAATAAAGTTCAGTTGATAGCCAGCAGCATGCTCTATCTTTATGAGATTTCTCTTTTGCAGATCAGTTGACAGTATCATTTAACAACACATTTTTCTTTGTCATTATCTTGTCACAGATAAAATGTTTTGAAGTCAAAACTGACTAGCCCAAGTTTCAGGTTTAGCTCGACCACACAATCTCGCCCCTGACATGCGCTAACACTGCCTTACTTGTTGTCTTTGATGAAGCTGGTGTGGAACCAGAAGTAAAATGGACAGTCATCGTAACCTCGAGGCACAGATGGCTGCAAAAACAAGGGAATGGGGATGAAAATGCTTGAAGTAGTTTCGTTGCCAGTGAAGGCTGTCAGTGAATAAACTTACGCTTCGGCAGGAAAACTTGAATTTCACGTCCCCTTTGACAGCAGGGAAGTTCAGGGTACTCACTTCAAGAACATCAGCTTCAGAACGGTAGTGTACCTGGTAACAAATAACCAAAATTCCACTAGCTAAATGGTTTATTACATGCTGTGCTGCAGTGTTCCTGGCTCAGCCTGTTGCAACACCAAGGAGGTCATAACGTATATAGCTCACACTGTCAAACTAATTTTGGTAAGATTAAGAATCTCGGTACCAGGACTTTTTTTTGCATCGCTACTAGGTGTCGCTAATTCTCTGCAGTGGTGTAACCCAGTTGCTATGCTTTTAATTAAATGCTTCAGAAAGCACTAACCAGACAGTTCATTTGACGCCCGAAGTCCATCTCGTGCATCTTGGTCTTTCCTTCAAAGATTTCACATGAAAAGTCTGTTCCATTGCCTTGTCCAACACCTGTGTATTTTAATATGAGCCAGGTCAGAAGGTACCATTTAAAGCACATGCAGTCACCGCCATTTTGCTCTTTTCAAGTTGACAACTTTTGGGGACGGCACTTAAACGTAAGACATGATGGGCAGAGTCTACTGGCTGAGCAGTCACTTCTCTGAAGCAAGGCAGTGAACATCATGTCACATTAACGAATCCCCAGAGATTGTAATGTAATACAGCCTTTGGTGTCAAAAATAAATGTAACGAACTCACCCGATAGCTTGTATATTCTGATTTCCTTCACTTTCAATGGAACCTCGTCGGGCACCACTCCATCGTGCTTTTCCTTCACCTCTTGAAAGTATTCTACATACCGGCTCTGCAGATAGCAAACCAACAACACAGCACTCATTTTTAGACCTAAAATTTTGAGAAATGCACCAGGAAATGTCAACTTGCCTGACTAGGGGTTTCAACACCCTGGAACTTTGTCCCGACAGTCTTGTCTGTGCGGACATTTCCAAAGTACTCCAAGCTTGCCTTTTGGAAATTAATTTGAAAGGGTAATGGAATGCTATGAAATCTGCATGTTAATTATGTGTAGCTTCTCACCTGCGCAGACTCAAAAAGGCCATTGTGCATGAGCAGCATACAAATCATTGTTCCTGTCCTCCCTTTGCCACCTTTACAATGGACAGCCACTACATTTTCGGGATCCTCATTCAAGAATGCTTGAGCCCTTGCCACGAACTCGGTTGCATCCCTGCCAAGAAGACGAGTGGGAATTTACATGCAAATATTTGCTGTGCTTTTTCCACCTGCTCAGAACCGTCAAGCTACGCACCTAAGTAAAGGTACATTGTGATCATCAATTAGATATCGTTCAATGCAACCATTGAAGTGGCTGTTGTCGTAGGTTCGTTCACCTGGAAGTCGAGTGTCTGTATTAGTGTGGAACTTCAGTCACTGTACAATAGAGTAGTACTACATGGAGCATTGGTACTTGGAAATGTGTAACTTCATAGTTGGGGTGAATACAAATTTCATAAAGACACTTTTGTCATGAAGAAAATTAAGAGGCTGAATGATAATAAGTAGTATTAACAGTATCCCTCAGCTTAGCAGGACTCAATGCATTAAAAGTTCTCACTGCACATATTGTAGATGCGATAGTGGTTTGGATGTTTCGTGTTGAAAAATCTCTCCACTTCCTGAAAGAAAAATATTACCAGTTAGAAATAATATCACAATATTGACCCTCTAAATAAAGTACCAGAAATATAACAAATTACTTACTTGAATAGGGTTTCGATACCACGACATCTTTCCAGATGATGGATATGACATAGCAATGATCCTATCTGCATAAGAAAAGGTGAATAATGTGAGATATAATCCATTGAAGCAATTAATTCATCATGAAAGATGTGCCAAACTCACCAGTCACATAAACAAGGTCCAAATCGAAGCCATCCTGCCTGTACCGCCTCTTATTCTCAGACACCATGAGTCTGGCTCCTTTGGTCAAATTTTTCTTCTCTGTGTAGATTCGAAGGAGGCTAACTATTCGCACAATTCGACCGATTACCAGAAGTCTGAAAGCACAAACGAACAATGTGTCCTCAAGGCTGACTCTCAACGCTTGGAAAGCTGAACTTACTTGTAGTAACCGGATATTTCGACGGACACATAGGCAACGGTGGCAACGAACGACAACATGACGACAACAAAGTCGACAGCATTGTACCAATGCTTCAGGAACTCTCCAGTGCTGTGTGGGAAATGCATCATTGGATCACTCATGTTAAAGCTATGCTGCATTTGTATGTTAAAGAAGTGAAGTATCAAGTATGTGGCTGCTTACCCTTGTGCATACATTCGAAAGAAGATCTCGAGGACAAAGAAGGACACAAAGCATAGTGCCACGATATCATAGGCTTTCTCGACATGTGCCGGCTTGTTTGGTTGGCACAGGTCAGCTATTAATACACTTATGTCAATAATAATTAAAGAAAAACTGAAGAGCCTGTAAAAAGAATGAAGAAAAAGGGCAACAATATGGAAAAACTGCCATAGCATTTTAATTAAGTGCAGTACAGCTGGAGCTTACCTGAATCCCAAGTGCTCCACAAATCTCTTTAACATGACATGCCTGTGAGATTGAAGTGCCAGCATAAGTTCCATGCATTACAAAGACATTGTAAATTGACGTGAGCGCTCGGCGGCTACGGTGTAGCACTGCTCAGCACGAGGGCCCGGAGTATGTATGTATTATTAGGTTCATGCTAAAAAAAACCAAAGCAGTAGAAATAAACCTCGACCCGTTTCCCGACTATGGCGTGCCTCGATCACATCGTGATTTCGGCACGTCGAGATCCGAGAATTAAATTTTTTGGTGTCACGGGTCGTGGTAATGGACCGCCACACTTGCCTTGCGATCTGCTCGCTGGGTTGTTCAAACGCGCTGCTGTTCAGCTGGTGGTTTTTCTCAATCACCACCACCTCTGTCGGTTCTTGGCCGGTTGTCGTGCCGTTGCTGCTCGTCGCACCTATCTGCTCCATGCTTTCGTTCGCAAACTGCGTGTACTTCACCATTCTGCCAATAACCAATTCAACGCAATCAGTGCCATTCCAAGACGAAGAACAGGTGTGTCAAGTATTTCATTCGCACAGCGTTTACGCACGTCTTCACGCCCTAAACAACCTGCCGAGCTTTCCCCGAGATTTACACCTAGCGCCGCACCACCCTCACTTGTCCAGTTTGCCACGCTGTTGAGAAACTCGAAGGCATCGCCTAAAATGTTTCCTCCAGCAGCTGCTATGCGCAGTGTACGCCGACTGGGTGAGCTACGGCGAAGCGAAATTGATCCGCTTCCGCCCGCAACGAGAGTGAAACACCGACACCAAAGTTTATAGCTTTAGTTGTTATTTCGCGGTGGGTATTCTCTGTCACTTGTATACGCAAGCAGGTACGCTCTGACGCGTTTCGCATGGCCAAGTAGCTAGATCCGCCCCCTTTCCCACAGCAAACAAGTCTACGCGAACGCGGCGGTAAAGCTAAAAAAATAAAGCGACCAACGCACCTGCAGCTTCGTCGTAGCGTCGAAATACGAAAGATATCTAGGGCTTCGCGTAGAAAAAACGCTCTGAACACTCTTTAACAACTTAGGAAACTAGCTAGCAACTTTTCGCATCTCGAGCCATCGTCCCGTCCCGCGGCCGCGGCTCGCGCACCAGACGCCCTTTTTTTGTTGCTTTCGATTAGCTCTGTTCTGACCACGTGACGCCTCGAGCTGCGTCGAGATCTGAGCCGTGATTGGTCCTCACCGGGCCGCCAGCGCTTGACGTTGATTCGGCGCGAAGACCGATCATCTTCAAGAGTCGAACCGAACGCGCTTTTTTCGAACATCGCGCCAGCAAAACTGCGGGACGACATTGTTAGATGATGTTTGCATAGTAGCCGGACTCGCTCTCTGGATTTCGTGCCGACCGGTTGTGCCCCCGCGTTCTCCGACGACAGTGCAGCTCTGGCCGACTGGCTCGCCCTACGCCATCTCCTGCCGTCGACAAGAGCTCTCGCAGAGTGGTGCTCCGTTCTCGGACTCCTGCGACCGTGTCCAACTTTCATATCTTCTCCTTGGTCCTGGGTGTCGTTGTCCCTGCGCCACACTCTCTCCTCCCTCCCCCCTCTATATTTCTATACCATTAATCCGATCCTTTAATCCCTCCTTACCCCCATCCCTCATGAGCTACTGTTCAGGTGTCGCACTCTGATGCAGACAATTACGTGGCTCACCTTTATCTTCTTTTCTCTTTTAAGAATCACATAAGAAGGCCTAGTAGCCATTTAGTACAGTGTCCCGAATTAGAGTGTCGCCCCATACATCAGTTATAATACTTCTCGTTGACTGTAGTTATACGGTGGTCATAGAATCTAAGCCTACACTAACAGTACGAAACTCCACGGTACCCTCCGCCTTTGGGCACCCGTCCCAACAACAAAACACCGACGAACAAACCGCAAAATTTATTTCAAATGTGAAACTTCTTTTTTCCGAAACTGCAACGCTACACAAATACCACAAAGCCAAGTGCTTTCGTGAGCTGGTGTCAAACGCTGTTAAAAAAAAAATCCACCGTTTCCAGGCTGAGGTGCTATTTGTGCATTTTCTATGCAATTGGCCTAAAGATCACCAATGGTCGCATGAAAGGAATAAAACAGGTAAAGGCATATATTTGAAAAACTGCACTGGCTATTTCCCGCGGTTATCTAATCCATATCTTAATTTTATAGGTATATATATCTTCTGCAATGTTACTCACAGTTTTGTCAATCACTGTGACCACATGTTTTCCCTATTTTTACTGAATCATGCTTGCAAATGAATATCGCCCTGCTCGTTTCTTGTTAATGTTCTTGTTTTCTGTTAACCTTCGAAATAACCCCAATAGGTGCAACAATAGCTTTAGTTCAGTATGTTCCTCAGTCTGTGCCCTGCTTACCACTTTATATTATGCAACATTCCTAGCATGTGCTGTTGCCAAAAAAAAAAAAGTGCAAGTGCATACATTTTCGAGATGATTGTGTTGAAATTGGAACAAGCACTTTATTACAGTAACACTATGAAATAATAGGAAATTGACTGGCCCTGTACCCACACTTGCGGAGCCTTGGTAATCCTAATGTTCGCTTCGTGAAGGCTCGTCGTGATCTTCCTTGATGGGGCAAATCACTGCGAAAAGAAGCACTTCGCGCAGCTCAGAGTACGTCCAGGCGAAGCCTGAGCGTACTGCAGTGTTTTCTAACAGGTGCAAGTTCCATCCGAAGAGTTAGTACAGCTGGTACCTGTGACAGCGGCACGCAAAATGTCAGGCAATGCGAAAGCCACCTTCTCACCGTCCATGCACCTTGCAGATTGCGAGAGCTTTGAAGGCGTTGAATGGTGTAGGTGTTCTGGGGTTGTGCTTGCGTTGGACGATGTTTCGTTGAGAGTTGAGCTCCAAGGCCGGCAGGCTTCGTTTCCGCGCGATCAATCGACGTATAGCGGTTGCTGTGGAAGTTGCGTTTCTTGGACACATTACTCGACCTGTGCATCATATCTGTTCTAAACTGCGTACTCTGAATCAAATGCAAACCACTTTATCTAATGATAAGACGACCGATCGCGGGTAAGCAATGAACTTCACATTTCACAAAAAACGCGTTCACTGGCTATGTCTAGAGCTCGACTTGTTTACATGTTTGTTTAGCTTTTGTGGCCATACGAACGTAAACACTCGCTGAACTTTGTGGAAAACTAGTGGCTGTTGTTTTGGAACGTGTCTTTTGTGAAGGCGTGGCCTCCACATTTATACCGGTCGACCGCTTGTTTAGCTGTACGGTAGTTTTTTTATTCTCTTTTTTTTACATAATTGTCTTCCCTTGTTGACAGTGTTTTTGTCATGCACTTAACCTGCCCAGCAACGTTTCAAATTATGCTTCCAATTTAACTGTTCATCGTAGCTGATCAAAAATCTCATACAAGTACACACGTACAATATTAGATTTAGAACACAGCTTTAGTTTTAGAGAGAGAAGTTGCTGGTTGATCTTATGAGCTTACCGTAGGCTTCTTGGCTGATGCTAGGTATTTCTTTGGCATAGACAAAGTAGAGTGGAAGCACGTTCTGTTACGGACCATGCAAGAGTACCCAAACTCTAGCGCCAGGACTAACGTGCGAAGCTGGCTTTGGATGTCCCAGTATAAGCACGTGCTTTTTGTCGCTCGTACTCGGCTCGTGCGGCGGGCAAAAACTGGGCGCGGCGCCTGCACACACTGCCTCCGGTTGTGGGCGCGGCTGCTAAGCAACGGCGCGGAGTGGTTTTTTTTTTTTTCAGACACCCGACATTTTAACTCTAGCTTTACGAGCTTGGCTCTTAAAAATGGTGTCACCCTCCACCACATATTCATGCAGGCTGCCATCCCCCTCTCACACCGACTGATTGTTGCTCCTTCTAGAAATTTTCTAGCGGGGGTGGGTGGGTCGGTATCTGTGCATTAACACAAAGAGATCACGATGTAGCAAGGTGAACTAAATTGCTCGAGTGTGCAAGATTGTAGGTTCAGTCAGTCAAGAACTTTATTAAATGGTTCTGAGGAGTTTAGGCCACCGGGGTGTCCACGAGGGACACTCTAGCACCCGCTACTGTAGTAGGTTCTCTTCGAGCATATCTCCTGCTGTCCCACGTCATCTACACTTTTCTAGCTGGAAACAGCCGTTCACAGCAATACTTCATTAGTGTTGCAGAAATAGGAAATATCATAACGCCATGAATGTACTGTTTCGAGCACAGAGCGTAACAAACTTTGTGAACACTTATTTCATGCCATGTAAACACAACAATGACGGGTACACAAATCCTCTTTTGGCCACATTTATTGACAGATGCAGACAGAAATATGTAGCAGGGCAAGTCACACTACTAAGAAACATGGCCATCATCAACATGTCAAACCTAACTTGGCAGCACCATGTACATTTTAGTGATCATTGCAAGATATGTACTGAATAATAGCAGTAATAGTCACACAAGAATTATCACCAACAGCAAACGATACTTAAATTTTAACCGGGTTCGAGAACAGTGATGCAGGCATATCCTTATATATATAAAATCACGACATCTCAATTTCAACACAACTCGTCATTTTTAGAACAAACAGTGTCACCAGTTCGCTTGCTTGAACCAGAGTAAGCAGGCAATCTTTTTGCAACAATGCTTTACGCAGTTTGTTCAACTATATGGCCAACCATACACAGCTATCACAAAAGGAAAATGATTTTGACAATCTTGCATACTACAGGAAAAGAAGATAGGAAGAATGAAAGAGTGGCTTCTTTGCATTGATCAAATGCCAAAATGCAACAGCTGCGTGAAGACTTGGCGTCGTTTACGCAGACATACACACTTCAGCGATGTATTGTAGTAGGCCCTCCCTCCAGACCTACACAGCATTCTCTCTGCACCCCATGTAAGCAGTGTTGTGCATAATAGACCCGCACAATCGTTGTGCATAATAGACCCGCAAGAAGGCAGAGTTTGGTTGCGGCGAGACCTTATTACTACTTGTCTTCACACTCCCTTTTGGAAGCATAGCTCAGTACGTTCATTATCACAAGTAACCAGTGAATTAAAGGGGGCCCTGCAACACTTGTTACATTATATGTAAACTTCTTCAGATGTCAGACATGACAGGTAGCCGACCAGCGACAATTGGAGAGTTCAGAGACCTTGTGATTATGCGTATGCCATTAACTATCCCACTCGGTCTGACCTAGACCGAGCAGTTTATGTGCTCGCATGTTGCAGGTCATATTCAATGATAGCACAGTGCTCACATAATCTGTCATTGCAACATGGTCTCAGGCAGTTCAAATTCCGGTGCAACTGCTTCCCGACTTCAATAACTGGCATCGTGTACTGACATAAGCTTCAACGTAACTTACATTCCTGCTGCTTGGAGAGGGTCTGGTATCATGCATCGAACTTACCTCGCACTTCAGCAAAATTGTTTCATCCTCAGTTGAGATGCCGTGCACTCATAAACAGACACTTTACACAGTGTTGATCACACTTTTCTTTTTTCCAATGACCCAAACCAATTTAGGAACCAGCCATAAACCTAGTATAGTTTATCGTTGGCCCCAAGAATCTTCTTTCAACAGTCACTGGGATGCCACGCCATGTTCCTCTGCTCACAGCAGGGAACCCATAGCATTGTACAGTGTCCAACAATTCCTTTCAGTTCTCAATATCTTCACTGACATTCACACACATTCATACATGGTGATCAATGGCTACAATTCTTTTAGAAGTAATGAATGAGCAGTGCACAGAAATTCAATGTCCAATATGATGCTGGCAGCCCCTGGCGATAACAGCAATAGGAAAGTCCCTAACATCTTAGGCAGCATGGAATAGAATCAATGCCCGACAAGAAACAGTCTGGTAGAAGTGATTTACACTACTACAGTTAAACCTGCTTATAATGGACCTCCATGTAACAAATTCCTCGATATAATGAAGTTTTTATATTCTCCACCCTTGCTCTATAGAAGCACATGTATTTGGGACCTCTATGTAACACAGTAACAGCGGGAGACAAGCTTGATTTAACGAATTTTCGCCACAGGCAATCTTGGAATTTTGCCCCACACTTTGTAATTTTGGCGCGAGTATGCATCTTCCACAATTGCCCCGCCGCCGAAGTGCTCCTGGTTCCAGCGACTTCCAGGCGAGAGCGAGCGCTCGTTATGGCGTGCAGGTGTGCACACGAGGCGAGCAGGCGCACCTGCACCTCACGGCCAGCGTTGCCGCTGTTCTCACTACCGCGGGCGCACGCACGAATGTGCCCCCCCCCCCCCCCAAACCAAAAGAAAAAAATTTTCGTTGGAAGTGTCACCTTTAAGCTAGCGCCACATATGTGAGGCCACACTGGACATGGAGGGAACTTTATCGAATAGTTTTCCGCGGTATCCGTGTCATTCGCTATTTGTTTTTGACGCCGCGCGCGCGTGAGCGGTTTCACTGCGCGCACATGGTGTGGCCCCCGACGATGTTCAGCTTTGCCTCTTTTTTTTTATACAAATACAAACAACTGTGCCGTCACTACCGAGGGGATGTAAAATTAGGCACTGATGGAAACTTTTCAATACCACGGTGACAATGATGGATCTTTGGAGATCGATTCACCACGCGTTTGTGTTTGAGCCACGAGTTCGAAATCCTGTAGCCTTCGCGATCAGCTGATTAGCTTTGGCAACAACACAACGGCGCGTTCAATGCAATGAATGCGATAGCAACAAATTGTAATGTTATACGAAATAAGGCTGGCAGCCAACTTTTCTGGACCTGATACTGCAGAACTCCTACAAAACGCTGTTGCCAGAAGATACGGCTGCTCTAGAGATTTGCTCCTTTCACACAGTCTCTTCACGTTGAAAACAGTCTGATGCTTGCCGAGATAGCACACGTGCCAGCGATCACAACTGCGTCCTTAATTTTAAAGTTCACCGTTAATATTCGAGCAGCCCCCTTCCTCCCCGCGTTTATTCATGCTCATTCATACCGTGTCCTTTCCATTTGAGCATTTGACGGCAGTTCTAACATGCGGGGACGTTATTTTATGCGCCCTTCAAGCAATAGAGATGGGCCGGCTCATTTTATTCCTGCTTCAGCAGCGCTCGCGCGCTTTTACTCGCTCGTCAAAATTACAAAGCGCGGAGGCATGTTATCAATTCGGACTTGTTACGGAACATGGCAGCAATGGCGAAAAGCCGTCGAGAATGTCCATATAATTTCTATCACAATAACAATGCAGTTTTTTTACCGCTAAATAAACATTTTGGATGAACTTTGCCTTGAGTTCCCCTTTTGTTTAATTTGAGCGTTTATTTTACAAATTTTCATACTAAACCTGCATATAACAAAATTCTCTCTAAAGTTAATTTTTCTGCAAATTAGTCAATTTCGTTACATCAAGGTTTATCTGTACACTGGTACCACGGACTCTGACAATGAGCAGGAGGACATCCGGAACTTTTCATCATTCCCCTTCATGCAACAGACTGAATCACATGAAGGAGCACTCTGAATCCAGCTTTGTAAGCGCAGCTCGGTGCACTTGCTGCAGTGATGCGTGACTCATACCACTGCAGTTGTGCAAAGCTGTATGCACTGCACCGATAGAGCATGGAAGGCTAATGCAGCTGACAAAAACTAGGCAGCGATAAGTTGTCTATGGGGTATAATGACTCATTGTAACATCCCTATACCTACCTTCAAAATGCTATGACAAAAATGTTTAGTGCAAGGGCAGTCATGTTTCAACCGATGAGACAAAAACTCATTCATAGGGTATGTCTGTGGAGAAAGAACCTGTCCATTAAATACAAGTACTTACTAAGCAGAAGCACCAAAACACAACTCTGCAACATCATTGCCATTGCCTAGCCTTGTCCCATGCAGCAACCACTAGTGTTGTGCTTCAGTGACCTCACTGACACCCCACAACTGGGAGTCGCATCAAGCTCAATCTGTTACAGAGTCACAATGCTTTTTTTTTTCTGCTTACATGGGATGTCTGTTCTCTCTCTCTCTTTTTCATTCTTAGCATGCACTTTGTACTTTAGTACTTGTCCATGACTGAGCACACCACGATGAAAACGTTCTCATGATACTAGTGTTCTGAACAATCCTTCAACCATTGCAGCGAGACATGGAATCTCTCCCAGCACAGTCCTCACCAATGGCCTGAGAATGTCTTTTCATCACATTCCACATTTGACACTGACACCCGAGCTTTCACTTCAGGGAATCACTTTGGCAAACAGACTCGACGAACTGATCAAGGTCGGGCAGACTGGACTCCAGTGCGGCCAAATGTGCGCTAATTTCGGATACTTGCTGCTCTAGTGTTGGCTGGCAGGAAAATGAAGATAGCATCGGCGCGCTCTGGCATTCCTGGAAGAATGTTCCCAAATCAGTGCCACCTTCCTCACCATCGGCAAATGGAGGTTTCTGCAAAAATCAATGCAGCACATAAGACACAGGTGACCCAGGCCCACAAAATCTTTGCTATAAATGTGCCTCACACGTGAAATACCTATAAGTAGATTAAGAGATTATTTCATTACATGCACAGCAGGAAACGCCCATGAAAACCAATGAGAAAACTCTCATTGGTCGCAGTTGTAATAAAAAAAATAGCATGTCACACATGAAAATATATGTGCACTATTTAATTTAATGCAGCATTAGGTATCATACTTCTGTGTCATAAAATATGACACAATCTCATTTCAGTTCATTTAATGGTTCCTTAACGTCTGGAGGCACTGTAATTACACAAAAGGCATAACAGTTCAGCAGCTTTTAACCAGTGACCAAGTGAAGCAGCACATAGCAGCCCCAAAGTAAGGTGACTGCCATGGCAGATGGTGCCATAAAGGTGCATGCATAATGATGTGTGTAAAACTTGTCACTATAATGAACAAGGTGGTTATTCTATTAAACTGCAGATTAAAAAAAAATCAGTTGCACTACAAAACTTGCACAGTGGCACTTTTATGAATTCACTAGTAGAACACTACCTCCCCACAGCCTTGTTTACACATTATGAAATTTAATACAATCTATTTGTTATTGAACTATTTGATTTAAGTATATTTTCTAAGCTACCTTTCTATAGTATATCATTTCAGTTTATCAACATCGTAGAGATGCAAGCATTCATTGGACACGCCACGCTTCATGCCGGAAGGGTTTGGGAGTTTAACTTGTGATTGCCAGAGAGGCTCTGCAGGACTCGCACTGAAGTAGGTGGGCTTCATTCACACAAGTACGGAACTGGCACTCAGACTGAACTAGTTTCATCAAGTAAGGTATTAAACAATATGCCAAGTGCTATTAATTGCAATATCTGAACTCGCGATCCATTGCACCTGAGTGCCAAGACATGCTTAAAGCACTTCTTTCTCTCCCTTGCGAGAGGAGCCCAATTTTTAATTGTCTCGCGTTGTGTCTCAAATGCTCCAACTTTTCTAATAGCCTGTTTTATTTGGGGTAATAATGAACCCTTTTGCACTGTTAAGTTGCATACATAGCCCCTTCCCTAAGATACTCTCTAGAGACAGAAAGCGAGCTTACTCGCATGCACTAATCCTTTGTTTAAGTTTTCTAATGATCCAATTTGTTTCCAGTAAGGATGATTGCATTTTCGTTGGTTACTTGTGCACATGTCCACTTCACTAAAATCTTCTATAGCAGCAGAGAGGTGAACACACTCATACGAACCAATTCAACAAGGATGAAGTCCTCGGTTGGCAGCAGCACCTCCCGGGGCTCCACAAGGGGCTCGTTGACGTCAGAGTCAGTGTCCTCTTCTGATCGAGAGTTGCTACTTGCGGTTGACTTGGCGGGCATGGATAGCAGTGAGGAGAAGGCGGGCTTAGGCATAGGCCAGGGACTCTCATCCACCCTGTCTGCAATCTCCTTGAGATTTCGCGGGCAAGGAGGGGCAAAGGCACCCTGGTGCATTTCACCCAGAATGTCACCCCCATCTTTGTGCCTGCAGTTGACCCACACATCAAGTGCACATGGGTCAGGATGCAGACTGTGAGATGCAAACATTACACAGGCAAAGCAGTATAATATTGCCAGCCGGCTCAGTTCTTCCTAGTTGAAGACCTTTTGTAGCACGTGACAATATATTCTCTACAAACTAACATTATATAAAAATGCATCATCATTAGACAATGCCAGAATAATTAGACTGTGACACTAAAACAGCGTCCTTAAAAGCCAGCTAAGTAAATAATCGAACAGGACTGGGTGAAAACAAGCATAATACATAATGACCCTAACACTGTGGTTTGAATGGCAAAGCATCCTGACTTTGCTGAGTATCTGGTTCAAGACATGGAAGTCCACATTTTTAAAGGATGGAGCCCAGAAAAGGCCACTTAAAAAACTAAAAGGATGTGACAGGAAGAAAGTTGATTGATTGACTGATTGATTGATATGAGGGGTTTAACGTCTTAAAACCACCAAATGATTATGAAGAGACGCCGCAGTGGAGGGCTCTGGAAATTTCCGACAGGGAGAAATTTCTGTGTCATTGGTAGGCCACTGCATATTCCAAGGCGATGCAGCGATGTGCTAGTGTGAAGCAGAGAATCCAGCAAGAAAAGCAAAGAAATGTATGCGCATTACCGTGCACAGGAAATTGTGCGACAAAACGGCTGAATGAAAGACTGCTGGAGTGCAAACAACAAAAAAGTTCAAGGGAAAATGGAGATTTGAAGTGGTTATGAGCTCGAGCAATGTGCTTTGCTTGGCAACTTGTCATTTAGGAAAAGCACAGATATGTATTGACAAAGACAAACACAGGCAGCTAGAGTCTAGGCCGTGTTGTCAAGAACATGACAACGAATGGCCTTTCTTGACCACGGTGGCCTTCTACTTAGTACTAGCATTTCACGGTGTTGCAATAAATATTGAAGAACACAGAGCGGTACACATCTGTCGCAGTTTAACACACACTACTACAACCACCTACTTCATCACACTATCATTAAAAATAGTAAAAACACTGCTTATAACTGCACGTGACATTTGGAAATATGGCTCATGTGCAATTTTTTGCCCAATGATTCCTAGGCAAATAGTATGTATTAGTCGGTTGATGAACATGAATGAAATAATCAATGCCAACGATACGGCCATAAATATTCTTGCATGCTCAGTGAATTACACACAACCTTATTCAGGTAGTATGTGCTGGGAAGGGGAATTGATAGTAAAAAAAAAAGCACGCAACTAATTAAAAGAAAGCATTGTATGCCAAACACAAAATTACGACCAAGAATGTAATCTGGATTTAATATTAAGGGGGTAGACTGGTCTTTGGAACCAGAAAGTGACAAAAAAAATGATTTTTTAAAATTGACATATTTCGTTTTTGCAAGCATTTTTCTATCTCTGCAAATTTTTCACACACTAGGAAGTGGTTATTTTTTTGTAATGTCATTCTGACTGTCCAGATTCTTGGTGCTGTTAATATGCAGAACCTGCAAAAAAATGGGGAACGGACTTCGAGGCTTCTTTATAATTGGCCGGCATCTGTTAGAAGCTCTGCTACAAACTTATGAGCACCTCTTTGAGGATTGCAAAACATGCACACCATGATGCTTTTTGAAGAAGCTGTGTGTTTTCAGTTTTTTTTTTTCATTTTTCTCAAGAAAGTAAATTTATGACTGTTATATTTTGAGGCCTCAATATCACTGCAGCTAGGGCAGGTACAACAATAATTATTTTTGCACTGTAAACCTGAATGTGTGTAGAGTGCAAGTATAGGAGCAGAATTTAGAGCACAAGCCTTTTTGAATAATTACTCATCAAAATTGTAACACAATTCCAATTGCTTTGAAAATTGTTCATTTTGCTGTAAAATAACCAAGAAAGGCCTAAAAACAAACAAACAAAAAACTTTCCATACTTTAAATCTATGGTCTTTAGCTTATGTTGGCATATTTAAAATATCAATTTTAATTAAGCACTTTTTTCCTATGGCAGCCTCAAACAATAGGGGCTGAATTGAGTTATTTTAGGAGAAAGATGAGTTACAGAAAAACTAATTAAATATTTGAAATCAGCAGAAAAAAACTGCACAACTCTGTGCAGTTTGGTCAAGATCGCTGAAGAAATAAACAAAAAAGATGTCTAAGACCCGCCCGCTACGCGCTAAGCGCGTCCTGCAGGACCGAAATAAAGTTTTTTCATTCCATTCCATTCCATATCTAAGACCAGTCTGCCCCCTTAACACAAGAAAAAAAGAAGAAATAAAATAACAATAGACAAGGCTTAATTGTTTCCGCATTTTGAAATATCACATTCGGCACAGGAGACGACTAACGTTTCATGCAGGGCTAGATACCAAGAAGAGTTATTGGAAAAATAGCAATTAAATTTGAAAAAGCAACCAAGAAAAGGCCACAGTGAATGTGGAACAAGTTGTTAACTGAGAAATTTTCATTAAATTTAATTTTAAAGCTTTATAAGCATTAAAAAAAACAGTAAATTAGAAAAGCCTGTACTTTTCAGTGTGCCATTTTTGAGACAAGAACCAATATGACTAGCTCTTGAAAGACAGCATCATTGACACGGCGAAACAATAAAATGATGCAGAGATAATGTTTGTCACTGACAAAACAATAAGAAACAAGTGTTGATTAAAGCATTGCAGTGTTATTTACTGAAATTCTTGAGAGATCATGCAAATCGAGATTCCAGAAGCATTCTAACTAGTTGGGATGTTAAATGACGAATTGATGGCATTAAATGTGAATGTTATCCAAAACAAATCACAAGTCTTCCTGTGTGATGGGGGTATATTTCTTTTCTAAAACCAAGACTAATCAATTTGCAATAGCATAGAAAATTATGGTTCAAGCTATTCGTGCAGCATTCCAATGGCATTAGCTTCAGTAAAACTTCGTACTGCGCAAGTTGGTTTATATTTCAATGGAAAGTGGTGTGCGCAAGTAAATACGACACAGAAAAGATGGAACAGGGACAAACGCTTGTCCCTGTCCCATCTTTTCTGTGTCATCGTCTTTGTTTGCGCACACCATTTTACCTTGAGGCAGTAGCTTGCAAGGGTCATTACATGAAAATAAAATAAAACAAGCAGTGCGTGAAAGCAAAGTCAGAGCTTTTAAATTAAAAAAAGAAAGAGTACGAAAGCGTGCCATAGAAAACATGCAAGTGTGCAGGCAGAACACCTCAAGAATGTAGTTAACGTTTATGTAATTGTGCTCTAATCAGACAGGCAAACTGAGTGTCACTTTGAGGAAGCATCACTTGGCATAAATGGTGCTATTCAGAAACTGCTCATGTGAAAAGGTACAGTCACACTGGCATGACACTTGCAGCAGAGTGTCCTGAGTGGGTTCGGCTTCTTTTCTCCAAGTCTCGAAAAAACTAATACAGTCAAAAACATTTTGCCACATTGTATTTTTGATGAACTAAACCATCCACATTGGGACTTTTGAGTGTTTAAATTCAGTGCGTTCAAGCCCTTCTTTTTTCCTTTCATGCTAAACAACCAATACTAATAGTAATGATTCCAAATGCTTCTCGTAGCAATTCACAGCCACTACCACCAATTCTTGACGACACCATTATATCAGAAGGTGGTCAATGACCAATATAGTACTAAATGCAGTGACCTTCTTTTAGTCAAGGTTTCACAAGATTTGCCAGAACCATCATTAAGGTTTAGTGACAGAAAAATTTCATATGCATATACGCATGTGAAACAAAGCGATGCATGCATGTTATTTCATTCAAGGCAATCCCAGACAAGTGAAGGGCATGACAAATGTCTAACTAGCAGCATAGACAACAAACAAGCACAAACCCATTAGAACATCCGTTGTGACCTGCAACGCCGCTTTGCCTCCTGATCCCTTCTGGAGGCAAGTCTTTGTCGCTTCGCTTTACGGCATCAGTTGCTATGTCCGTGCTATAACGCATGTGGAAGGTAGAGAAGAAGGAGAGAGAAAGAGAGAGAGACAAAGAGACACGAGGCAGAGAGGCGGTCAGGCAAATCGTACTGGACTGGCAAAGTTGGGCACACATCATGAACAGACACCTTTGCATGCTCAATCAGGTGCAATCGCTGTGTACAACACTAGGGCAAGCAAAGGCAAGTTTCAAAAAAAGCCTAAAAGAAAATGGACTGTGCGAGGGACATATGAGAGATATAAGGAGGCTTGATACAGACATTATGCAGAATTATGCAGTTCTGGTGTTTCTAAGCATCAAAACCAAACTATAAATAATGCTGTAACTAAACACTCCAGTTTAATTGTGAACAATATTAATTGTCAACAAGTAGGACTAACACTTGGTTTGGATGCATTAAAATAATAAGAACAATGTGAAAAAAAAATTATGCTGCAAGTCTTTTCAATTTTCTTTGTCACGCCATTTTTCTTAATGTGGCCCTGCAAAACTATTTGAGCACAGTCAGAAAAGTCAGCCGATCGGTAGTCGATGCTCCAAGAACATGCGAGTCAACATTATAGCGTAGCACATGGCCTGAAATTCGCAATAAATTGTAACCATTGCTTTCTCTTCTCTTGACAAATGATAAAACAAGCTCAAAAATCACTCGCCACAGTCATTGCATCCGCCATTGGCCTGATTCCAGCAGTGGCATGCTCAGTTGTTACTGGGCCCACTGCTGGAGGCCGCAAATTGTCCACCTCGTGCGTGCGTGATCCGCACAGCAAAGTCGCATATCCAAAGAGAAGAAAGGAGAGAGAAAAAGTGCTCAAGATTACGAGGTACGCGAGACATTTTTTTCCCCTTGCCATCTCTTCCTGTTTATTTTCCAGTGCTTACATTGGGAAGAGAGAAGAAAGCATGCAATTGCAGTGAGCGACAAATCTTTTTGCTCGCATTAGACGGATTCTTAACAATTTACGGTGGAGAATTCGTCAGGCAATAAGCTCTTTTATTGAATCCATTCCATGACTACTTGAAGAAGTGTTGCAGGGCCCTTGTAATATAATTTTGAATGTCTGGGGTTCTTAAATAGCTTGTGAGTAAAGTAATAAGTTCTGGAGTCTCACGTGCTGTAACCACTATTTGATTATAAGGCATGCCTCAGTGGTGAGCTCTATATTTTGACTATCTGAGGGGCCCTGAAACACTTTTTCAAGTAACCATGCAATGGATTCACTAAATTGCCTCACAAACTGAACGAAGCAAAAATTGTAAGAAACCGACAGTACAAGCAGAGCTGCGTAGATTTGTCACACGCTATGATCGCATTCTTTCGTCTCGACAAAAGCGCTGGAAGCTAAGCAGGGAAAGATGGCAGGGGCAAAGAAAATAAGTCACGTGCGCCCTGTGACCTTGAGCCCGTTTTTTTTTTCTTTTTTCTTCGAATATGTGGCTTTTCCAGTGTGATCGCACGCCGTGGAAAAGTCACGGCCTCTTGTGGCGATCCCTGTAATGACTGAGAGCACCATGTTCTAATCAGCCAATGACAGATAGATGGCCTTCTACGATCATCATCAGCATCTTCGGTCATTTGTCCTTCTACGATCAGCAGATGGCCTTCTACGATCAGCATCTTCGGTCATTTGTCGAGAGAACAGAAAGCAATTTTTCGCTGACTCTCATAATTTATTGTAAATTTCAGGCCCCGTGCTGCAGTTTAATATTTGGCTCGCGTGTTTTTCGGGAGCCTCTACTATCGATCCGCAGCGCTTTCTGACCATGCTCAAAAAGTGTTGCAGGGTCCCTTTAATGTGCACCGGTATCTAAGTAATGGGTGTTTTTGTATTAAGCCTCCATTTGACTGTGGCTGCGACCACTAACTAGAGAACTTGCATCTTGGTACTCAGCAGGACAAAACCTTACCCGCTAAGCTACTGCAGAAAACGGAATCTTACGGAAACGGAGATGTAAAGCCATCAATTTCTGTTAAGCATGCCGGTATTTCCAATGACCACTAGCCTTCTCTGTGATAATATTGGCAGATGTGATGGTTGAAACCAATGATGGAATGCTATCAAAGTTTGAAGCACTAAAGCAATGATTAGGGCATGACGAACTGAACAGGAAGCTAGAACTACCAGGTGCTCTAAACTAATGCACTGGTAAAGTGGCTCACTCTTCACCAGAGATGCAGCTTCACTTCGCTGTATCAACATGTTACCAACGTACTATACCACTGAGGTCACTCTTAGAGTGAGAACACACTTGGTAAGATAAAAAAGATTAAAAAAAAAAAACGCAGGTAGTAACACTGTCTTTAAGCTCCTGGACCGGCTAAACTTGCTACATAAAGTCAAAAGATTTTTATATCTATCAGGCAACTTTTTCTTTATTGATAAAGATAAACTATATAGTATTCAAAGAGAACAAAACAAACCTAGCAGATCCCAAGAATTTAAGCTGGGCCACAACCGTATATAAAAAATAAATAAAAGAGGGATATTTGAAATTTGTGTTGCCACAGTGACATACTCTGCATAGGTTTCAGAGTGAACTGTTAGAAAAATTCATCTTGAATAGTTAGCCTACTCACACAAAGGTAACACAACAATGTCCATCTAGACACAGACTATAAAACAAATCAGGCCATATTCACTGATTTCTGTGCTTTTCAACTGCAAAACTAGTTATAATACAAGCTGTACCAGTACTATAGGAGAAAGAGATGTTTGAAAGTACATTTACTTTTTTATTAAATTTTCAGAGACTGACATAAGAATGTCAGGCATTAAATTGCGGCCACTTCATCTTCACCATCAGTTTTCAACCACTTCACCTTTCTATTTGGCGCTAAAGCAAATCACTGTGCCACCATACACATCACATCAATAAAAAAAGTGGGAGTAACACTGGCAGGAAATCTAATAACTAAAGTGCATATACAGGATCACCTAAGCCATTTTTCGACATGGTCCTGATTACTGTACTGTTTCGCACATAGTATGCAATGCTGGGAAAACTACACAACTAATCTGACTTTCAAAAGATGGATCTCCTGTTTTCTTTGTCAGCCTTTGTGGTTGCAAACACATGTGCAATACTTGCATGAAGCTGCATGTGAGTTGCCATGCGAGGCTGCAAATGAAGAATGGCGACAAAGAGCAAGTTAGCTTGAAACAATGCATTGACGACAGTTTGCTGCAGTTCCTTGATCTTCAAGCTGCATAATCTACTCAAAATAAAGAACGATTCCAAGCAATGACTGCTAATGAATAATGAACTATTTTTTGCTGTGAATGCAGCTACTGTAGTAAGTTACGCCAGCCCTCAGCATTGCACACTGTGTGTGAAACGAAGCATAAGCTGATGCACATCAAACAAGCTCCACAAGACCTGCCACTTATTGTAGATAAGGCTTGACGGTGGTATACGATCGGCTAAAATGGTAAAGCACAAGATGGGACCGAACCGCGGCCACTCGTACCTGGGACGCATCCGCATACCCCGTGGACTGAGGTCTGGCTTGAAGTAGTCGCTCTTAAGCATCATGGCAGGGTGAGCCTGGTTGATGGCCTGTTGAGGGGAGATGGTCATCTTGGTGCGGTAGTCCACTCCGAGGGTCAGCGTTCCTGTGGGCATGCCCACTTGGCCCACCTGTACGCGCTTGTAGTCCTCGCCCAGCACATCCAGCTGCGTTTGGACAACAGAACCTGTTCTCTTACTCTATTATGATACCAGCACATCGTTAAGAGTAAAAAAAAAAAAACAGTGGTTGCTGGTGAACTGCCCATTTTTACAGCACAAAAAAAAAAGAGGGAAGGAGAGAGAAAAGAAAAACAAAAATTAGGGCAGCTTCGCGTTAGTGGTGCCAAGCCTGAAGGAAATGTAGAACTGGGCAGCCTTCTTTCTCTTCCTTCCCATCTCTCTCTTCTTTCCTGCTTTGCCAGTTTTCCGTCTTTTTTATTTTCTTCCCATTTTTTTTTCTCTTTCTTTTTCTCACTTGCTTCCTTTTTTTTTTCTATTTTTATATGTGGTTTGCTCTGCATTACATCAAGCGACGACGACGACATGCGATAACCCAGGCCCCTAAAGTGCTCCACCACACTTAATATCGTCGTCATCAAGTCACTCAAAAAATAAGAGGAAGAAGACTTCCTGTTGGTGTGAGCGCACATTCAATATGCTACAGATGGCTCTATTATACGTGGTTTCGCCAGCGTTACGCTAAGTTACACCAGAATACGACAGTTCCAGACCCTAAAGTGCTCTGCACTTAAAAGAAAAAAATAACCTCAACAAAACACAATAACCATTATTAAGCTATGCACCAGAAACACACACCAATGCAACACCTGAACAAAGGTGGGGTGCTAACTCTCTCCGCAGAATGAGAACATGTGAGCTGTCTTCAGTAGAGATCCTTCAGGTCTTGTCGACAACTAACCTTTCATTTACAAAGCTTTTATTACCCCTGAATATAATGCCAGGACCGAATGAACCAAAGGAGGACCTGCAACACCTTTCTATGTAATCATTTAATCACCCCTCACCAGTGAATTATATTGCTTCGAAAATTCTGCGGTAATTTATAGGTGGTTATTACAGCTGTTTCGTATTCTGGGTGCCACCTCACAAGTGTGTTAGAAATCGAAACAATCAGATTATTATTATTGAAGACCAGCAAAGATACAGGCACCACTTTTATCAATAGTCTCTTCAAAAAAGACACAATGAAAAGTGAAACAATAAATCAGTTGATGGATAAAGTGTCTTTAAAAACTCTTATCGTTTTCTTCCATCGTAATATAGTTATGTATTAGAAGAAAAATTTAAAATCATAATTTCATTCTTCAGTGTCTGTGAAACCTCAGTATGTTACCACTGATTTTCATGGCTTCTTTTCAGTATTTTGTCCACAATGAGCAGATATTTCCCGCAGATTAAGATCATGTGCCTTAAGGTAAATTAGAACACAGTGTAGTTCATCTTTACTAATAAAGAATTGTACAGGCCGTAGCACATGTCAAAATCTATTTCTACACTTCTAGGTTCACCATGACACTGAGATTAGCTGTATTTATCACTGAATCATGTAAATATGTTGTTCTCAGTTGTTTTTTGCTTTGATCAATGTATAAGACTTTGTCGCATAACACTGTGCTGAAGTGCGATACCTGTGTTTCTCTGATGCTGTTGCGAAATTCACCTACGTATTCATTGTTCACTCCTGTATGAGCCTGTTAAGGCTCACAGTATCCAATGAATAAATAAATAAAATAAGTAAATGTCACAGTGATTTGGTGTGTGCACTTCTATATGGCATTGTCACCTGTATTTCCTCTTTGTGTGATTTGATGTACTCAGATTTGGGTGCACGTTAAAGAACCCCAGGTGGTCGAAATTTCCGGCGCCCTCCACTACGGCGTCTCTCATAATCATATGTTGGTTTTGGGACATTAAACCCCACAAATCAATCAAATCAAATCAATCAATTTGTGTGATTTGATTAAATGTTTTTTTCTCCTGGCAAGAGTGGTGCCTAATTATTGTAAGAGTGTAAGAACATTGTAATTATTGTAATTATTGTAAGAACAAAAAAAAGGGCATTTTCTGTCTCTAGTGTCTTTTTAAGGACACAATAAAGAAAAAACAATTTTTCTTGTGCTTGCAGATGACTGTTTCACATTACCAAGATCACCCCGATTTCCACTTGGAGAAGCCTGATAAGCAAGGAAACGCACAGAAATAAAATGCGAGTGGTGATGCCATCTTGAAGTTCCCAAACCAATTTCCGTGACTGGTAGATTTTGGCAGTGTCGACAAGACCTATGTAGTTCCAAATAAATAAAAATGAAATAAACTGTACCCTGAAAGGGCCAGAACTTAAAATACCAAGTGTCAGGGAATTCCTTTAGACCAATGTTGCTAAAATATGAGAACTGCACTTTAATATTAGTAATGGAAGGTTTTTGCATGAAATTTCAAAATGAAACCCAGACCTTGATTTTTCTCCTTTATTAATAAATATATTATAGCAACATTAACATAATTGTTGAAATTGAATAGCTTGTTTTTCTTTGCTTCATGGTCTGTTAGTTCTCATTACCATCAATAGAGTTTTCAGAGTACAATTTATCAAGTAAAATCAATTCATTGCTTCTCTTTACAGTTCCTCTAACCTCAATTGACATGAATATCTCTTGAAGGGCCAACGATGTGCATGGCATCTACAGAGAGGATTTCATAACTAATGAAAACGAAAGCCATTCCAGAACTCACCTGGGGCTCCCCCATGTAGACGTTGAAGCATATGATGTAGGAATCCCGACTTTGGTTGTGTGAAAGCCGGTACGCCGGCATCACCCGCGTGATCGTAATGAGTGATTTCAGCACAATGCTCATGCGGTTGTAGACGGTGTAAGTGGCCCGGACGGAAGAGTCACAGACATTGCTCACAGACAGCTGCCACACTTCCAACACCAGTGTGTCGCCGTCAACAGTCTTGAGTGAAATCTCCGTACAGAGGCTAGGCCCGCCAGGCTCTGGAATCTGGCCGGCCATGGCTTCGTTCAGTTGTAGCTGGACATCGTCCTCGTCCGGTATATCCAAGTTGAACTGCTTGGATAGAAACAAGGCAAAATGCAATGCTAAGCACGGATAGCAGTATCTTTTGATTTCATGGTATTCCAGAATTTTTCTGTATAAACTTTTTCAAATGAAGTTCTATCAAGATACTTATAAGATTTGCAGCAAAAGTAATAAATGGATGGAAGCAACCAAGCAAGGCACACTTTCTGTCCACTCAATTGCTTTAATAATTTTTGCAAAAAAATTTACAATGAATAAATCCTCTATAAACATGCCCACATTTCAGCTCTAAATATAAGTAATCTCTATAGTATAATTAATTTCTGGCCTTATATATTTTGGAATACTGAGGAGCTATAGAATTGAATAGCATTTAAACAGAATGACAAAAATGGGGAGGGAGGGGACATGATGGGCACTTTCTGTCCTGTATAAAATTTACTTCAAACAAAGTACCAGCTAGCTTAGTCCAGCACAATATTGAAGAGGTAAATTAGCGAAAGAAAAGGCAACTGACAAACTAAAGGAAGACAGAGACATGTGCTACTTGGAATCAGATGTCTGCCAATTGTACAGTCTCAAATCAAGCTCAGTTTTTGCAGAGTTTATTTTATTTAATTTACAGATTCTACCAGCCCTTACACAGGGCCATTACAGTATTGACACAGAAACCATGGTAATTGGCCCAATAAGACAAATAACAGGATAGAACAGACGATCAGATCAAAAGACAGATCCTGATGTCCTGTACCGTTCCACCAGATCACATAGCGGCAAAAAATTAGTGAGCAATCAGGATGATCTAATCTAGGAAAGTTCCTTTGCATAAATGCATTAAGGACCGCCTTCGCTTTTGTAAGTAAATGAACTAGTACAAACTAATGCGGTGGGTCATCAGAAGTGTTTATGAAAATAAATTTAAGGGGCCATGTTTGGTGCTCTCACAGCTAGATTATGTAACTAGAGAATAGTAAGCTGGGCATGATGGTAAGCCATGTTCGAAACATTGTTTAACATCTTGCATAGCTTCCAGATGTAGTACTATGAAAAAAATGTGCAGCTCAAACAGTTACGTTGAACTAGCCGGAGCAAGTGAAACGGGCAACAAGACGAAGACATATCGCACTACACACGTGCTAGCACACAAACGCATTTTCACATTGTCACTATAGTGAAATGCCCATAAGCGTGTAGCAGTTAATGCTAAAACTAAACAAACGTGTGCTTCCACACACTAACGATCACCAACTGCGCGTATCCGGGTGGTCTAATGATTGGAAATCGTTAGTGGAGTGTGCCGATATTGCGGCAAGCAGGCTTCTCCCGTCGGGTCGCGACAGCTGAAAAGGACATCGCTCGAAGATGGCGCGTTGCGTAACAGCACGGTAGAAAACGTCTTCACAAACACGGCCGCTGGACTAAAGCGCAAATTACGCTTTCCAGACCTTGAATTCGCTCGACAATCGGTGGTGAATAGAATCGATTTCCGTAGAGCGGCGCTGGAATTGCGCTCATAGGGAAGAAACGTAAAACTACAGTTTGGGCATGCGAACTTCCTGGATCTAAACGAAAAACTGCGGTAACATGCCACACGTGTTTACGTTTCAACGCGCATCTCCGTGATGGTTTCGAGATGCGTCGGCCCCATCGCAGCCGCTTGTCGATTCGCGCAACGCCGACTGAAAGTGCAGCAGTACTGTCACTTGCGGCGGTCGCCGCCTGGAACAGTTTGCGCACCGATTCGTGGGCAAAACAGGAGATCGTGATATGCCAGGCGGCGGCCTCGAAGGTCGCCGCTTCCGCGTGACGTTAGGGCCGCGCTGTAGGAAAAGGCACACTTACCCAGTCCGAGTTCGAGGCCTCCGCTTTGCACTGCGTCTTTTGCTTCTGGCCCAGTCGAGACTGCACGATGACTTGAACGGACTTGCAAGACAGGAACAGGGTGAACTTCTCCAGTTCTTTCCGATCGTGCGAAGACAGCTTCATGACTGTCGACATGTTGACAGATGCGGGCCTCGGTTTACAGCTATGCGGCGCTTCTCTAGAAGACTGCGAGTCCGAGCGGCCACCGTCGCAAAAGCATGACCCCAACGCCGGGCACGGGCCTCATAACCGTGTGGACAGCACGCGTAAACAAGGGGCGCCAAGACACCGCCGAAAAGAAGCTCCAATATGCGGAGACGGGGTGGCGAGCGTGCCACCGAACGGTTTGGAGAACTCGCTCTGCCGAGTGCGCGAGCTTCAGCCTACAACACGTGCGGACGAACGCTTCATTCGCGCATTCGCAAATATTGTGTCTTCACTTTCCCAACACATCATAATTGATAAATTTCTCCCAAATACCGCTGCACTTCCCAAACTGCGCCGAGCGAAGCAACACGACATCGTTAACAGATATCCCAGCATTCCACGCGTATGAAAACAACAAAGAGGAAAATAAGTCAACTCAAGGTAACCCTCGCTATGTTTATAAATAAACGTTAACAAAGCAAGTTTATCACTTACAAAAAAGCTGACTAGTGTATTGCTATTTTTTCTACACATATAAACAAACAAGCGGGAAAAGAGAAAGTTCGCAAACGCGGCTGTGAATGAGCGTCCCTCACCGCCCTGTTCGCACGTTACTGCCAAGTTCCGCAATGTTGTTGTAGTAGCATCAAAATTTTAGGTACAGCAGTCCACATCTCCGCAACATGTTCGTTGTAGGCAGTCCTTCCGCGATATATCAACGAAGCATCTAGCGCTGAACTTGTTGATTTGTAGCTGTGCAAGTGCGTGCTGTGTTTTTACTGGACACTTCCGATGGCACCGATGACCCGGCCGCCGGCGGAACTTCTCCGCGTACCGTTTCGGATATTGGCAGTGGCGACAGTATTCCTTCCCTTGAGTTCGTTCGTCTTCTGCGTCCTATGGTCGCTGATGTACAACTTTTCCTCGGTCACCTCGACGCACTGTGGGGTACGCGTTCCACACTCTTACTTCCACTCACTTGTCTCTCATTTTTAAATGTGTACTTCCCGCTACTTGTCCTTCTTGTTTACCTTTGTGTTGTACGTTTAATATCTCGCGAACACGACATACACGAGACAAATCGCGGGTTCTATTGTCGAAGCATACCCTCCTCTATGAAGTCGTTCAGCGTGTGGGTGGGGCTCAGCTACGGTCACTGTAATGTAGTCACTGCTGCGCTTTTACAAGCTGCACCGTGCGGTGTTCTGATGTTGTTTCAAGAGCAGGTGCTTTCAACTGCTGTGTCCGCTCAGTCTTTCGTGTTTTCTGTATATTTTCGTTTTTCCGCTGTGAATGACGCGTGCTGCGCAAGCAGATAAAATGAAGGAAGAAAAAAAAAGTTAATGTCAGACTTGAGGGAGCGGGAAATTGTCTTTCCGTCGCATTCTCCGGCTAGGTCAATCTGGGCAGTAGTTTATTTTTTTTGTCAACATTTGAGAGAGACAGTATTTCTGGCAGGTTATTGTGTTTAGATGGTTGTGAAAGGAGAGGAACAGAGCAAAAAAAAAAATACAATTTGCCATGAAGGCGCATGCAGTGAAATATGATATTTGAGCTGTCTTTGATAGTAAAGTGTTATGGCTGAATATGAATGAATAAATCAAACAAAAGGCGTAGCTTTTTACGTTGTTCATTGCATTACAAAATGGCCCTGTGATCTGAAACATTCAGTCAGAATAGACATAGTGAAAACATTTATGAAGTTCATATTTTATGAATAATCATAACTGATGTCTAGTTTGTATACTTTTTCATGAGTGCCACCATAAAGTGGCATTACCTGCCTGGTTGTTGCAATAGTGGCCAAGTGTGTATGCTCGTGTAAATGGTGCATAATTCTGTTAGGCAGCATTATTATATTCGAATAGTTGCAACACTGGCCTGTTGTACGTATAGTTTTATATAAAGGGACACTAAAGAGAAACAATGACTTGATTTATATTGACGAATTGCACCCTGAGAACTCCTATGCCTCATGTTTTACTGTCGTAAGTTCATTATTAGCGGAGGAAATCAAGGTTGAAGTTTTCTATTTAAATTTTGGGCCAAAATATGTGCCACTTGATGTCACAAGTTTTAAAACATATTTTTGGTATTTTCGTGGTATTGGCTCAATGAGATTTTCTGAAACTTCGTATGCTAGGTCTGTGACACCCACAGATCACAAAGTATTTCATCATTATTGATAAGAAGCTATGTAGGATCTAGTAGACTTGAAAAATATCTATGGCGTCACAGTTTATGGTGCGGGTATCTCAAAGTGGTATCTCCACTCGCATTTTCTTTTCGTGAATTTTCTCGCTTGCCAAGCGTTGTGTCCCGGTAAGAGTGGTGTTTTCATGATTGTGAAATCGTACTTTACTATTACAATAAAAATCGTTTTGCTTATTAGTGTCCCTTTAAAGCAAGTGTGTTATTTCTGTGCATCTCATGCAACAGTAATCAGTTGTCCTCACATTAAGTGGGCAGTGCATGGTACTTTCCACTAGGTGGACATGTAATAAACTTGGAAAAGAAATTGGGAGACCCTTAAGCTTCGCCTTTAAGAGTTGGATGCGGTAGCGAAATCCGGCCTCTGGTGACCCTTTAACCGCCAAGTGCATACTTATTCATATGTTTTGTTTCATACACGCGCACACACACAGTAGATTGAACCAGCGTGCGCTATTATCGCTGAATGGGTTCGTTTTCGTCGTGGCACCTGTCAAACAAAATGCGTTAAAGGGGCCTTGAAACACTTTTTCAAGTAACCATGGCATGAATTCACTAGAAGAGCTTATTGCCTCACAAATTCAATGCCACAAAAATTTTAAGAATCCGTCCAGTGCGAGTGGAGTTGCAAGGTTTGTCGCATGCTGCAATTGCATATCTCTTCTCTCATCCCGATGAAAGTGCTGGAAGCTAAGCAGGGAGGGGTGGCAGGGCAAAGAAACTACCAAGCCTTATGACCTTGAGCACTTTTTTTTTTCTTCGAATGCGTGGCTTTTTCAGTGTGATCGTGTACACAAGCGTGGACACGTAGCGGCCTCCCGCGGCTATCTCGGTAACTTGATTTTTCAGTCACAGACGCACAGGCGGTTTTTCGCTCACAACCAATAGGGCCGACACCGGTGGGAAGTTTTCTCGCGTTAAAGGGATTCATTGCACAGAGCAAGGTGCCATCGTATTTTATGAAGTGCCACAGTCAGTGACCTTTAAAAGCATAGTAATTGAAATTTTGTCGGTGTTGTTTAAGAAACAAGATACGAGAACGTTGTTGGTGTTGCTTTTGTGCAATATCCTACTTGTTGTTTGGCCTCCTTCAAAAGTATGTCTGCTCAACAGTTGAGTTCTTATTCGTTTGCATTGCAGTCTAAGCTAAATGACACAAATTTTGTGTTAGATTAACAAAAGGACTAAATATCTCAGTTGACTTTAGCATGCGCAAGAACCGCTTTGGTACGGTGAAGCAGCATATGAGGATTCTCACTTGTCAGTCATGGCTTGGTTTGACTGAATTGGTATTAGACATCAAAACAAAAAAAAGGCTTAACATTACTGAAATTACCTGCGCAAACCTTTTTTCTACTGAATTAGGTGGGTTTAAAGTGGGGCCATGTTCAGGAAATTTTTTCGGGGTGTGTTTATTTGTAGAACAGCTAACTTTGGCCACTGGTGGTTGATGTGAATAAGTTTAAATACTTTAGTATCACACGAAAAGTAAGTTAAAGCATGAGAAACTTTCGGAGGGTGTCAAAACCTACTATAGTTATGATCCTGGTTTGAGGGCTAAATTTGGCACGTTGTAGAACGATTATCTTCTAAATAAGCAGAAAAGTTCATAAAAGAAAAAGTGGGCTAGGCATGTTTGCCTGTAGAGAGGTGCCTTGTAGAAAGAAAGAAAGCCATTGTAAGCACTTTCTTGCTGTGTTTGCAATGTTGACACTGTGTTCTGCCATCATATTCATGTTGTTTCTCATGATGAATAAGAGAAAACATTCTTGCAGCTTTCAGTTCATCGCATTGAAGAATTTGGTTAAAAGGTGCATGCCCAAGCAGATACCGTTTGTTGCCTGCTTTGAATTGTTAGAGTTTCACAGATTTTTGAAAGAGATATCTTGATAAATGTTGCAAAGTGCTTCTGAGCAAAGGTGAAAAGCTGGTTGTTGTTTGCACACTGCTTGGCCTAAGCAAATAGTTGGACACTCACTCAAGTGTTGAAGATTGTGTGAGTTGGTTCATCATACTTGGACTGGCTGGTATAGCGCATGACAGTAAATAAGAAATGACTCGACAGACCGACACAAGAGGACAGAGCACTGTGTCCTCATCTGTCGGGTCTGCTTGACCATTTCTTCTTCCTCATGGCACACATTGACCAGGGAGCAGTATACATCGCAGGTCAGGTAGAGGCAACTCGGCTCTCCTTTGTCTGAATGTTGGGTCAGTGCCAGACCAAAGTACATTTGTGTCAGATGGGTCACCCGAATACAAAGCAAGGCGGCTTCAGGCAGTGTTGACAGGCGTTGTGTGACACTGCAAACATTTACCAGAAGTGATAGAGCTTGCAGCACATGAAGTCCTGCAGCATGTGGTATTATTTAGTGAAATGTGAATTTAAAAAAAAATTTACAGCCTATCAAGTGGGATAACATCGTTGCTTGCCAAAACTGGCATCATAATAGATGTTCTTCAATGTCACGAGAACGAATGCTGATGGAATGTAAAAAAAAAAGCATCAGGATTGGCAGCATGAAACGATGTAATGTTTCTCGCAAGAGAGAAAAAATATTGCTGAAAATGTTTATCTTAAAAACGGACTGCAGGGTGCGAAATCCAGGCTTCTTCATATATGTTGCCCTCCTAAATACCCTTGCAGGTGGCAAACTATCTTCCGTCCATCAGTGCAGCGGTGGGGGGTCCACACACCACAGCGCTACATTTGGCGCATCGGTGTCGGCCTGCATACTGCTCCTAGGCTTCTCATCTGTGTCATGTACCATCGCTACTACAAGAACATGCTTGACACCCAACATCAGTATGTAGCGCGAATCGCATCATGGATAAGCTTTGTCGAGATCTTCTCACTACTGGGCCTCTCTAATGTCACATCTACTGAAAATTACGGCAAGTTATTTTGCTTTTGCACAACCATAAATGTAGCTGGTCCTTAAAGAATCTCATGTTGGCACCAACTTTTTGTGATAGTGAAAAGAAAGCTTTGAAGTAAAAGTCTTGCTCATTATATTTTTTTACGGGTAGAGTGGCAGGTTTAAGCAGCATTTTTGGTATTGTCGCTTTTGCCTTTCTAGGATAAGATACTGAAGCAGCATAACTCTCATGTACTGCAGTCTTGATTGCCCAGTTGCAGGCATAAAATAAAAACAACATTAACACACAGCTATTTACTTTGTCCTATTTGCTGTACGTACAATATGATGTTTTTTTCCTCCAACATAAATGTAGGTTCCTTCAGGAGCATGGTGCCAGGCCATCAGTTTCCACTAAACTATTATAAGCTATCTGTTTGAGTGTGTTTCGTTTCACTCATAAGCAGAGGGCATGATACCTCACTAACAACTACATTCTTTCTTGTCTTGCAGCTGCCCATGAAAAGATGTTTATATCTTTCATATTGTGTTCGCTTATGTACATGATACTGTGCTGTGTTATACCAAGCCTTGGACGAAGACGTTCACTGTCTAGTGTGGTAAGTGGAGCTTTTGAATGTGCTTTCATAATTAACCATTGTTTATTGCCTGCTCCACCTTCTTGCCTTCTTACCTCCACAGGAAGAGTACTCCTTGAAGCTGAAGAAGCAGCTGACAGTAGGGTCCCTTATCCTCTGCGTTCTGTGCACCTACTTTTTCATTCGTCATACCACACGCTGTGAACCATTGAGTAAGTGGTGTTTATTAATGTACAAGTGGCATTATAAGATGGCAATGTTTTAACAGCCCCAAAATAGCCTTCTTCGTCGTCTACCTTTTTTTTTTTCAAAGCTGAAGTTGCTTTAACTTGTGGGCTCTTCCAGTATTTTTGCTGCTTTAAAGCTTTAACAGGCTATAGCTTTCTTAACAAAATGGCAGTGAACTTTCACTTGGCAATTAACGAATTGAAAACAGACACGTTGGTCAAAACCTGGTAAATTAACCGACTACAGCGGCTTAGCAGCTGTGGTGCCGCATTGCTAAGATCACGGGTTCTATTCCCAGCTGTGGCACACTTGTTTTGATAGGAGATGAAAGGTAAAAAAGTGAAAACACTTGTGTACTTAGATATAAACATGCTAGAGAACCCTATGTGATCAGGATTAATCTGTACCACAATGTGCCTCTTAATAATATCATAGTTATTGCAAGTATACACCTCATATTCTAACTCAATTTAATTTGGCAAGCACTTTGTGGCAACCTTGCAAGGCTGCACCTTCACCTAAGAGTAGCAGTGGTATTTACTGCCTTGTTACTCTGAAATGTCTCTTCTGGAAAGAATGCGAAATTATAGTGTACTCACATTGAGTATTACTAGCCAGTATCCTTTAGTTATGTAAGTAAAACTTGATGTCTATTTCTTTTCTTTTTTTTTTCAGTGTACACACTCTTTTCTTTAACCGAGTACATTGTGGTGCTGTGCAACATGGGCTTCCATATGACTGCCTACTGGGACTTCGCAGACAAGGCGCTTTACGTTTCAAACATTCAATGGGAAGGCACAGGAGACAAGGTCAGCTGAGTCACTGGGATGTAGTGTGCAGATATTTCTAAAAGGTGTCCTCGACCCTGGTTAAAGGTGTGCTTGGCTCCTCTTGGGAGTTCAACGTGGTGCAAACGCTTCATCAACATTTCTTTCTTTTTTTTTTTTTTTTTTTTTTTTTTTTTTTGAGAACGCAGTGTGTGTGCTTTGTGCGAACGACATTGCATAATCCTCACCTGGTGGTGCGAAATTGTGTAGGAGCCTGTTTCGTTAGTGAGAATCTTTTCAGCTGCTTATCGGCTGCAATGAATGGGTGCCTGGGCAGAATGTCCATTGTGCGGCAGTTGAAAAATGAAAAAAACAAAACAAAAAAGAAACGGCTGGCTAATATAGTTGTTGTAGTTCAGCTTGCCCAGAAGCATAACGTGACTTTCGTTGCTTAAGTGTCATTGGACCTAATCCAAGTTTGTAACTGAAGATGTTGAAGTGTGTCAGCTTGCGCACTATGTCTTATAACTGGGGTATGACTCGACGGCTCTGTTTAGTTGCTTTATGATATGTACTAGAGATCAAATGCAACTTCTCTGTACTTATCGTGCAATGAGAGCATACAACGCCAGCAACCACTGTATCTCCATCATTTGAAATAACTGGAACTTGGCATTGATGCATTGGGTTTTCCTGCTCATTGCTTACTGGGATTATAACTCAGAATAAGTTAAATCATAGTTTGTATAAACTGTCAGCTTAGAATAATCTGATAGGTGGGCATACTTTATTACGTCATTGCAGCTGGGCAAACCAGCCATCCAATCTCCTTTTTGATCTTGGTATGGGAGGCATGAATCTGCTTGACAGTCTTGCTTTATAAAAGCGCTACTAGTGATAAAAAGGTAGCGATTTCTCCTTGCTTGTACAATGTTACGAAGGGTGACATTCCTGTGAGAAGCCTTTTGTCAGTGTCATTTAAGGAAATGGCTTTGCTTTTGTGCAACCTTTTACTTGGATCAAATTTCATTTGGTGATAAATATTATGCACTATTGGCATTCTTATTTGAGGTGCGGTATTTTTTTAGATGCATATCTACTTTTTGTTGCCCAATATCTTTAGGTAATCTCTTTAAGGTCTGTATTGCAATCGTCTTTCACTGGTGTAGGAATCTCATCTGCATTATAGTTCTCGCAGAATATGTTACTGCCACACTTTAACTACTGAAGTTTGAATTATCATTACAGGGTCATTACATTGTTGGAGTGAAAATGCTAAGCTTGCTGAAAAGCAGACTTCTTACTGAGAAGGTTGCATAAGTGCTAAACAAGCCCATTATTTTAGCCACACGTTTTTATGAAGTTTTTCTGTCCATTAATTGAGTAAATGAGAGTAAATGCTCGCCATAGATTTACTAATTTTTAACTGTATATTTTACAGACCTGGTCTGTTTTCTCTCTTATATTTCCTCGAATGTAGAGAGCTGTTTTGCACTCGCAATTTCTGTTCCCCATAAGTGCCACTTGCAGTGGCATTGCGTTGGTATTATGTTTCGTACACTGTTTTATACTAGAATTCGTATGTGTCGCTGTACAACTGGAAGTTCAAAATTGTATAGTCTATATGAGGCCAATTGTAGCATCTGGGCATCTATTTTACTCGATGCCTCTATGTTTTTACTTGCTCTGCATTGTTAAGCTTGTGTGTCTTGCTATCAAAGTTTTAGTACATTTGGTTTTGTTTTAGTTGTGTGCTGGTGAGGCTTATCGACTTTCTATGCAACTTCTGTGTTGTTCTGAATCTTTAATGTTGTTGCAGCAGCATTTTCTGAAACAAGCCCTTCTTGAGAATGATATATCTATTTCCATTTGAAGCCTTGGGTGTGGGCAGAAGCTTTTTGTTGTTGTTTGAACTTTCTGCTTAAGACTGTGATGGAAGGTGACACAGTGTGACGTAGTTTTTCACAAAAGCGAATAGGCCATGTAACATGTTGTAATACACATAGTGTGGCTTCTCTGGCATACCCTGCTGCTGTAACTTCCAAGCAGACATGTGCAACGAGGGAGGTTTTACAAAGTTCTGGAGTCATGTCATTTGTGGTTATTTCACTTTGAAATGTGCCACTTGGCAGAAGGTGTCGGTGCGAATTGGCTGATTACTACCACTTGTGGAAAGGAAAAGAGCTACCATGTTCTTTGCCTAGAAAATAAGGTCTATGTTGCAAACTGTCACAAGAAAAAAAATGTTCTGTGAAAGCACAGTCGCTCGTCCAATCCCCTTCTTTTACCAACTTTTTCGTAAAATTTTTGTTGTTGGTGTGAATTTTTACATTCAGCATGTCGACTAAGCAAGAAGTTTACAGCAATAGTGTGCCAACTAGGTTTAATTTTGTCACTAACCCTTTGATGCCCAAATTATGAAACTGTCAAAGAAAATAAACATTGTTCTAATTTTCAAGTTTCAAATAGTAACCTTTAAATGATTCCACAGTTATATTGTCTAAGCTTCAACTTTAATGCATACTTTTGTGTATGTCGCAAATTCTTCATATGCTACAGAAGCGAGCACCTTGCAACAAAAAGCCTACATCAGAACCTCGCAACATGTCATCTGCCACCGCTAGAATGCGTGCACAACAAATAAACAAAATCATTGAAAATAGAACTTGCGTCACCCTGGCGAGAAAGAATCAAGAAGTGAGAGCTGTTGCAACCACTTAATGCTCTCCACCATCACCTACAAAACAATTGGTTCTAGCATAAAATACTTTAGACGAGACGGCGCCAGATTTATCATGCCGAAAGCTACATTCCCCGTGAGTGCGTGACAGCCGACATTAAAAGCGGTGCGCATTTCGTGACTTGCTTGCTCGAAGTTTTTTGGTATATAACGAGTTTGCGACACTCGGCAGTAAAGGGCTATACAGTGCATTTTGTTAACTTGCACTGGTTAATATGTGTAAAGGTTTCAAGATACACAGCCTTGCAGAAAATATGTACTGGCTGAGACGTGTAGGGTAAGGCCACTGGTGGCACTTGATGCAACCAAAATTCAATGGTACATGACTGCGCTTTGAAGTCTGATCGGTGGACAAGGACACAAGGCGTTCATCCTCCCCCTTGCATTTTTTGCTGCGCCTGTTCACTCACTTATAGTGAGGCACGTTGATGTGCAGTGCAGGAGTGGATGCCTAAGAGCGGCTTTCTAAATATACGAGACTGAGCTGCATTATATGGTTCTGTGACAGCACGCAATGCTTGAGCATTTTCAAGATTGCTGTGAAAGGAATGTCAACAGAGGTTTTTTTTTTCTTTGCGAGTGCAGTGCTGCTTGTACATGTGCTGTTTAGAACAAATTGTGCATACAGAAAGTTTTACACCAGTTCCCCAGTCTTTTGGAGCAGAAACACTACCTTTCTTGCCCCCTTATTGGCTATGGCCAAGCCTAGCTAGCTAGCTCAAGATCATCTCCATTCTGCTCATAGTCATGTGACTTTGTGCAGTTTATTTTCTGCATTCTACGTTCCATATTGAGCGCTGATCAAAGGGTTGCAAGGTAACCATTTGGGTTCATGAAATTCTGTCATGTAAACAATGCTTTTGGTGTCTTATCTAAATGCGAAAACATTTTGCAGGTTGTGAGGGTCAGCCACTCGAGTCAAAAAAGATGTTGGCCTCTTGCATAATGTTTCAAATATTGAGCATCCACAAGTTATCTTTTCAATGACTACTCTGGAGCTCAAATAAGTTATCGGAATACTTACACTACTTATTTCTTTCATAACCTGTATATGCTTTGTAGAAAAAAAATAATCACTTCTTGTGGCTGCTTTTTCCCCGAAACTTACATGAGCCAAAGGACTTGTTGCTGGGCTAGTTGGTGTTGGATCACTTTCATAATGTAGTACAGAAAAAAAAAACAATAAGACGAGCAACAAAGAATGACACGCCACAAGCGCTTGTGGTGTGTCGTTCTTATTGGTTTTTTTTTTGGGCTATATTATGAACATTATCACATGAGTAGCTCTTTGACATGTTAAAATTATTTGATTATGACGCACTAAACTTTTGGGCTTAAAGCGTACACATAATCTTGGCTTTTAGGGCAGAATATGTTGTTTGTTTCTTAAAAAGTTGTGCACATTGATCTTTGCAAATTCGTTCGTGTGAAAGGCACTTTTACAACCTTCACACCTTACGTTTGTAACATAATTATGCTTTGTTACCAATATAATAGCCTTGTTTCACTTCTGTTTTATTTCTCACATGTTCAGTTTTCATTCCATTCAAGCCTACTTATTGGAAATCTTGTGTGTTAAGACTGTTAGCCATGATCTCGTATAATCATGAGTACCGCATTTACACACATAATTCGCGTGCTTTTTTTTGCTCATTATTTTGCGGCACCAAAAAGGGGATGCGCAAGTTATGTGGAGATTTCATGAGCTCATCCGTAATAGTCTGCAATAGTATACGGTTCTAACGTGCACATTATATACTTTTAAAGAAAAAAATAACAATTGGAAGCACAAACGAAGTATAGTTGTTTGTTCAACAAAATTAGCACATACCTTAACTAGCCACATTCGGTCATGCGCAGTCTAGTTGAAGTCACTGGCCGAGAGGTTCCGTTTGGGAATCGTTGTCGCAGCTGCTGCTAAGGGTGTCGTTCCTCAAGCATGTTCGAATAGCCCATTTTTCTAAGCTCTTCTCCACAATGCTGGGAGAAACGAACCAAGTCTAAGACGTGGCAATACCGCAGCTAAGCTTTTTGCACATAACTGAAAATGTCTTCCTCTTTTGCTTTGCACTCATATCAAATGTCACACATTGAAGAACTTCACGCTGAAGTGCTTGCGGCGGCACGGTTCCCGTTTTCTTTGGCAAACTTTATAACAGCGAGCTTGAATTTCGCCATGTATATAATTATTGTAGCCCATTGCAAGGGGATCGGCAAAACGCGACAGACAGACGGTGGAACCTAAACTTCCGAAATCAACGAAGCGTGCATTGCTGCACGGAGGCAGGGAACTAGAGGTACAATTGGCGTGGCAGACCCTCGCACACCTTTGATGCGGAAAATGGTACCTGCCATGTCGCGAGCATGCGTTGTCGCAACGGAAGAGATGGAGAAATAAAGGGAGGCAATTTTTAACAATCTTGTCTTGAATAAACCAAATAAACCAAACCAAATGCTTCAGCAGTTCTCACAACCCGTCAGCAGGTTTGGGGTGTTCACGTATTGTATTATAGGGACTGTAGTTCAGGGAAAGTTCTCAGAAGAAGGGACTTGACACTCGCGGCCCGTTTTATGCATGACTGTGCTCGCCTGCTTGGCGAGGAACGCACCCGTTGAAATTACTTTTTGTACGTGTGTTGATGGGCTGGCTTGGGCACACAGGGGAGTGCAAAATATGCAAGTAAATATTTTATTTTTAGAAAGCTGGTTAAATATGAGGGGTGTGCAAATTATTCAAATAAATACAGTAGTTAGTTTACCATCACATTCTTATTAAGTTACGGTTACAGAAGTTCTAATGTAGTGTTGCTTTTCACGGCTGTGGCATGAGTATATACAGTAGTTGGTTTACCATCACATTCTCATTAACCTTACAATTACACAATTTCTTATGTAGTGTTGCTTTTTACAGATGTGGCATTAGTTTTTTCGATTTAATCTTTAGGCTGCATGGTCATGATCTTGTATTTTGAACACTATACCATTGTTCTGTTGAATGAGCCATATACAACACAATTGGCAAGACATTATGCAACTTCTGAGCCACGTCTATCACATTGGTCTTTCATCAGCTGGTAGGGCATGCATTGATAATTATATAAAAATTTTCACAGCACTATTCAGTTGAAGATTTCTACAATGTTCAATATAAATAACTTGGCACTTTGTGTCGTACTTAAATTAAATGGAGTTAGGTAGTTTGACATGACAGGAGAAAGAAGTCTGCAAGTTCAGCATCATTACCTTGGTAATGGCCGAATGACTGCTTGAAATTTAGATACATAGGAAATGCTTACTTATGCTTTCACTGAATGCAATAAATTAAAACAGGTGTCATCCCCATGCGTCATTAATGTACTCTGTATTTAACCAACCTGCGAGAAAGCGCTTCCCTATTTGAAATGGTCATATTTAATAGCAACATTCACGCAGCCTGCGTCCACTTAGTGATGTACTTGTTAAGGAATAAGTGCATCTAGCATGTGTGTAAACAATGAAAACGTTGCCAGGAAGCAATCTGAAAGTGCTCCGTTCACAATTGTATCATTTTAAGCTAATCATTATGTGCCTAAATATTTTGTTTGAAGTGCTAGGACTATACAGAGCTTGTTTTCTTGTGTAACTGGCGAAAAATAAAAGTCCTTACTGTTCTCTGATGAAGGCACTGTCATTTCTCTCAAAAATAAGAAGCAGGTGGGTTTATTTTGTTTTTAAAAAAGCAGAGGGCATGGTGAAAGTGCAGTCTCTGGGCAGTAGATTCTCAAGCTCCTTTGAAAAAACTAACGAACAAGTATCGTTAAAAAAAATGGGCTTTACATAGCTCCTCTAGTGTCCTGTCATTACTACTTCCTTGATGCAACGGCATATAGGAGCTCTAAATCTAGGTTTGTTGCTGTGAGCTGCCCTTATGCAATCATTGACAGCTATCGTAGTGGCCTCCATTGTTTGGTCATTATAGCCAGGCATCGTTCTTAGCCTCTAGTCTGCCATTGAATTGAAGCAAAAGACACTTGGCCCACTGCTGCCACCAATGACTAGGAACTTTCTGCAATTGAGATGGTGCACAGTAGGGAGCTGGACTCTGTGATTGACTGTAGAAATGAACGACGAATTGACTGAGGCAATGAACGATGAATGCAGTGGCATTATGATCCTGTCACCACTACATGCAGCAAGAAATAGTTAGATTTGCAAGCGTATTCAACTTATCTCTATCTTCCACATTTTTGTGCTGCTTGGTGACGATTGTTGCATTCTATGGTCTCCAGAGCCCTGGATAACGCACGACCTTGGTGAACGTTGTCTCCTTGCAGGAACGACTTCTGCCATTGAATCAAGATGTTTGATTCGGTTGCACAACCAAGAAAAGATCCTTGAACAAGAACCTCAAAGAAGATCCAGCATTTGCAAATAATGAATGCGACATATCTTGCACTTTGGGTGGTCTCCACATTTCCAGCAAACCAACAATTGCCGTAGGCACGCATTTCAGATCATGTTTTCTCGCACTTGCCTTTCAGTTCAAATTAGGCGCTCAGAAGAACCCACAACCGAGAGCTTTGTCTTTGTATGGATAAATAAAGCCCTACAAGTTTGGCTCTTCTGTGATGGCGAAAAAAGACCAGATTTAAGCTAGGACGTCATATTTTATGAGATTTGGTATGCACTGTGATATTTGTTAGTGCAGGAGCTGGGTTCCTGTACCAGTTTGAAATTGCTGTCTTTGTAAACGACCAGTTTGTCTTGGAATCTTACAAAAAATAAAGAAAATTCATTTGCAAGTCTCATTTCATCTTTTTATAGACCAGGTTATGTTGAGGCATGTGATTCATATATCTTGCAGCAGGAAACACGGCTACTGTAAAATGTCGACCAAGTGCCGCCCTCCCTTCTCTTGGGAGATCTTAAATAAGTGCCAATGATCGACCTGGGACCGAGCAAGTGCCCGCCTCCCAAATCTGGTCGAATCATTTTTCATCATGGGGAGGGGATGGGGGGGTTGCTCAGCATGTTACGGTATATGTTGCGTGAATATGTGATTTTGTATAGCAAACTGCTTGCTTGTTCACATCGGAAATTAATGTACAGAGGGTATTTTGATGTGCATCAGAGTGAAGTGGTTTTTCTTTTTAAGCGGACTAAATAAAGAGCCCATAGAAGTAGCGACAAATCAAAACAATTTCACAAGAATAAAACAATAGTAATGCCACTTTTTATAGGCATAAAACATCTCCTGTGAAAATTTTTGCCCTAACTGACATGTGCCACTATTATATTTCAGTCAGAGGCATATATATTGGGCTCTTGTTCCTGTGTAAGCTTGATGGAAACAATGTTGACTCATAATTTAACATATGTGAGACAGCAAAATAATGCACCCAAATTTGGCATGACTCACAAAGTGCTACCTGTGCACAAAATTTGAGCATGAACAAGTTAGCAGTATGAGTGAATTCCTGAGTGCGATCTTGCTTTAAATTGCCATAAACAATCTACAAACATGTTGTGAAAGGTGGCTACTTGGGCTACCAAGTGTGCGCTCTGTCCTATCTTTTTTCTGAAACGTTTCCTGCGCACTAAGAAAGGATATTTTTTTTCAACAACTATAAACATATGCCCAACTTTCACAATAATGCACAAAAACAAGATGCTTCAGGTGTGTGCACACCTGGAATCAGGCCCGTACCCAAAAATTTTGTTCGGGGAGAGCCCACCTGCTGAAGGCACTGAAAAACACCTATTTTCTATAATGTCCTCAGTAGAACATACCTTTATCCCAATTTTGGGCGTGCGCCCAGGCCCCTAGGGCCCCCTCTCTGGCTACAAGCCTGGCTGGAATACATTACCGCACCTCCAAGACAATGTGAGCAAAAAGCCTTCGTTACCTACAACAGCATTTATTTTCTTCTCTGTTTTTGTTGTTGAAGCAGTATAGTTAAGTTTATTTCAAACTCGTACGACATAACCTTACTGCATAAGCCAGTAAGCTAATGCCACAGCGGCAAACAGTACTACAGCACTGAGTGCAGTCAGAATCTTAATTTGTCCCAATCTGTTGCCTTTTGTCTTCTCCTCTGGCTCCGACTTTGGCTCTTTTACCTTGAATTCATCTTCCTAAAAAAATAAAAAACAAGAGAGTTAGAATTGGTATTCCTACCCCCTGCAGAACAAATGTTGGCTATAAGTCTGCCAAAAACAACTGTAACTTCAAGTTTAGCATCACTAATATTGTCAGAAGCAGTCTAGAGCAGTGCAATCATTTGTGAAACACAGTTACGAACCGTGCAATTCAGTCTACTTCCATTAACGCAATTTTTATTAGATCCTCGCTATGTTTCCCAAACCGGCACTCGTATTTTTCTATCCAAGAAGCTTTGTTGCATTGATCCTGGAAGAAGCACTACTGAATAACACCTGGCTGGTCAACATATATGCACTTCCCACTGACACTCATTGCGCTGTGCGTGGTTTTATAATGCTAGACGACGGTAAATGCGCAATCTGCCAAGAACGTCGATTCTTGGCCTGCCCTGTAAAGACTCTCACTGAAACTGCAGTTCATATTGAATGCTCAGTGAACTTATCGAATTCTAATAGTTTCCATTATAAAGAAAACTGGTCCACAAGTTACCTACATGGTATAGTCAAAACTAAACGAAAACCATGTTTGTAGTTTTTGCAACAGCCTACAATCATAGATGTTGCCACTACAATTTTCAAATAACACTGCAAAAGGACAAGCATCGCATAGGGTGACGACAGATGCAAACACGAACTGCTTTTGGTCTTTCATTAAAGAAGCCAATTAAATAGGTAAACAATGTTATTCATGTGTTTTCAATATTTTGGAGAATCATATCTGTCGCATGATAATCTAGCAAAGTGCTCAGTTCAGGCATGCGATGCCATATGTGTTTCGAAGTCAATTGGTAAATGAAAAATATGTATCTGGAGCGTGTTGGCCCGTTTTCAGACAGTGCAGCCATGCTGTGCCCAACGAAAGATCCAATGCTCAGCGATGTCTCAGCGCACACAATGGTGTATCTCTATTATTCAAACAATCACCATATCTCATTTGTGAAAGCCTGTAATGAAAGAGGTCATTTGTCCCTAACAGATTTTTTTAACGATGTCGATTACAATCATTCATGCCGCCTGTGCTGGTTTTTGTTTCTGATGAGACGACAGAAATACATAGCCGTTACCTCACTGCATGGCTTCAACGAGACAGAGCGCTACTACTGACCTGTACTCTAGAACGGCATTCTTTGCCGCAGACAATGCTGTTTCCAAGTTCACAGCAGGGCCCCTCTATTTTCCGGCACTTGCAAGGACAGCGCAATGTGATCTTCTTGCGGCACTGGCTGCGAGAAGCGCAGGCACCTGGATGGCAGTGGAGTGGACACCGATGCCCACATTCCAACTGCAGACCAAAGGGACACGGAAACAGTCATGCAAAAAAATATTAAAGCTAGAAGGGCCAGAGCTAGTTGGTTGTAGACAGTTATCGCACTAGTGTTGGGTGTGAAAAACACAAGAAAACCAAAGTTTTTTTTTTTTTTTCATGTTAAAACAGCGCTTCGCAAGTACAAAAAATACAGTAGACTGAAATACAGTAGACAGAAACGGAACCTGCAGGGACCGGGGAAATATGTTCCATTTAACAGGAGTTCCGTTTACTGAGAGGTGCAAGATGGGTGCACATTACAAACCTGAAACTAAGCATTGCAGAGGTGATAGTTCCATTTCAGCAGTAGTTCCATTTAACAGATATAACAGAATAGCTGATGATGGACATAACGTTGCAAGTTGCAATGCAGGAAGTAACAATATGTATTAGTTTTTTTTAATAAATCAATAAAACTGCCTTTCATTAGGCAGCACCACATTGAACACACTTCTACAAATCCATTTGTTGCAAATTACCATGCAGAACCGTAGCAGGATTGAAACTCGTGCGTATTAGTGATGTGCACTGTAAAATAAGAATACTATGTAGCACTCATGAAGCGTTAATTGTTCAGCATTTCAATTTGTCCAAATATTCACCTATTTAACAGCATATTCGACCTTGGCCGGACATTTGAAAAAATACACCTTCAAATAAACAAATTAGTCTCTTTCTGTTTGAAATTTCATACATTCACCCAACACTAGTTATATATGGGATGGCATAGTTTGGAGCTACCCCAACCGAATTTCTTTAACATAAAACCTATTTAGGTGCAGAAACGTCTTAGCAGCCTGAATGATTTGATTTGTGGAATGAAGTAGGCTAGGTGCAAATAATGGAACTGGCAACAGAGCAGCATGTAGTATTCACAATTACCCACCTGTTTACAGCATCTGTTCTTGCAGCTCTGCAGTTCATCCTGCTTGTCCCTGGACTCCACCGTCCACTGGTGGCAAGGCACGTAGACAGGGTTTAGACCACAGTGGCATTTCATCTTGACGTACCTGAAAATCACAAAAACATTTAAAACTTTGCACTACACTTGATGTCTGGTTACTTGATGGTCAAATTCCCCATATTTGGTTTGTCAGTTGCCATCTAGTAAGCATCAAATTGTGCTGTTTTTTTTTTTCATGTATCGCATATTCCTGTAGTAATTCATCTCTAATGAAGCATTTTAATAGCTTGCAGGAGGCTCAAGCTTTGCCTTCAAGAGTACAATGCAATAGTGCTATCGGGTCTCGTTTATCGCCTTATTCATTCGCTTGCCACGCTTCACTTCTCTGTGAACCACTCAACAGCGCTGCAAGAAAATGAATGTCTGTGCGTGCAACATTAGCTACTGTAAACTTCCCACTGTAAGTACAGTCGCAAAGTACCCACTACACATCTGTAAGTAATTGGTGCACTTACGCAGTACTTTTTTTCATTGTTATGAATACATGTTCTTGAAACATAATACTCCGTGTGTGTGTATGTGTGTGTGTGTGTGTGTGTGTGTGTGTGTGTGTGTGTGTGTGTGTGTGTGTGTGTGTGCGCGCATGCGTATTAGATGAGTGCAGGCCTGTGTCATGTATGAATAGAAGCAGTATCTTGTGGAAATTGTTACTGTGTCTCCACCAGTCATAACTGATCGTGACACTGTAGTGAAAGCCGGCTTGTGGGAAGGGGCGCAAGTGTTCATTTCATTAGCCGTGGCATGTTCATGTTAAACTGCATGCATAGCTTCCATCACTGGAATGAAGAAACATGGAGTTCACAAGGGCAGCATGGGCTTGTTGGTTTGACATGGTACAGGGGTCAAAGCACAAAGTACGAAGACAGAAGAGGCCTGACACACGCGAGCGCTGCATAGCACCCCAGTGGCAAATATGACCAGTTGTAAATTCGGTGTTGAGACGAAATCCAACGTAAAGACCAAAGCTTTCCGTGCACTAGAATGGTGAAGATGAAAAAAGCAGACGCACAGTCGAATAAGAGTGTGTGTGTCTTGCTGAAGAAAATTTCTACAGGCTTGGTTGGAGCTGCAGACTTCGTTGACGGTACGGTTGATGATGTTGATGAACCAGAACTCGGCTCTTTGTAATTGACTGGAAACTTTTAACCATGTTACACAAATCGCAAGGTGTGACATTTGGTGCCAATCCATGCTTCTACCACACAGTATTACATGTGCTCATATGACTGCCTAGCCCAACATGACAACTGTATAGAATCTCTTTTGAAGCAGTTCAAGCACTGGAACAGCTCTGTGGTATAATACTAGACTGCCACGCGGAATACCCGGATTCGATTCCGTTTCAAACCCTGATTTTTATTCTTTGCATCTATCAGAAATTTTTGTTAAAAGGCGATGCCAGTTTTTGCTCACAACGAATATCATCAACACCATCAATAATACTAGATTTTCAGTCACACGGGTTCCTTAATGCTGTTGCATTAAAAGTTCATGCAGAGTAAAAAAATTAAGGCACCAGGTATGCTTACAACCAAGCAGACTTACTGGGTGCATGGAGAACAGTCTCCTGGGTGGCATGGTTTGTTACACGGATGAATGCAGCCTGGCGGGCGCAGCTTCTGGCAGCCTTCCTCGCACACACTGCAGTTGTTTCCGGCCTGTTTGAAAAGAGGACTCTTGCATTGCTTCACTATACGCTTTTCATTCACTCAAAAATAGGGATGGGTGCATATTCGGGCACTTTGAATATTTGGAAAAATATTACAGCATGTGAATTCACTTCGACATGAATTTAGATCATTCGAAATTCTGAAGTATTCGAAAGGAACGTTCTATATTTATATGCACATACAACTACCCTGTAAAAATGGTTTCACTGCAGCATTGGGGTACCATGCTGTACAACCACAGATGCCGGGAAAATTTGCAACTTCGCAGTCACACTTCGAAGATAATGTACATATTACCATCACCTCAGTTCATTATTTCTCAAGTTTAAAATTGTGTTATACGGATCTTACATGTACTAAGTAAAGTAATTTTTAAAGTGTAACATATTGTCCCAGTTATAACTTGAACCCTACCACTATACATTCTTGCTACTAGTCAGTCGCTTCCACTTCACTTCAAACCAAAGGAGTGATTCACACATGCTCAATTCCGATTCTTAAACAGTATTATTAGTTGAGTCAATACAAAAATAATCATTTCTCTTAATAATTTGTGATATATACTATTCAAGCTATTAAATTCAAAATTAATCTACCAAATAGCCATTCGCTTCAAATCCCAATCTCGCTATTCACCTATTTCTATTAAAAGCCATGGCTTCATGGAGAAGAAACGCGGATGAGCTTGTGGTTATGTGGCATCTTCTCCCTGTTTTGATGGCGTTAAATTTGGCATGCTGTTTTCTACAGCAAATGTGGCCTCCCGAAGCAAGGTGTTCATACACCCTTTATCGACAGCTTCCTGTGACCCCCCCCCCCCCCCCAATATCAAGAAACCCAGAAAAAGAAATTCAGTGCTCATCAACCCCTCACCCCTTCCCTCTTACAGGGAAGCACTCATCCACAAACACAGTGAACCCTTTGAGACAATCAGTACACAATTGTGTACATTACCTGTTTTTGCTAGTTGTGATGGCTAATAAAGATAATGATGCATTGTGTTCTAGATGAATTAAGCCTCCTGTCTTATAAATGTGCCTGCATTCAACATCATCTTGAAGTATACTGTAGGATACGATTAACTTAGCTGAAGGCACTACCATGTTTGTCAAGTTGCTCGGCATGTTGCCTTCAGCAGGCTACAGCAAAAGTGTGATTTTTCTATACTATGTTTCCGGCCTCAGATTTTATTCTATTTATGCAAGAGCTCAGGGTATATATATATATATATATATATATATATATATATATATATATATATATATATATATATATATATATATACATTGTCGTGACCAAGAAAGACACTGGGGCTCCGGCGCGCGGATAGCTAGAGCAAGGAAGAGGATGACGAAGTACAGAATAAGAACAGCTGGCCCAGGATCGGGCGTTGTCTCTTGTTCTCTGTCTAGCTCATCACAATGGCGCAGTCCGACAAATGAACCCTCTGCAGGAAGCCACCGGTACGTGTCTTCGTGGTTCGTCGGCAGTGCGGGTTTCTCCATCCAGGAACACCGTTCACGGTTCTTTGACGATGGAGTCAACAACCCGGCCGCTGCTTTAGCTGCCCATCGAACCATCAGTGGACGGTGTCCATGCATCCTCTGTGGTACGAGGGCATCACCCAATGGACACTATGCTACCACTTCGCGGCCGTAATACGCACGAGCTCCTGTCCTATGGGAATGCTGTTCAAGCTTCCCACGGCCTGCATTCCCTGTCCGGTACTCTTCCAACACATAAGCCGCCAAGAAACGCTGTTAATGCGTCCTTGGACGTGCGTGTCACCACCGTGAGTACTACTAGAACCACGTACTTCACGGACGCGAACCAAAGCGGTTCAGAAGCCTCGTGCGACAGTGCCGTGGAGCTGCGGCGTACCATCGCACTGCTCCGCGCCGAGACTAACAAACTGACAGCGTTGATCGCCGAGCGAGCTCCTACAATGTTGCCAGCATTGTGTGACATTAACGCAGTGTTGGATGTAGCTGCCTCATACGACCTTGCGGCAAGCACACCGGAGCAACGCAGGGACCTTCAATCTTCTCTGATCGAGCTCTCACACCAGCTCGACTGCTTCGCGTCGGTGATCTCTGCGTTGCCACCTGCCACCTCACAATCACCAGCCGTCTGCGAACTACCGCAATTCCACGGGGTCTGGAAAGACGCCAACAGCTGGGTGGCAACCGTCAACGCGATTGTAATGCGCGAGGCCTGGACGGAATCTCAGAAAAGGACCGTGGCTGTAGACCGTCTTCGGGAAGGTGCAGCGGCGTGGCACCGGTATGAAGGCTTCAAGCAGCAGTCCTGGGTGGAGTGGAGCTCCAAGCTCATAGCTGCCTTCGGCCGGACACTCTTTGATCTCCCTTCCACCACCCAGTCCAACCTGACTGGTACCGAGGATGAAGTTCAGGAACGGTTCCATCTCGAGGCTCTAGCTGAGCACTCCAGTTCTCCACATGAGCTTCCAGACTCGTCGCTGGTACCGGACCCAAATTCGTGTCAGCCATCGGCCACCCCGTCCTCTTTCGTGGGGCGGGATACAGAGGGGCACAGGGTAGCTGGACCCTTTGTGAATGCGCTCAATACCATATATCGAGCTCAAGTGGGGCGGCAGCTCGATGTCTCATCGCAGACTTCCAGTCTGATAACAGGCAACAAGACCACCCTCGAGCCTCAGCAATTGGCATCGCAGCCTGTCCAGAACGCCGACAGCAATGAAAACCAGTGCCCCAAACTGTACCAACGGAATTGCCTGCTAAGCGTGCTGCGACCACTACCAGATAGCCATGGTCACCGACAAGAGTGTTCAACAGCCCCGCAAGGCGAGGCATCGCGTCCACGAGAGGGACCCCACAGACGCAGCCAATACGATGACAGCTTCGCAGAATGTCCTGCCGCAGATGCCAAGACCGGCCGTGAATTATGTTTACTGCCACACATCACAGAAGTTGCGTACCCACTCTCGACACCAGCCAAGGCACCTAGCGCGTCTTTTGGGATACGCTTTCGGCAGCCCTCGTCCGGCGTTTTACGTCAGCCGCTGATTTTGCGGCCGTCCGAAGCACGCTGTCAGGTGCATGTTTAGCTGCTTACCACAGAGAGTCTCTGCATGGCCGAGACCAACCACAACAGTGCAGCCTGTCTCGACCTCCCGATAGACTTGTGGCAGACTCCGGCACCCAGTTCCAGCGTGGTCGAGGCCGACCTCCGAGATGCGGCCAGTATCGACCACCAGATCTACTTCTGGCAGATACCCGGACCAAATCGCAGCATGGCCGAGAGCGTCGGCCGCAACGGGGCAGCCAGTGCCGGCCGCCTGAGTCCACAGCACTTTTTCAAGAGACATCGTGGCGTGCAAAAGAGCGACCGGCTCGAGGCAGCCAGTGCCGTCCACCAGGGACGCTTTCCCCAGACCGTCGCTCCATCTTGCATTGTGGTCTGCGCTGACCACCACGATGCAGCCAAGCCTGCCCACCAGAAACTTTGCCACCAGCTCCGCGCGCGCGCAGTCATGGCTGAGTGTCATGACCAAGAAAGACACTGGGGCTCCGGCACGCGGATAGCTAGAGCAAGGATTTCGTTGCAATAGATTATAAAGTGTCTTGAGGTAATGTTTTGTAACTTTGACACATTTACAGACGGTTCTTTATACCTGCTGTCTAAAATGGTTAATACCAATTACTACTGAGCTTTTGATCCTCTTTGAGTCCCACCTGTGTGTCATTGGGCGCTCCTTCGACTTCATGACACTCCACAGTGCAAGTGTGGTTCCCACAGGTCAAGGACCGGCCACAAGGCTTCCCACATGAGTATGGCCGCAGTTCTGAACAGGCAAATGTGCTAATCTGTAGAAATTGAAGCATTGGTGTTAGTTAAACGAACCCTAAAAGGATTTTTATCAATGCATAATACAACAACAAATGCATGAATTTGTTAATAGCTCAACTTTTAACAGCTTGCAGGTCTTTAGCACACTGTCATGAAATTTTTCTTAGAGAGAAATGCTTGAGAAATACTTTACAACTATATTTGACTTTAAATGTGGGGAACTGTGTTAGAGCATTTTTATGTGCCACATAATAAGATCATTAAGCTTATGCATGCTGTGCTTCAAAGTAAATTGGTAAATATACATGTCTCTTTCCTGCCAATATTATTTGTTCGAAAATGCCACATAACCAAGACTAAGAGCAGTTCTTACGGAATGTTTGCCACGGCAGGTCAGTTGCATAGGCTCAGGACATGGGGGACAGGGTTGGCAGACCAATTCCATTCGAACTGCAGCTAACGGCTCCCATGGTCCAACTCGCTGACCCTTTTAAAAAAAAAAATCACATCGCAGGTTATACCTTTTTTTTTTTTCACTGAGGATGTGAAGAAATGCCATTCACAACGCCTTCTTCGACTATGAGCTCTAGTCAAACAATAACTCAATGTAGACAATAACACTAAATTATCATCCATAGAGGCCAATGAAAGAAGTGAGACAAAACTAACAATAGTTCTCAGAAGCCTGATGTGGGCCTCACCCCTTTATAGCACCCAAAATCACAAATACGTACACATATTATACTCAGCAGATCAAAGTTACTTTGCTTAATAAGAAGTAATCACTGAAAAACCTAAACTAATGTTCAGTAACACAGCTACAGTTGGGTAAGCTAGTATGGTAGAGCTGATGAGTAGGGACACTGTTAGCATTGTCTTCTTGCAATGTGCTTTATCAGCACTGCTCACTAACCTCTGAAAAAGTGCACTTCGTGTAATCTGTTACGCATAACCCCTGCCACCTACATGCACTGGTATGAACACACGCACACACATATACACAATATGCTTATGCAAGCCTTCAGCAACAAGGAGAATAAAAGAATCTAAAAGAAGACGACGCTTACAGTCTCGGAATATAAGATTACAAGTGAACTGAGCAGTAGTGAGAAAAACAGCAGCTATGACCAAAGTAGAAGAAGCAGGCCTGCTATGTCATGTGACAGAAGACCAGTCTAGGAAAGCCAAAAAGCTAGAATGCATCAACTTTGAAATGCTAGGGTCATTGATCATTAGTTTTTTTCTTTTATATATATAAACACGGTATGCAATAGAAGCCACAGCCCTTGGATGAGGTCACACCACATTATGCGTGAACGTACAAGTACCTACAAGTATATACAGTAGACTTATTAAAGGGAAACCTGAAGGGATCAGGAAAACATGTTCTGCTACACAGGAGTTTCGTGTACAGAAAGATGACCACTAGTGCAGAATGCAAGCACGAAACCATTGTTGTCAAAAGTACTTTTTCCATTTAAGCAGCAGTTCCGTTTAATTAACATATTTCCGTTTACTAAGGCTAGCGAAGTTTACCTCCTTGGGCAAAAATAAAATTGTTCGATACGTGCCCTTTTATGCGGCTGTAGGGATGAAAAATTCACGAATTTGCTCCAGTTTTATGTTTGACTGCACACAATTGACAATTCAAAATATCAAAGAACTATTTAAAAGAATAGTATCACATTTATAAATATTGATGAATACGTACTTCTAATCAAATACTTTATTGCACAGCATCTTTAATTTTGGCCGTCTATGTGAATGTACAGTATTCACGCATTGAAACGGGACAATTTAGGGCAACGTGAAGCACAACTTTAGTTGCCACCGTCTTCTGTTTGAGTCATATCAGAATAAATTTAACTCAAACAGATAAATCAGAACCGACATTGTCTTTAGAGACTACAGATTCGTCGTGACATGATGTGGTTACGTCTCGAGAAGTCACGCGGGCCAGTTGTTTCACTGAAAAATTTGATGTCACGTTTGAATCTGTGAGTACTGTACAGTTGGCTTCAAAAGCTTGGAGACCACTACGTCCAAAAAAGAACATCGTACTTCCCAGGGCTTTCTGACTGTATTTGGTCAAACGGCACAGCACTTGTTATCATGTCTTAGAACCAGTCGAAAACCTAAATTTAAGGCTGCCTGCCAAAGCAGTCACAATATTCAAGTTTTTCTAACGTTTCATGGTTTCTAAACTTTTGACGCTGACTGTACTGACTTGCGAAAACATGAGACATTTGCAGACACAATTTACAAACAGATATGCATGACTTGTCTTCCCTCAATCAATATTTAGACAGGCCTTCAAGTCTCTCTTCATGAGAGAATGGGCCCTCGTATCGCCGTGACCAATAAAGCACCCAGGCACACTCTCTCTTGCGCACATACAAACACACAGTATATATAGCACTAGTTGAACTGGTGCCACAGTGCTACAGTGAACCTGCCGAGGGGGCTGCACATCTCCCAAGGAAAATTGAAAGAGGACCACGACCTCCTGAGCACCCCTTGAGATTTAGACGGCACAAACCTGCTTGGGAACAATTTTGGTCCAGACAGCAGAGTGGCAACGAGAGTTGCATATGTGGCCGCAGTTAAGAGTACGGTTGCACTTCTGCGTGCATGGTGGGCAAGCGACCATCATGGCAGGAATGTGGGTCTCGCTTCTCGTGATGGCATTCTGGAGGGATGCTGGGAGGCAACACATAGCAATATATACATATGTAACACCATGAAAACATATTATAGTGTGCACAATTACAAAGTACTATAGGTAAGATTAGGATATGCTGTACGGAAGCACTCACACGAATATATTACGGAACAAGTGGTGCAAGTGACGTAGACACTTCGATTGAAACAACAGACCAGGGTTATGTAAAGGAATATGTAACAATACCATACCATTGCACTATAGTGCACTAAATGATTTTTCACTGCAAAGAAATTGTAACCCCAAAAGCATCTGCCAAATTCTTTAAAAGACCTTCCGTATTTCAAAAGCAATTTACCTTCAGATGGGCCAACCAACACAAGTTTATATGACATGAAAGACTGCTGCGTGTTGCTACAATTGCAGGTAATCTGCTTACAATGTAAACGGCACAGCACAAGAGTTAGTGTTTGTAGGAAGCGCTGAAAGTAGATACAACAACTTGGAAGATGGCAACACAATTTATAAGTTAGGATAACCCTCTGTAAGTCACAACATGAAATGAAAATAAGTCTTTCCAGTATAGTAGCTTTTATAGTGAACACTATATTATATCGTTACATATTAATAGTTATAAAGTTATATCGTTAGAAAGGATATATACTTTATAGTGGGCATTATCTTGAGAGTAAAAAATTGTGCCCAACCCTATAAAATACTGATTAACAGGACGACACCTAAAAATTTCATACCTTTGAAAGTTTATGTAGCAAGAGTGTGACCATTTAGAACGAAATTCAAGCTCCTCGATTTATGTATTACCATGCAATTTTTTTTGTGTACTCATAAGGACAACTCAAAAAAGCTTTCTAAATAAAATGCGGTACCTGGATATGAGCTCAAACACTATTTCACAGGAAAGCATGCCGTATGCAAACAAGTAATGCACCCTGCACTTAAGCAAAGGCTTCCCAGAGTGCACTTCGTTTCCACGCTAGAAAGATTGACAAAGAACTTGACGTGCCCTATCATATATTTGACCAGCAGGAAGTCCCAGTTAAGAATAGTAGCTACCTATTTTTCATTTTCTGAAAATGTAATATCAAACAAGTTGTCTGTCCATGCAGCACTGTAACGGAGAAAGGGATGATAAAGCCTGTTCTGGGCTTGCAACCATAAATATCCACAAATTTCTGAAGCGAATACCGCTTTTACTTTATTTTTATTTTTATTATTTTTTTTAATTGGTCCAGCTTGTCGTCTATCTTTACGCCTCATGCGGTGCTATCCCGCTCAAAATGAAGCGCTCACTACAGGCCTAAAACAAGGATAGGAATACTCAAAACTAGGTTAAAATGAACAAACGGTCTAAAACGATATGATTAACAGAAATAACCAAGAAGTAATCGAAATAAATAGCTTAAAATTGCTAAAAACATTCCGAAAACTTGTGGCTAACTATGGCGGCATGCAAGAAAGGGCACCACCGCCTCGCCCAGCGCAAGATTCCTCCTCCCATTGGCATTTCTCTAAAATCAGCGTGCGCCATTTGGCAACCAATCTAGAAAGACGGCATCAGCGCAAGGGAAATCCCGAGCTGAAGGCTCAGCAAACAGCTGTTGCTCGTCAAGCGCGACAAGCCAATTGACAACAGGCGATGCCTCGCCAACTGAAGGCCCAGCGAGCAGCTGCAGAACGTAAGCGGAGAAAACCGAACACCGGCATCACTAAAGCTCACACCGCTGCAATTTATCAGTGCAGGCAACCCAATCTTAAGCTCAACAGGCAACCCAATCTTAAGCTCAACACACAGCAAGCGCAAGTAGGATGTCTACATCACCAGACTAATCCAGCCGCGGTGAATGAGGATGCAGCTGCCATGCAGTGTCCATAGCACCAGAACAACGCAACCACTTATCCAGTGCGCAACATCGCAACCTTAGTATACCAGCATCCAATCGTCATTACACATTACTGCACAGTAGATAACGTTAAGACTGCACAATACCATAATGCCCACATTAAAAAACAGCAATCATAGCACCAATAACAATAGCAATAAAACAATAACAGCGCAACTGGAAAGAGAAAGAGAGGGAGGGATAGAAACATTTTTGTAGACCAAAAACAGAAAAAGAGAATGGAATCACTGTGTGTCCGCACTTACTCACTTTACCATAGCGGAGCTGCTACATCCTTTTTTTTATTCGTGGCTCTTTTACGCTTAAAAGACAATCAACAATGAAGTTCATACTAACTTGCAGGGCTGATGGCAGGCAGGTACCTTGGCCATTCTCTCCCGCCACAAGGCACGGCTATTTTGGTTGCCTTGCATCGACAAGTCAGCTCAACCTTCTTGTTGCACGGATAGCACGGGACCTAGAGACCACAACAGTGCACACACAGTCTCTGAATTGTTTTCATGATCCAGGAATTCACAGCGAAACGACGTCATTACGCGAGTACACAAAACAACACAACCACTCTGCCGTGGCTGTAACTGCTGCAAGGCAAAGGTAAAACAATGTACAAGATAACAGAGTTTACCCAGACAATTCTTACTAGATCACATAACAGCTTTAGGCTGTGGCAATAGCGCAGAAAGCATGCTTTTCAGTACATTCCGCTAATTCACCACTGTGCAGCCAACATGACTGCAAAAAGGGCATGCAGCTACTCCTAGTTCCACTGAGACGAATGTGAGTCAACATAACATGATAACATAACCCACTAACAGTCCTTTAGCGTACACATAGACGTAATACTTGCGTGCATAAATGCATCATCTATTGATAAACTGAGAATTTGGCTGTTTGCATTGAGATGATGAAGAATTGTTGGTGAACCTGGCCTGTGTCATCCACCACGGTGGCCTAGTGGTTAAGGCACTTGACTGCTCACCTGAAGGCCACAGGATCAAATCCCAGCCGCGGTAGCCACATTTTCTATAGAAGTAAAAATGCTAGAGCTCCAGTGGTTATACACTGTGACTGGCACGGCCGCCAGAGCAGACAGTTGTTTTGAGCAAAACCAAACTCTCTCAACACCTGCTAGCATGTCGTTTATCGGAATCATAAACTGCTGCGTAGTCGGTTGGAACAACAAGTACACGTCGTGTCCTGCGGGAGCCACGCTTTACAGTTTATAAACTCGTCCCTGCGTTATTGGGCAGCGAAATAAGTGGATCACGACTGTGCGACAAAAGGAGGGTTTGGTTCACGCTCCCTCTGCCGTCTCGCGTTCTGCCGCTGCATGCTTGAATTGGTCTAACAGACCACCTCTACAGGTGCAATGAATCTTATGTTATGTTCCTGGTGCCATAGACCTGGTGAGAAAAGAAATGCATGCAAGGCATTTCAATCCAGCTCAAGGGCTGATGGAACATTTTAATTAAGCTTAACTGCCGTCTATTCCTCACAGTTTTGGGGAATACAATGCGAGGCCAAAGTGCTTCGCTGGTTTGAATAGGACTGATCAGTTACTGGGGCGTACTGAGTTACGCAGCATATTACTGTAAACACAATTCGCCACCCAGCCCCGCTGAGCGCCCTCGGTAGGATCAAGCTATTAGTTACCGTATTTACTCGCGTAATGAACGCACTCGCATAATAAACGCACCCCCAACTTCAGTCATCAGAATTTCGATTTTTTTTCCCCGGGTAATAAACGTACCCCTACATTCAACCTGCTGTCCCGCTAACCGACACCTGGCGCCTCCTCTCCCGTTGGATCTGTTCCGTTTTTTTTTATTATTATTTTGCCGACCCCCCTCGCCCCTCTTCGCCCGTTGTCGCGTGCCGTATTGTTTTTCCTTCCTATCTGCGCGAGGTCCCCCATCTTATCTGTGCGCCATAGCAAGGTTCGGGAAGGGTGGTAGTGTAGAGACATCGCAGCTGATAAGCCCACAGCGAGCGAAGGTCACTATCCCTTCGCTCACTGTGTGCTAATCAGCTGCGATACTTCTACACTCGCACCGTTCTTGAACCCCGCTGTGGAGCATAGACAAGACGGGAGACTTGCCGAGCACAGATAGAAAGAAAAACAATAAGCAACGGGCGAAGGAGAGGGCGTGACCTTCGCTCGCTATGTGCTTTACTGCCCGCGCGAACCGATCCACGGTTGCTTCCTGCGAAAAAGCCCAACCACGCGCTCGCGATTTTCGAGCGATGACGAAAGGAATCGCTGTCGCGAAGCGTCATTCGTCGCTGTCGCGTCGCGGGTTTCTGTGAAACCAGAAAAAAATCGCGGCGATTTCCGCAACATGGCAGCACCCCGTCGCTTCGCTTGCTATCCGCGCGTAGAGGAGCGTCTCATGCAGACGCCAGGCGGCCGTTATATTGCCGTTAATCGGCAATATAACGGCAATAACGTTATATTAACGGTTATATTAACGTTATATTAACGGCAATATACGTTATATTAACGTATATTGTCGTTAATCTTGTTATCGACGGCTTGTTTCGATGCTTCGGGGGTAGCTTGCTGCAAAGCTGGTTACTTGCTACAATGTGAACGGCGTCATCGTGGTCGTCGTGCGAGGTTGCCGCGAAATTGGCAAAGTGCGTCGTAGCGCGCGCTTTTCGGCACCGCTAGAGATCACAGCAGATACAACTGATGTGGTTAAACGATTGCGAGAAAAGATAGCCGCAAAACGCTTTTACGGGGTGCGCGGGCGACCCTGAGACAGCTTGCGGAAGATAGCGCCGTCATGCAACTACCGAAGAAAAGTAAAGTGAAACAAAGAAGCTGTTTCCAAGCAGTAGTGGTTTTGGGACGTTAAACCCCAGAAATCAATCAATCAATCAATCAATCATCAATCATGTTTCCAAACAGAGTACGCGTATGTCAATTGCGAAAGGATAAGCGACCAAACTTTTTTTTTTTTTTTTGCATTACCGGATTTTTGCTTACTCGGAAAAAGTTTATATAAAATTTACTCTCAAAATAAACGCACCCCCCGAACTTTGCTCCGATTTTTAGAGAAAAAAGTGCGTCTATTACGCGAGTAAATACTGTAGTTGGTTGACTCTTTTTAAACTGGTGCAACCCATCATGGGGGATCGGCCATGAAATGGTTGGTGCCTCGTTCTGTAAATGAATTGGTTTATAGTCTCGAAATATTTAGCAACAGATCATTTTGAAAACTAATTAGCTTAATTATTAAACGGAAAGACTAATTTTGTAGAAATGAGCTTGATTTAGACACCTCAGCGTTCAATTCATTTCATCTCGCGTAGTAAATCACATATGGCATCGCTGATGCTCCTGTGGTTAAAATCCAGTGCTGTAGACCCAAAGAACCATCAGAAGTGATAAATTGAATCCCACACATTGGGGTGATTCATCCAGCAGTCTTTTTCTTTATTTGGTAAACAACCTGCATGTTAGGAAGAAATGATGCAAGGTGTAAAGTAGCAGATAAAAAACTAAGCGTTGCGAATGCTGTAGTGATAGATTTGCGTGTCATTGTTTGTTTCAGGAAGCAACATAAACAACGTAAGAGGTTGTAGTGAATGACAGAGATGTGATGGTGGCCGAAGTGACCATGCCATCGTTGTCGCCACTTTACAAGGTGAAGCGATAGACGAAACGGGGCTGTATCGTCCTTTCTGGCCGAAATCGTAGCACATTCTCTTTCTTTCCCATGCCTGAAGCTTTTAGCACGAGTGGTGAGATAAAGCCTATGATTATGATGAGCAATGATGATGCCGCGACAATTTCAAGAAAAACACTTCGCGAGACCCAGTGGCTGAAAATTGCCGCGGTATGAAGTCTCAGCAAATGAGCACGCTGCCCGGCCACTCATGATGATTTCCACGGTGAGTGGCAGCGGATCCATCAACATGCTCCGAGTATTTTGCAAGTAAGCAGGTAGTGAGCAAGCATTAATAAAATATATAAGTGTGAACGAAGAACAGCTTTTCGCGACCGTTATAAAGTAAACATCTTATATTACGTACACATGACACACGCACTCACAGTATTAACGACGAGCAGCAAGGCACTCCCTAACGTGTAAAACGTGGCCACTTTCGAGCAGGTTTTCCCATTCGTTATAGTTGAAACTGCGGAAGAATTTCCCGCTTATGATATCTTTAAGTCTCGCTCGAAGCGCTAACGCGCCGGCTACGAGTGCTTGTGCCAGTGTAGCTATCAAAGCAATGACGCACTGTTGTCGTCTGCTAAGACTCTCAATTTTGTACGCCCACAGCACCACAAGTGGCACTGCACGTGGTCTTCAAGGCACCTCCTATAGGTCCCAAACAGAGTGTATATTTAGGCGCATGTTAAAGAATGCCAGGCGGTCTAAATATCTGAAGTCCTCCATTACAGTATGTCTCATTATGATACCATAATTTTGGATGTTGAACATCAAAAATTATTACTTAGCAGGCCAGTATCCTAAAAACACTTAAGCCACAGAATCAGTAAACTTATTTTTCATAGCATTGCATGGCTATTTGCGAACCCTTTGTATTGTCAACAGAGTACCATGACGGGGTAGTCAACTCCATTACCAATAAATCTGCGCATGACCTTAACTAGCATAGAGTGACTTGTGATTACTCTCTCTTGCAGAGCACAAGACATAGAGATGGTTATTGCACCTGAAAATAAGCAGTAGGAAGTCAAATGTGCTGCTTGGCTGATAACTGACATTGAAACAAAGTTGCCATTTTTGTTTATTGTTATTCATTGACATGTTAAATATCGTTTGCACGTCTTGACACTTTCTTGTCTCACACTTAGTATCTTGTGCTATGCTTATATAGGCTGGAGCATTTCTTTGTGGTTCAAAAAAATAACCCTCTCAATTGTCGAAGATGTACACGTACTTCATTGCATGTATATTTAAAATGCATGCCTTTTTCAATAATTTTTCTTGCTTGGCATGTGCTACCACACTTCAGGAATATGGGAAATATTTTCGTGCGCTGATGTCTCTTCATTGTTTTTTTTTTTTTCTCTCCACAGCAGCACATCAGCTTTCATTTGCACAATCTGAGCCCGCCCACACGGTGCGGCTGGTTTTGGTTTCGTGCTTCAGGCAGTTATTGTTTCTCACACCCGCAAGACTGATGATGACTGTTTGGTTTCTAATCTCCAAAAGGGGTCACCGCTTGTCACTCTCTCGTTGATTGCTCCAGAGGGTGTGATTACATTTGTTTATATTCAGCACTAAATTACACAAACCATGCCACCATGGTTGTTTCCCGTTTTAGAGATGCAGAAAAACTACTCTATCTTGTTAAAATATTACTACTTTAGTATTAGTATTCTAAATAGAAAGCATTCTAATTACTTTAGTATTTAGTAAGTATTATTATTTTACTAGACTTGCTCGAATAATCGAGCATTTCAAATATTTGAATGAATATTAATGTACTTGAATTCACTTCGATTTGAATCTAAATTTCAGAGCATTCGAAATGAACGAATTGGTGTATATTTGTAACCCCTGTAAAGGTGGCTTCACTTCAGCAAAGGAATGCTCTGCCGTGAATACATAAAAAAAAAAAAATCTTCACTGCCACTAACCCCACTTCAAGGTTAAATGAACATATTACCCTGACATTGATTCTTTGTTTTTTATTAAGTCTTAAGGCTTATTATATCGGCTTATACGCTGTAAGTATAGCACATTTTAAAACGTACTGTAATTTACAGGTTATCACATGCATTCTACCAAAAGTCATATGCTGCTTCAAAGTTGCCTTCAATTACATTTGCACCAAATATAATTACATTCGCACATGCCTTGTTTAGATTTAAAATATATATATTATATATATAGTGCAGGTCAATTGGGTTATGCCCATTTTTTCTTTATAATGTGTGATATATACACTATTTGCTTCGAACCTAAAACTTGCTATTCACACAAGTGTAATTATCATTGCTCTTTCACTCACTTGGCTTTTCGGACGGGCACACAACCATAGTTTTCTTCCGTGTGCACAGCCACGCTTACACTATGGAAGTTTATGCCAGGCACTTTATAGAGAATTCGCCACCCAGCTACACTAAAGGAAGCAGTACCCGGAGAAGATGCCCCGTCTGTGCCACCAACACTCGGTGACAGAAATTTCGCAAAGAAATTCACTACGTGCGTGCGGAGTGCAACAAACCACTCTGTGAGGAGCCCATGCTTCAATTATACACTAAAGAGTTTTTATAACTACAGCAAGAACATTTTTTTACTGAAAAAGTACTCTGGTGCATTACATTTGTATGTTTGTGAGCTATGTTTATTACAATACATGTTTTTATTTTTTATTTATTTTATAAGCACTTTCTTTAGGATTGCTTGCTGTAACTCACATATAAAGCATGTGTATGCAGCAATATGAATGATTTTTTGATCACTTTGTGGTCAACCAAAAAATTTTACACAATGTTTTTCTTAAATAGATTCATCTGAACAATTTAGTTCAGCTATTAAAAAATAAACATCTTTGGGATGCATTTCACGAAAAAAATCTACTGGCACAGAGTCACGGTCAACTACCAAATCATATTTTTCAGGGAAAAATAAAAGTGGATGGTCTACAGTGCATGTAAATGTATAAAAAAACATACTGTAAAAAAATATTACACTGCAAAATGATCTTTAGAAGTCACCAATTATAAAGCCCGCACACCGCTAGCGACCGCCATTTTGCCATGGCGTGTGTGTGATGCCACGAGCTTCATGGAGAACAGCCGTCGCCTTGTACCTAAGCTTTGCCTCTGAAAATCATTCAGTTTTTAATGCCGAACTCAAGCAAGCTCTAATAGCACTCCGCTGTGGTCAATGAAGTCAAATGATGACTGTAGGCAAATGGTTGCGTATGTGACTTGTACAAACTCTATTCCCACATCCAATGTCAATTATATAAACTCACCCATGTGACAGCAACTGGAACAACGATGATTCTTGCAAGCCAAGGAACGTCCACACGGCTGCTCACAGGGAGGACACCTTCCATCGCAACACTGGAAAGCAATGACATTCAGAATAACTGTATCCCTGCTGACTGTTATCGTAATGCTAACTTCTACGCTTAGTATTACTTATAACCCATTGTTGGCAGCTATTGCCATTTACTTGGATGTTATTACACATTGACAGTTTTTCTTTGTACGAAATGATACCTTGGAGAAGCTGCAAGTTTCTAAAGGAGCAGGTTTGATGTCAACAAGTGGAACTGATAAGTAAAGCAGCACTGCTTTGACATATTTCTATCATTATAATCTCTTGCTTTTCCCCCCTGAAACATCAGTGCCATCTAGTTTGCAAAAGGCTGTCCACATGAGCCTTTTGTTTGTTTCATTTTCGTTGCCAGTTGTTGCATCCAAAAACTGCCACGTGCCACCTGACAGGAATGCAAGGATTCTGTAGCATGAATAAAAGTCCATTTCACAAAGTGCATATGTGTGATGTTCGGACATCATGAAAAAGACGACCAATCACATTTCTCACAAGCGAAGAGAGAGAGAGAGAGGGAAAAAAAAAAGACCAATGCACTCACTTTGCGGCTGCACGGATGTCTTCGGCAATCTCTGAGCCTTTTGCACTTTGTTTCACAAGTGTACTCCCGGCTGCACGGGACCTCTTTCTCTCGGGCTCCACATCGACACCGTTTGGAACGTATCTGAAGACACTGGACAGAGCAATATATTGGCAGGTCACTTTACTAGAAGAAATAGGCGAGACAGTGCTACAAAAAAAAAAAAAGAGGAACACGAAAAGACATCATTGGACCAGGCTTGTACTGAGAATGACGACAAATGTGCTTCTTACTGGAGGGCAACTGCCTAGGTGGCAGCGCTGGCTACAGTGGTGGATTCCACAAGCAAGTAGCTTGTCACAGGTGTCCCCACAAGGTCCCACATCTTCGGTGCACGGCAGCTCCCACTCTGAAGCAGCAATACAAAACAACATGCCAAAGCTGTACCAAAAGCTGATTTTACGAACATGGCTGTCTATCTCATGAATAAATACAGAAAGAAAGAGTGGCATTTTTTATCAATGTTTCCTATTTATAGTGCGTGCTAATAGTTGAAAATTTCCAATATTGAATCATACAGTATCCTATTCAACTTGGTCTATGAACTGAAAAGCAGCTAAATTATTTAAAAAATTTCTCGAATACCTAATACTCGAAAATTTGTTGCACACAAATTTATCAAGTCAAGTTTATTAAATAGTTCAGTTGAGTTACACTGGTTAGCAGTTATTACAGCAGGAGGTCCCAAAATTTCAGAGAAACTGACAGGGGGACCTCCTATGGCTACATGGATGGGGTGATTACAAAAAATACAGCAATAGTATACGGACTTGTGAGTAATAATGAATAAGCTTGATTAACAATAAAGTAAGCTTAATTAACATTTGCACAAAGCTGATAGGAAAGCATAAAATATTTCATCCTTGTGGGTTTAGTAAAGGCATGGTATGTAAATAAACGTCAAAGTACGTCCAGTGCAGCAGACTACATTGCTCAATCAGAATCTGCTCATTTGCTCTCGATACAACATTTGTGCCTTTAGCCTTAAAATTTTAAATACCAGAATTTGAGTGCTGTTTCTTATTAATTGCAAAAGTAGCTGTTCAATCTTTGAGGACCTGTTGAAAATATTCCAGTACATTGTGTTTACTGCACACAAATTAGGAAGAGAAACCTAGAATATTATTGAAAGCTGGTTTAGCAAAGGCAGTAGAGCTAATATGATTCTACTGGAACCCTCATCTCAATAAAGCACCAGCTATGATATTCATGATAGGTAATCTAAAAACTTGTTTTTAGCATTCATCTGAAACAAAGCCAAGGAAGTAATGAACTCTATAAGAAAAACAGTTCTGTGTCCTTTTCACCACAAACTGATTCGTTAAATCAGCACGAGCAACTGAACAGGAAAAATATGGCATGCCTCTCAACTTCACTGTTTTCATTCTACATTCTTCACTGAAGTGTACTCTTGCATTATCTGTCACACAGCAAAGCCCTGTCAATGAGAGTGTTTTGCTGACATGAATTAAAACGCAACGGCCTTCACCATAAAGGAGCAGCTCAAGGGTAACTCACTTGATTTTCCACAGGGGCACTCCCTCGGACCTGATCTTGGACAAGCCGAGCAAGGGCCCTTGTGACACACACTTTCACACTTATGCTCTCCACACGACAAGAGCTTACCACAAACCTGGAAAACATGGGAAAGCACATCTATAGTTCCTCACAGTGTGCCCCTTCGCCACGAGCTAAGAGGCAATCATTATTAGAAATGATCTGTTGGCAGGCGGAAACTACCGAGGACAAGCGTAAAAGCAAGTTAAGTGTATCATGAAAAAATGCAAAATATGAACACACAGACATGTGCAGAGAAAACCAGAGAACACTGCATTTGTGTTGTCTAGTTTTCTTCGCTTTAGTCAACTTTCGTGAATACCTACACACTACCGTAGGATTCACTTTCCGTCTTTATTAATAATACTAACTGTCGGGGTTTTACGTGCAAGCTTTCTAAGCTAAGCTTAAAGGGCCTCTGCAACACTGTTTCCCAAGTAGCCACTAAATGGTGCTTACTGCCTCATGAATCGAGCCCACCAAAAAATGTTCAGGATCCGTCCAGTACAAGCAGAGTTACAAAGATTTGTTGCACCCTGTAACTGACAATTCTCTCTTCTCTCGTCCCAACAAAAGCCCTGAAAGCTAAGCGGAAAGGGGTGGCATGGAAGAAGAAGGTACATCACGCGTGCCTTCTGGACTTTTTTTCTTCGAATGCGCAACTCTTCAGTGCAATCCCACGCAAGGACCCGTGGCGGCCTCCCACAACAGCCGCAGTAACTCCCAAGCATGTCACGCTTAAATCAGTCAATGGTGTGAAACTTGAATCTATGATGCAGTGATTTTCAGCAAATAGCGTCATTTGTCAAGAAAAGAGAAAGGAATTTTCAGCTGACTTCAAGAACTTATTGTAAGTTACTGGCCACATGCTGCACGATAATGTTTGGCTTGCGTGCTCTCGGGAGCCTCAAATACCAATTGGCATTGGCAGCGTTTTCTGACCATGCATAAAAAGTGTTGCAGAACCCCTTAATCTGTGCTTGGTGTTATTTTTTCCTTTTCTTCTTTAGCTGAATCAGTCTATCACTAGAACTGGCAAGACTAGCTGGTAATGTTTGTTTCTAAGTATGGTAGTGCAGTATAATGGCATCCTTGACAAACTGCACCAATTTGAACCAGCAGCTTCTGGCCAAGCTATGAGTACCTATATCACAGCCAGTGAGATCTATTGCATATACAAATACCACAAAACCCCGAGCAAGCGCCTCTGCATGAACGAGCACCCTCTTTCCTTTTTCTGGCGATCTTAAATACTATGTGCCAAAGACAAAGCAAGTTTCTGTCCTCTCTCACTCCCGTCTTTTTTTTTTTTTTTTTCAAACTTTTCTCTGCAACAGAATACTGCAGCAGTAGTCGTCGTAGACCGAAGTTCTGAGAGTCTTAAGATATGTGCCCCATTTCTTAGTACTTCTACAGTGTTGTGCTTCAGGCTTGCCTACTGAACTTTCACAAATTCTCGAGAGATTTCAAGAATGTCATCCCCCTTGTCATAACGCGTGATGTCTCACGTAAGGATTCTCTTCACTTCAGCAAAAACAGAAAATGCATGCATACTCAATAAAGCATTTCATAAGAAGCCCCCAGGAGTACATCTTTCTTGGAAGCCCTTCTACTGCCATCCAGAATTTCAGTCTGCCACACCTCCCCTCCAAATCTTGCCTGCTTATCTTTCACCACAGGAGAGGGTGGGGAGGGGGGGGGGGGGCTTGCTCGACATTTCACTCTAGTTGAGCTTATTGAGCAAAGGCACTCTAGATAAGGGGTATCTAGATAAGCTCATCGAGATGCTTTTCTATGGCTTCAAGAATACAATTTAACTGCCTTATGCCAGGGTGGTCTTTCTTTCTCGTTATCTTAAGGGTGAATTGCAACTTGCCATTCATTATACAGGGAACTAAATTAAGTTTCTCAACAGCAATAAAGAGGCAGCAAACATTGCTCGCAGAGCAGCCCGTAAAGTACCCTCCTGAACTTTATGCACACGCACAGATTTTGAAAAGTGAAGCTAAATGCAAAAGCTTACTTTATCACACTGCCACAGTGGATCCGCACAAGGCCTGTCCATTTTTGAAGCCCCACATAAGCAAGACTGCAGACTTTTTCGAGGACAAGGCTTGCAATCACCTACAGAAACATCAAAAGCCCAGCATCTGTAACTACTACCAATACTGCATAAAACAAAACAGAAGAAGCCACTGTAGTTTAGCAGCAATAAATTTGCAAAACTGCTGCGTTTAGGCTGCATTAGCTAGTGCTCATTTGCCGAGACTGCTAAAGACGTGCCGTAAGCCGTCATCCAGCTATAAATATTGCCACTGATTTAGATAAAAAGTTTCCATGATGTTTTATCAGAAAGCAAGAGTCAATAAAATATTGGGTAGCGATTACAGCAACATACTAGATTGATGTAAATGATGTTTCATTTCTTTTTTTTTCCTATTCTAATGTTACTGAAATATTTAGTAGGGAAGACAGGTGCTATTAAAGATAGCACAGAAAAAGGTAGCGTGATAAAGGTAGCGGTGTGGCTAGGGTTATGTCCAGACGTAACTGTAAGCACTGCAATCATTATGTCCAAACGTAACTATAGCCACCACAATCGTTACGTCCAGACATAACTACAGACAGCGCTATTTTTACGTCCAGCCGTAACTACAGCCAACGGTAGCACTACGCCCAGACAATATTTTAGCCACTGCTTGTGTTACGTCCACGATCCCACGGTGACGTTTGCATCTGCTACGGTAACATTTGGCACTGCTGCTCGCCGAATTAAGCGGCCATAAGCTCAGATTCACCGATTTACCGGAATAACTTGTGTGCTGAAAGCTGTGTCGTTTATTGTGCCGGACTTTTTCGCATATCAGCAGCTCTGTTAAACAGACCAGCTGACGAACTTTTGCAAGACGTTGCCGGTACCACTCTATTGTATCGGGCGCTGCCCTTTCGTTAGCTTCCTTGAAGCGGTCAACAAGGGGAGCAATCATGATGGAACCCTGCTCACACTGCGGTTAGTGGTAAACAGCGGCTCTCCAACTGGATGCTAGTATGGGTTGTATGAGTATAAAACGTTCACTAGGGTTAGGCCCATACGGTAACAGTAGTTACAGCTGTCCTGCGTCGCGACATACAAATATGTCGTTGTCCGAAAACCTCATCTGCCTAATTTTAATGGCGCAGCCCACGCCAATGTAGTATCTATAAAGAAAGGTGTTCTGTAGAAGTATCTCTAAACGTTGGCCCGCGCAGCCTACTTGTAGCGCATTGCCACATGTAGCAGCCTGTAGCCGCGATATCAGGCTACAGTTGACAGCAGCAATTTTGGAAGAATTTATCGTGATTTTATGTATATTATTGTGAACAATTCTTGGTTGATCCCATAGTTTTCATTATTTCAGAACCTCTCATTTATTTTGCACTGATATTGGGAATTGATAGCCTGTTTTAGGCCTGTATTGACCACAGCGCGATCCCGTCACATCAGAAAGTGGATGGACGACACGTACACTTGAAATATAGATTAATATAGATTACGGTTATTGTTGAGCGACAAAAAGACATCCATCTGACTCGTTATATATATATTTTTAGGGGTGTAATGCTAAAAACATGAAAAAATCACCTCAGAACACAAAATGAATTTTCACTGAGGCCATAGAGTTTTCTATGAGAAACTTTATGACTTGTAGAGTTAATACACAGACTCTACAAGAAAGGCTCCCAATAGCGCTAATGCTGGGATAATCTCGCAGTGCGCTTTCGTTGCCAACACTCACTATTTTGTTACAGCAGAACTGTACGGCACTGTAGCAACGCGGTTTTGCGCGTCCGCCGCGGCCACGAAGGCTATTTTCTTTAAGAAAAAAATATATATAGGCGGTGCCCTTGGAACATGAATGTTGCACTGTTTAGAAGAATACTCGCACAAAAGAAGAATAAAATTAAAATATTTGGTTGGGCTTGAACAAACGGCCTCACCGTCCTGCACGAGCTGCGTTAGCCAACTACGCCACTGCTGCCGATTGGTTTCGGCGAGTTTAACCAGCCGGTTTTGTATTGTTGTCACGCTGGATGCAACTCTAACATGTCTTATTTTTCGTAACTTTAACGGCTTCTATCGTTACGTCTAGACGTAACCCTAGACACTCCGTAAAGGTAGCGTGAATTTGAAGGCATGAGATGGAATCAGCTGGCACAAAACAGGGGGCACGGCAGATCAGTTGTACACCTCATCGTCCGACAGTGAACATAACTAGACTGCTGATCATGTAAAGTGACTGCAGAATGCACTATAAGAGACATTACAGTTAGAGCATCAAGATTAATCGTGACCAGCTATGACCACAAATTTACATGCAAATTACTGCACATGGACGAATTTATACAGAGCATCCGTCAAAATGTAGGGGTCGCGTTCACTGAGCTAGTGGGACAAGTATGCACAAAAGTTAAAAAAGCTGATGCCCGATGATGTACCAAGAAACACAAGAGCCTGTATTTGTAGCGACCTATGTTCCAAACAGTATGTAATGTACTTTGATGGTGACGATACCTGCATGACACGCAAGCTGACATGCGTGCTGATTGCATGAAAGCATCTTCCCGCAGGGTTTCCCGCACGACCAGAGACGGGAGCTGCAGCGCCTGGCAGTGGGATCAGCCTTGCCACAATAGCAACCGCTTCGCACCATTTTGGGACAAGGGGGGCAAGGGCCTGAAAGTAGGAAAGCACGTTTAGTGAACGCTGCACGCAACTTTCACACGAAATTGCAGCCACAGGAAATGTACGAGCAGAACTAAGCTGCATTAACATAGTATCAAAGTGCTGCTTCACAGACTGTCATTTAGCACTTGCCCGTGCTTGGCCACCCTTGCCATGGGCAACTTTTACCTACCATGGACAACTTGTGCCACTTCTGTCATGATCACTATGTTACTGTTGAAAGAAGCACCAATAAGTCCCCAATGCCTTCCTTTGCTTCATTGTCTGTTTGTTTAATTAGGCTGTATCTAACAAAGAAAGAAGCCTTTAACCCATTCCCTCTTTCATTAAATAAGCAAAGATCATGTAAACTGCGTCCTCGTGAATTTCCAGCAGTCATGTTTTTATAAGTGCACAACGGCAATAAGCTACTGCGCACACACATAATCATCGCACTTGGTGGATTTTCACTGCATTTTCCTGCAAATAAACCAATTTGCAGTGAAAAATACATCTGGCAACAATAAAACAAAGTTTGTGCAAATTGATACAATATCTTCCCATACCTGCCGAGTTCAAGGATTCTGGATCCGGGAGATTCCCGCAACAGGGGGGGGAGGGGTTGCATCGAATTTTTTTTCCCATTTTTTCGGCACCAAAAGAAAAAAACAATATCACGAGAAACAATGGAGGAAGGTGGTCCTGAATCACAAGCATCAGAACTGCGGTCTTATAATGGCTTGAAGTGGCCGAACACACGAGGGTATAGGGTTTCCCACGAAGATGCGTCTCAAAAGGGGAGTGCGAATGCTCCCGAAATTTCCATGTCATCAGAACAACTAGCAAAATCTACTTCCGTCTACATAACTTACGTATGTCTTCCTGGGACACACGTGAATAAACGGGACGGCGCAGCTGGCTGCCGCGAAAGCGATGGTTAAAGCTTTGTTTGCTGCTAGATTTTTTGACAGAAACACCAAATTGCTTCTAGCCTTTTTTTTTACGTTTTCACTGCCTTATCTACCACTGCATAAGCTGCATGATCTCAAAGTTCGTAGATCGCCATCGCATCGCCGCGACCGCAACTTTGTGCGCGGCGGTTGCGGCCAAACGGTAGTTCCGTTTTCAATACGCATTCATTGGCTACGCCTTCAAAACTAAGTCATTTTATGCAATGCATGAGCAAATCTGCCGCGGTTTTGTCTACAGAGTTTGCGGAAAGCAGTGCTGCTTTGACTGGTCGAGCGTTGGACACGCACACACTTTTATGAATTCTGTCAGTAATGTTGTCGCCATACTTGATCTTGTAAAAAAACTGTGGTTCAGTCCACAGTGATTGTGGTAACAACAACTACACGCACTGTCGAAGACGGTCTATGTGTTGGTTGCATGCATACTTTTGAAGCTTCGAGCATGCTGCACATCGATCTGCCTTCGTTCAACGGCTTCAACACTAAAATTCATAGCACACGCCGCGATTAGAAAAAGTGTTCGGAATATTTGAATTTTTGCGCAGTGGACACAGAAAAATTCGGCTAAGGAATTTTACGAACTCATATCTGCCGCGGTTTAGCCTCACTGAGATTCTACTGTACATATAGATGAACACCTCCTAAATTCGTTTATGATAATATGCTGTGGGTTTGCAAAAAGCCTGGAGCGAATTGACTTGCATTTTTGTGAATGCAGCCAGATTACAAACAGAAATTTCGATTTCCAAGAAATTTTCAAGATAACCATACAAACGTAAGAAGCGGTCCGAACCCGGGAGCCTCCTGGACAATCCAGGAAACTTTGCAGGTATGCCTTCCTATGCTAGCTGACCAACCACAAATCATGGATATATATATATATATATATATATATATATATATATATATATATATATATATATATATATATATATATATATATATATATATATATGCAGAAGAATAACTTCGGTTGCCGCAAGGTTATAAATATGAAAGTAGATGCGCTTTCACATAACAACTGTTTTCACATAAAACGGTTGTTATGTGAAAGCGCATCTACTTTCATATATATATATATATATATATATATATATATATATATATATATATATATATATTGTTATGTAACGGTGAAGGCAACCTTTATTAGGCCCAGAAGGCACGATGAAGCGACCACACCCAAGGCACAGAACTCGGGCAAGCCAAGTCCCCACAGCAGATGAAGATGACGACCACTCATGATGATGAACATGTGTAAAGATAGTAGATGTGCTTAATGAATGCCTACTATATATGTATATATATATATATATATATATATATATATATACTTGCACAAATACTAATGCATGCGTGAATGTACAGTACGGTCCACTCTTGGAGGGAACATGGGAACGCGTGGCTGGCGGCCCGCGTGGCGCAAAACTGGCGGCGAGATTTGTAAACGCTGCGCATGCGCATAGAGGCGAAAGGGTGGGGCTCGCCGCCTTTCGTCTGCTACTTCCCGCTCCGGTGCTTGCCGTGCGCTGGATACAGCGTTCGCATTTCCCCACTCTCCCTGCCCCTCCCCGGGTAATCAGCGTGCAGAAAAAAAGTGCCTGTCGGTTGTTGTTGTGCTTTCTCGACAGCTTTGTTGCAATTTCATTCATGGCCACAGCAGCCGATTTTAGATTACAGGCAAAATGCAAAGAAAAGCCATGTGCTTATAGTATTTAGAAGCATGTTAAAGAAACTCATGCTTGAAAATACTTCAATGTATGCCACTACGGTGTGACATCGAATTTTAGAATTGTTGTGGATTGCAATACGCAGCAAATGTAAGTTCTAACTCGCGTCACATTTCGTTTTCTTCGTTGAAGCGAAAACGCCTGAAGCTCCTTATTTCGAATATGCGATAGCGTTCACTTTTTCGAAAATCATTACATTTCACCAATACGCGCGCTGAAAAATGGTGTACGTAGGACGCTATGGAGTAAACAAAGAAAAATTAATTTATCAAACTTAGACAGGTTGAGTGAGGTCAGATCTTTAGCTTCGAAACATATGAATAGTGCAAAGGTAATGAAACACATCTCAGCCCCTGTGAAACACACAATAAAATGCAAATGTGTGTAAGCAAAATAGGACTACTCGTGACAGAACTTGGCAATGGAAAAAAATACGTTCGTAATGCCGATGATTGCGCTGGTAATGAGAAAGTGGCCATTTTGCAATAACAGTGACATCCCGCTGGCTGTATTCTCTGGTGTACAGCTCGACTATTCGAAGCCTTTCCTCCTCAGGTACTCTAGCCATGTCGCTTTTAAGAAGTAGCTCCGCCGAAAATGTGATCAGCGAATAAATATGCCCCCAGCTGTGGGAACCTGTGAAAGCGATAACGAAGCGCATCACTCACGTAGCATAATGCTTGTGACTCACCAAAAATGTAATCGTAAGCTTTTCAAAAGCCGTTCGAACCAGCTAGCCGCTTTTAATAACAGACTTGGAAATTGATGGTCGATGAAGCGAGCACAGCAAGCTTGTCACTAGCGCGCGCCGAGCGTAGCGCGGGGTAGTAGCAGACGACGTGGGCAAGTACCGCCCTTGCGATTCTGTGCGCATGCTCCGCGTTTCCAATCTCGCCAGCAGTTGGCGCCCCGCGGACCGCCGGCTACGTGCTCGCGTGTTCCCCCTAACAGTGGACCGTACTGTAGGTAAAAAATGGTTGAATAACTCCAAATAAATTTCTGGCTACACCCTTGCTCCTGTGTTCACTCCGGTATCGTTTGTAGAAAATTATGGCCCCAGCAACCAAACCACGCAACTAGGGTGAACAAAAAAAAAAGGAGGAAATTTTAAAGGTTTGTGTCTGTGTCTGATACAAACCTAATAAAAATCAACACATAAAGAAGTCGACAAATGCCCAAATAGTGTGCCTGCACGGGCTACAGTATGAGCCTACTGATGACTTCTATGGAAGTGTTAAACAAACATTGACGCTTCCACACACCCACACACCTGGATGACATAAAAGCAAGCACCGGTGGCCGCAGGCAGGCACTAGCTCCCGCGAGCAGGTCTGGCCGCAAGAGTGTGGCACCAGCCAAGGGTCGTACTCGGGGTTCACCTTCTGGCCACAGAAGCACCGATACTCGTTCAGTCCCTCCCTGCTGCTGTAGTCCTGCCGACACTTTGGGCTGCAAGTGTGGTGCCCAGTGAAGTGAAACCAAACACATCAAGGCGTGCATGCTACAGCGTTCCTATTGTCCCTTACTGTCCCTCAGCGTTCTTACTGTCACTTTTTTGTTTCCGTGCTTGCGTGTTTCTTTGTTTTTTCTATTTCACTTAGCCACTAGAAAGGCATCAAAGTCTAGTACTCCAACAAGCCCAGCAAACTGCTGCTCAAGTGCCCCTTTGAGCAGTGAGGTTATGCGATTGCCTACCACCTGTGAAGCCAGTCTAATCTGCCAGAACCACTCCTAACAATAGACCTCGCTTATTCGCTGTGTGCACTTGTCTGTACTGAACGTTTTTGCAGTATTAGTTGTCATTCAAGTGAAAAAAAAAGTAAAAAAATTCTAAATGTGCTTGTTGATCTCTCGCACTTTGTTTCATTTTCCACGGCATAGTACACGCATATTGTGCTCTTACGCACTGTGTATGCAGAGATAGTTAATTCGTCTTCAGTAAACAGAGTTGCAGGAAAGCTAGATTTACAGTTGCGAAAACGGTCTACAAGCTACGTGGTACCTAAAAAATTCTTTGACCCTAATTCTTTCCTGCCACTGCTTCAACAGGATGGGGATAAAAAGATTGCCCACAAACTTTCGTGCCATAAAGAAGCCATTTGAAGAAATTAAAACAAATAAAACCTGTCAACTAGCTAACAGGTAAGTTTATTACACTCAGTACTCATTTATGCCAAACACCTGGCATGCCACCAAAGTTTTACAAGTAACCGATTTTTTTTTAAATAGGGGCCTAGCAGATATAGATACATAGGCTTGCATTGCAGGGCAGCAAACTGAAAAAGTCTGTTGAGACTATGCGCTTAAAACGCTCGCATAAGTCGGGAAGCCCTGGAAAGCTGTGCTCTAAGGTGAATCTATCTACTCAATAACAAAGCTGCCACTAACCAGTGCCACTGCAACTTCTGCTGAGCTACGGGATCTTCCTGTTGTTGCTGCAGCTGCTGAAACATGCTGTCCTTGGCCCATTTCTGTACACAGCTCAGATGCAGAATGCCGTAGCACCCACCACATGACCAGACCTGCGATCAGACGAAATTTCATCATTACGATGGATGCCATTACGTCAGCTCTTGCCAGCACTCACCTTTTCAGTTCTTTTTATTGATTCGATACAAATAAGGCACACTAGAGCCCCGGATACAAGGTTGTCTGTCATAAACTGGACGGTTCTCTGCAGATCGCCTGACCCATATTATTCAGTTCTGCAAAGGAGAGTTAAAGCAAGGATGAACAACAGACTGCGAACTACTTAATTAGAGCCAAGCAATCTTAAACTCAGGTGGCTGGCCTGGCTTAATGTGACACTGTAACAATACTAGGAGCGCTGCAAGTCACGTGTGCAAACATCAAGTGCCATTTTTATCTTTTTTTTTCATACTCAGCACGATTCCTTCACAGCCCTGAAAAAAGGTCCATGTACAAAGTAATCACATGGAAAACACATTACTGTGTGTTTCAAGCCCTCTCTGCAACTCTTCAAGTAAGATGTATAAAATAAAATAAATATTTGAAGTTTGGTTCATAAACATAATTAGCAAGCTTATCATGCTTAAAAGGAGAATCAGCAACTTGGGAGAACTATGATTATGTACTTGGTATCAATGAGTGTGTAAGAGTTGATGAAGAGCTTGGCTTATGCCATGCTTTATACTTGATTTTTCATATCATGCTATATGTTAAATCTACAGTGGCATAGCTAGTTTGGATCGAAGAAGGTTTCAACCCATCTACCCATGCCTAAACTTCTTTAGTTGTGTATATGTATATACACACATACATACAAATGCACACACAAATAGACAAAGGATTCCTTACCCCCCTAAAGAAAGTTTCTGGCTGTTTATCTGGAGTCTGAAAACATCTGGAGCATCCTGAGTGTGCTTTGCACCTCATGATGTTCCAGATGCAGATAATGAATACAAGGACTTGTAATGCATAGAAATGTTTGTGGTACCCCTGAAAACTAGCCAAAGATTCGATGAAGAAACCTTTTTATTGCAATTTTCTCGTGGTGGTGTATACTAGAGACTCATTAGGGAATATTTTACAACACTACCCACGGGAATCTTACGGTTGGTGCCGTGAAATGTTAAAATGTCCCACATACCTACACACCTAGTGACATGGTAGTAAAACCCTGCTTGAATATGTATACAACCATAAGACACTTTTGATAACTAGCTCTGTTTGTTAGACCATGCTTTTTGCCTATTTCCCACGCTGTTACAGTGGAGTGTGTGGCCGCTACCAACAGGTGGCATGGCATATAAGCTCCAATGGAGAAATTGTGGGCATGTCTGACAACACCTTTATCACAGTTGCAAAGTGAAGCCGCAGTCTCGCAGCACTTTCTTCACGGCTACTGTACAGCAAAAATTGTGTTTAGCGAGGAAACACGAGTCCTTGAATTACCACTTCTTTCTTTCCTTCCAAGCGCACGAATGAAATATCAAGCTCCACACAACTACCGTTCTTTTGTGCACATGGAGACAGCACCACACCCGACAGTTGTGCACAAAAATTACCTCAGCCGGTCTTGATGCGTGCATACAGGTGGTGAATATATAGGTGGCAATGTATAGTAGTCATAGTAGCAATATATAGTAGGTGACAACTTAGGTGGCAATATATAGTAGCCATACATGTGTCAGTACCTTACAAGCATGGACGCTTATTCGTTGCTTTCAACTATCCTGTAACATGATATCTGCAGTGATAGTGGAACCAAACTGTAAACTACCTTATTTATTAGCATTAAAAATTCTTTGACAAATTTAAGTTGCAAAAATTATTTAGGCATAACGGTAGTCAGGCTTTTCCCCGCTACATATTGTTCCTTGTGCCCTACCTTCAGATAAAGATATAAGCATTCTTTGCCGCTGCTGTCTGGCGACCATACCTTGGTGCACAGACATCTCAAAAAATGGGGCAAAACGAAGACCGACCTGAGTAGGAACCTACGACGCGAGAAAGAATTCCCTCCGTCTCGAGCTCTTCCTCTGAAGATGACCGGTCGTCTTGAGCCTGCGGTAGGAATCTTTCCACGTTCGCCTGTATTTTGGCGCAGGCTTCTTCGAACTTGCGGTTGACCACCGGTTCTGATGGCTGCGACGCGGCGTGTCCATTCTTCGTCGCCCCTCTCGACGAAGCCGGTGCTGCATTTCGTTGTGTTTGCAAAGGCACTCCCCAGGCGTTGTGTCTTTTCTCGGTTTCATCTCGCCTCTGGCGGCCGCGTCCGCCCCTGCCGCGGCCAGCCGCCCGCGGTTGATCCATGCCTGCCGAAGGCGACTCGGAAAGAAAAAGCGCAACTTAGAATGCCGCGAACACGTCTACGTCACCACACGCTTCCAAGCTGGACACATTTGATAGTACTCTTCGGCAGTTTCGCCCTTTACGCGCACGTCGTACTTTGATCTAATTGGTTCACATCAGAAACGTCGAAACTCAGCAGGCAATTTTGTGCAGCGAGAACTGCGAGAAAAAGATGCAAGAGGCGCAATTAAAGCAGCGTCGAGTTTCATAAATCGGAGCCATACACTTAACCAGCGTGTAAAAGCAGGTGTTCGGCCTGTTTGTTTCCGGCGACTCTTTCGCGTTCCCAATCCACGCTACCAATAAATGAGCACAGTAAACATCAATTCATTCTTCGGCAGTCGAACTGTCCACATTTGAGGCAACCAACGGATCACATACCAGCCGATCGCATCGGCTGCTCGCCAACGTGAACCACCGCATCAGCGCTGACTGCGGAAACAAACAATTTATAGAAGGGTACAGTCTTACCTTAAATCGCTTTAGTTAAAATATCAAACGTTTCATTGGCTAAAAGTTATCACGTGGCATGCAACAGCCATGTTGTTGCCAGTTTGAAGTACCTTGTGCTGTAGCGCTATCATAGTTTCTTGGCTGCTAATCTTTAGACCACAGGTAGTTCATTATAATACTCTCTAACCTCAATACTTAGCATAAAAAGCACAATACTGTGGCTGGCTATCAATCCGTTATAAATTTTATTCCAAAAATAAACGCTAGACATTCGCCTGGTTCTCGCCGCGAAGAAAACAGGCTAAAACATGAATAAGGAAAAACAAGGAAAGCTTTATGAGGTAATTACTATAATGCACATTTTGTACTAGTAATTAATTCAGTCAAAATATTAATATATTGTTCCGTACACCGAGTAATAGGTCGCGCAGCGCACCTGTGTACTGGCATCCGCTCTCTGAGCGGCTGGCTTGAGGCAAGTTGTAGTGATGCTTGCAGTCAACGAACTTATTATATCGCATCAAGAGTTTCACTACACTTGCGCGCTAATTGTTTCAACGTCGTGGTTTCGACTTTCGCAAAAGCAAGCGCGAAAGACGGCCGAAAGCGTCCCGAGAGCAGCGCGGCCGCCGATTGCTCGCTTTCCATTGGCTCCTGCCTTTGTGACGTCGACAACGTCATTTCTACGATAATGTGCTATTCAAGATGGCGGCAGGAGGTAGCGTTTAGCTCTGTCTGGCGAAAGGAATTTCGATCATTTATTCGCTTTAGGGCGTGAAAATTATGCCGAAGAGACGAAATGGTGAAATCCCGCTACCTTCCGGATGGGACATCGGCACCGACTACGACGGCAAGATCTATTTCATCGACCACATCAACAAACAGACGACATGGATTGATCCTAGAGACAGGTAAGCGAGGGTACGGCCAAAGGAATGCGCGTTCCCCGTGAAGGCCCCCTCGGGCGAAAAGCCCAAAGTTCTCGAGATTTTTTCGCTTGACCGTAGCCGAATGTGCGCCGTACTCGCTGTGAACGACAAGTGCTGCCTGTTGCGCCGGTTGTCACGTTAGTTGAGACGCTGTAGACGACGGCGTTTCCATTTCGGATGTACCGAGGAAGAGATGAAAAAACAAAAATAAAAGGAAAGAGGAGCATTCGAAGGAATGTCGTTGCAGCACACAGATGAGATGCGGGTTTGCTGGAGCGCGTTGTGTGGCGTCAACAAAAACAAGTTGCCGTCGGTGTACTGTGACGGGAGGTCCAGGGTTCGGATTACTTTCGACATTCTGGCCCCATTTCCCGCGACACGGGCTCTTTCGAGAGCGGCTAGCCGCACCGGCGGCGATTTTTTTTTTTTTTGTTTTGGTTTTTTTGTATTTTTCTTTCGAGGACGGGGCCTCGCGGCAGCTACTTAGCGCGCCGACTAGGACTAAAGAAAATATGCGGCTTGTTTGGCACGCGTGATGCCATCGCCTTTCGGCAGCCGCGCACAGAATGCGTCGTCTGGCTACGCTTGTTGACCGCTTGGCGAAAACGCTTTGGCCACACGACGTCGCAGGCGCCTTTCGACTGGTAGCTCGTTGCCAGCGTCTCGGTGAAATCTGTTCCCGGAGTTTTTTTTCTGCACAACCGACCGACGTCCATGTGCTCGCGTGCGGTGTGTTTCTGCCGGTCGTTCGGCGCGCCGGAGCGATTGATGCTGTGATGCGTCTTTGAACAACTTTGGTGGGACGGGTCGGGCATCGAGGTAGGTGCCCCCAGGATTTTGCTGTCCCCGGCAGCGCGGGCCGGAACGCTGTTCTAGGTCAGCTGCCGCGTGCATTCAGGAAGGTCGAACGACGTCCCGAACTGCGCCAGCGGCGGCGTTGGCACAGAATGCGGCGGGCAGTTTTGCTGCCCCATTCGTCGTTCTTGCTCGCAGATACTGCGGCACGGAACACACGGAAACGGCGCCGGGCCCGATAGGGTCCTGCTACTATGCGCGTTTTTAGATTCGCGCAGGGAAAGGAAGAGCAAGAAAAAGAGAGAGAGAGACGGCGGTTGCGCGAGCCCAGCGCGCATTCCTAGAAAAGGGCCCGAAAAAAAATGATGTCAATGAAGAACGGGTGAAAACGTCAGCCAGAGGAATGTTAGCGGCGGATGCCTACCTCTAATGGCACCCCTCCTCACCTCACCTCACGCAATAAACACACACACATGGCAGAGCGCGCGAGGCGGCTTTTGTTGTAGCGCCTTTTTCTCTCGCCGAAATTCCGTTCACTTTCTCTCACCCGCGCGCCTCTTTTTTTTTTTTTTTCCTTTTTCTTCGCGCCTGGAATGAGCGTCAGCATGTGCGTGTCGATAAACCGAGGCGCGAGTTCCCGCTGCAAGTGGCCGGCTCCTGTGCACTTCGCCGAAAGTGGACGAGAAAAAAACGAAATAATTTTCTTTCTTTTTCCTCTATGCCACGGCTGCATTATGGGCGGTGTCTGTTTCCGTGTTGCTCATCTCACTATTGACAACCCTCGCTCCATTCGATCACTATTAATTACATATTTTTTTTAGCTAACATGGCAGCTGTGATCTTCAGGTTCTTGTTCATGACCTGTGAGCATAATGAGCCAATGCACTGCACATTAATGTTGGTTCGATAACTATTGGTGCCATTGCCATCATGTGAAAAAAGGGTCCACTTTATGCGCAAGTCACACTGGTGTTGTGAATGTCAAGCTTTCAAGTACAGTTCTTCCAGATAAACTAGTTTTATTCAGCACTGGCAAATCAAAAGCCGACTTCATTACGGTGCTCATACCTAACAGATTTGTGACAGGATTATATTATTTAATTGTTGCATTGCTTCCTCTCACTGTGAATTTCGATTCTCTTGGAACAGTTATTCGCATAAGCAAGGTTGTGCTGTTTGATCAGTTATATGTAAAGTATTTACTCTTTTGTAATCATTTCAAAAGTTAATTAGAGCGCGAAAACTTGACACAATCACTCACACACGCACACACCCATGCATCAAACACACAGGCATACACTTATGACACACCTTGTACACAACGCAGAGACGATGCTTCTGTATGTCTTTTGTTTTATATAGATTTACAATACCTTATTGTAAAGTAAGGGCGTACGTCATGAGCTTGGACCATATGTACCATAACATTCCTACAGCAGCATGCCGCATTTTACCTGCAATTTTTATTTTGTAAGTCGTACAACGTCATTGCAGATGCTGTCTGTAGCAGCGCATTCCACAACCCAGTTTTCTTTGGCCGCTTTTTTTTTTTTAACCCCTTAATGTCAGGAGTTAATGTCCAGTCAGGAGTTAAAGTATTGTTCTCTGGCCTTAGTGATTTGTCAATGTCCACCCTAAATGTCACGAGCTTTGCTTGGAAATGGTAGAAACTCTTTCATTCTTGAGAGCTTATTCATTCCTGACCACATCTGGGAAGCAGTAATTGAGTTATTAGTTTTTGTAGGTGTTTTATATTTGTCATTTCCTAAGCTCAGTAAATTTGGGTAAAGTGAATCCCAGCGTGCTTGGGGCTGTGATCTTGCATAACGTCCAATTGTGTGCTGGAGCTATCATCGTCAAGAGTGCATCTGCAGTTGTATGCTTCAGCAAAGTACCTTTTCACATTATTCAATGGGCAACTCTTGGAAGGACATGCATTATATCTATATTCCACAGATAAGCTAACCTCGTGAGGAATATGTGTTATGAGGAAAGCACCATCGAGCGCTTCCTCTCTAATCATTGTGAAATTGCTGAAACCAGGTCACATTGAGTGTCATCTTTGCTTCGTTATAGCTAGAAAAATGGAAACTAAAAGAGCAGTACAAGTGTCTTTCATTCGTTATCTGCAGATATGCTATTATCTAGACCCTTCTTATCTGCGATCGCATTCTCTTCGTGCTTTAGCTTTGTGCTTGTCTTGCTTTGTTATTGCGCACGGCATTCCACAATAAGTGCGTAAGTGGTGTTGCCGGCATGCATTTCCATTTGAAGAAAGGTCGTTTCGTTGTTCTTTTTTTTTTTCTCGTGCTATAGGTAAAGTCTGATCGGAGGAACCCCTTCCCCCACCCCCCTATTATTCTGTTTTCTTAAATGGCTCCAGGTTGACAAAGCCCCAGTCATTCGCAGACTGCTTAGGTAATGAGCTTCCCTTTGGCTGGGAGGAGTGCTACGATGACCAAGTTGGTGTTTACTATGTCGACCACACGAACAGTGAGTGTTTTGCTCTTGTGCGTTTTTACCATTTGTTTGTCAGTGCTGCTGCATGGGTTGGTGAGAAAGGTTAGGTAATGACAAGGTTTGAATATGCAGACTGGTCGAAACATGCCTAGAGCATCATTGATGTCACACAAACATAACTATGCTTTACGATGCAAGCACACATAACACAAGTCTGCTAAAGCATTTTAGTTTGTTCTTGTTCCATGTGTCTGTTTGGTTTGTGCTTACAAATTGGATGCCGAGGCATGCCAAAGTTCGTGAGCAGCGAGTTATCTAAACATTATCATATTATGCCCCTACTTTTATAATGCTATACATCTAGCATGAGATTATTTGCAATGTAGCAACTGTTCTTTTTTATTAGCTTGTTTCATGCCCTTCGCATTTGTAACATAGCCTGTTGCACTTTCTTTTTTCTCCCCTATTCGAAGGGCAGCATAAGGCAGTGTTTCCAAGTAGGACAAGAGGTGTACTTTCCTCTAGGTTTAGTAAACGTGGTATGATTTGAAAACACTATTTAAATACTTCATTCGGTTTTCATGTGATACAAAGTATCGTTTTATATACATTGTTTTCTTGTTGTGAAGCCATCCTGAGAAACATTGAATTGGTCTCTCTTGCTAATGTGGTAAGAAGTCATTGAAAATATTTTATAGCAGCTATGACTTAGTCTTTTGTATCCCCATATGCACATACTGGAAGTTTTTTCATTATGATAAATTTGCCGTATTTTAATCTGATTTAAGGACTGCAGATCAGGGCACACATTTTACATCAGTGTTTGTGTTTTACATATATACCCTTCTTTGTTGCAGATAGGTCAGCTTTTCTGTATCATATTCATGCACTTTGTATCTGCACTGAAATTTTGTTTCGTTATGTGTAAAAGTGGCTTCACCTGTGTTTTGACAGAAGTAATTGAACTTTTAAAGGTTTTTTCAAGTGTACATTGAGTAGACCCTAGCTTCAGTCAATTTTAAAATAAACTAAGGAATTATTGTCATGGACGCACATTGGTTATCCGTCAGAACGGATAGAAAGCAAAGCAAGTTCATTTCGCTGACTTTGCCGCACACTGCTGCATTGCCATGGCAATAATATATGAGTAACGCTATATATAGTGATCTGTAAATCTGGTCTTGCTTGTAAAATCTTCTTATGCTTTATTGTTTCATTTTCCACACCTAAATACATGTAAGTGTAGAAACATAATCATTGTCCTGTTGTAGTGTTACTGCTGCATTTCTGGTCATTGTGCACTTTTTGCTATATGAATAACCTATGTTCTTGGCTGTCCTTCGGGTTTGAAACGTGTATTTCTTTTTCTATCTAATTGCTCAGAAAGCCGCTATTAATTTCTTGATATGTCTATCGTGTTCAAACGTTAAAATGCCAGACTATTCTTAAATGGACCTTAGTACAGAGACATGCCCAGGCATTTGTCAATGCCAAGTGGCTGTTACAACAGAAAGGGTGGAGAAATCCCTTCACAACAGCTGATGCATGCTGCATTACCTTTTCACACTACAGTCATGTATTTGCCATTTGTAATCCTGAAGTATTAGGTTCTATGAACGTCAAAAAGACACCAAAATTGTTATCAGCATCAACCGTTGTCATTTATAAGCTTCTTTCATGTGTGCCATGTTTAGCAAAGAAGCAGCACAAGATTGATTGCATAGCCTGTCACATTATATGAGCAATGTTTACATTTGAAGGAGTAACCTGTGAGCAAGCGATGAATAATGGGTTGCCCTTTGAGATGTGGTGTGTTGCTTATACTTGTGCTTATTGCATTGCTTTCTTCCTTTGCTAGAAACGAATCAAATTGAAGACCCTAGACAACAATGGAGGCAACTTCAAGAGGCTATGCTCAAAGAGTACCTGCTTACTGCTCAGGACGACCTCGCAGTGAGTGCTTTTACTCTTTTTCTTTCTGAGTGCTGCTTATGTCTAACCAGCAAGATGAAAGTAACATTGTTTCTGTTCTTTTCCCTTTAAAAGGTCACATGCAGATCTTCACCACCTAATGTTATCTAATTATATTTAGTGCTAAGCTACACAAGGTTTCCTATTACAGATTTTTTTTTCTTTTTTTATAAAGATATGCAATAGCAAAATGTATCGGAATGAGATGTGTCGTATAAAAATCATATTCTGGTGATTCCAAAAAGGTAGACTCTTTGGAAAAAGAAGAATTTCAATAGAGCCGTAAAAGTTAAAAAATCCATCAATAAAAGCACAGTCCTCATTTAAAAACAGACAGGGAAACATCACACTGGACGGGAGCTGTCCTCGTGTGATGTTCCTTTGTCGATGGGTGCATACCGACATACTCGTATCCGAACAGTTCTAAATTCGTATTGCACTTCTGTGCACTTGTTCTATTAAAGCTCTAAGGTTCTTGCACCTGATAGATTATTCTATCATTCACTTAAATATAATTTTGCTTTGTTTGTGTAAGCTTTGCAAAAAGCTTGTTTCGTATCTTTTGCAAATTGGTTCACAATAGCCGTGAACAGTGGTTCAGCATTGTATTGTGTTCTTATTTTCTGTGTGCCTATTAGAAGAGTTGTGGGCCAGTTGGTGATGCGTGCTTGGTGAAATGAAGTGCAATGAATGGGACAAAAAAGGTGAGACAGACAGGACAAAGTGTTCCTGCCTGTCTCACCTTTTGTTGCCCCATTTATTGCGCTTCATTTCACAAAGCGTGCCTAATAGACTTGTCATTGTGTGGCTCTTGTAAGCTGCTAATGTGTGAATTGCTACAGTGCCTGTATAGTGAATCCAACAGGCTATGAGTCTGGAACATACAGGGAACATTATTTGTAGCTTTTAAGGGAGAGCACCTCACTTTAATCTTTTTTTTACTTATGGGTGAATTTTGATCAAACTTCTATCTTTTATGTATTTTGACATGTTGATTTTAACTATGCCATTACTGTTTTTCTGTGCAACAAGTACTTTTCAAAAATATTGAGAAATCTGTGTTTTTTGCATTGGCCAATTTGTAGGTGAGTTTTCTCTTAAATGCTGGTAGTGATAAAAGACAGTGGCCTATTAAAATGATGTTGTATGGTCAGAGCTTGCAAGAATGAATGCTCTGGACCAATTTAGACCAAAGCTACAGCATGTAGAACTTTTGTAAGCAAAAAGGCTTTAGTAACACCCTGGAGAACAAACGTAAATGGAAAGGAATGAAAAAAAAATCAACTTAATGCTGGTAGGGACCTAAGGTGCAGCCTTCAGATAGCAGTTTCCAATGTTCTACTAATTAAGTCACAGTGGCTGTTGCTTTCTTATCCACTTTATTCGGTATTTATGGTTGTGTAATAGTGGGTCTGATTAACGCCACCAGAATTGCGTTAGTGCTCGATCTTGTGAATGGAAAAGCGACAGTTGTGGTAGCTCAATTTTTAGGTCATTGGATGCATTTTATGAAGGCTAGGTCTGTACCTGCAGCAAGTTTTGTATCCGCTTTATATCCTTCCCACTTATGTCATAATTACTGTGCTGCTGCTAAAAGCTACAAATAGTGTCCGCTATACCTTCCTAAGCTTCATTGTCCGTTGGTTTTGTTATGCTTTGTCTGACAAAAAAAAAAAAAACGAGCCCTCGGTCAGCACCTCTTTTTAGTTCAGTGTCTATATGTAAACGATGGTTTCCCTGTCGTAGGCCAAACGCGAGATGGTGGATGTCAAGCACCAGCGACTAGCCATCGCTCAAGACGAGTTTGACCACCTGTCTGGTGCCCTAAAGGGTCTTTCACTGCATGGGAGCTTGACCACTTCCCTGCACTCTTCTTGCACCTCAGTGGCGTCGCGTACCAGCTCACTGGACCCTGAGCTGCTACGCTCTGATGTGGGCCGGGCACGGCATCGTGTGGCCAAGCTGCGTAGAGAGCTGGAACAAGTGAGTTCAAACCTTCCCATCTGTCGCGGCTCTCTACCTGCCGTGTGAGCCCTGCTAAATCCGCCACTCTCATTTTCCTACGATGCCCTCTGCTGTTTTGCTTGGGTTTTGGTAGAGGCCTGGACAACCAGTATTTTCAGAAGCAAAGCCTAGATCAGTGGTTCTCACATGGGGGTCCGCAAACCCTTGGGGGTCCGCAAAGCTATCTCTATTATCTGTGAAACCCTCACCCGCATTTTTCTTTAAGCGAGACTGTGCCACGTATTGATGAACTGTCCAAAATGAAGTGATGTGGCACGTTTCTTTGATGGTTTTTGGTAGCAATAAAAGACACTTGTTTGACGCTCCAATTACGTTAATTTACTTACGTACTTCCCCTCCCTCTGCTGCAAGGGGTCCCCCATCACTTCCACCAGTCCGCAAGGGGTCCCCGACGCATCCATGGCTGAGAACCACTGGCCTAGATAATGAAGAGATATTTCGCAGTTTTTCTGCGAAATATCTGTTCATGCAGTTGGGCATTGTGTTCATGCAGTTGGGCGCATGCAGTTGGGCATTGTGAAAAGTTGGATTACGTTGTGAGCGAGTTCCACACTCTGGGATCATGAGTGGAAACAACTTTATTTAACTTATTTAACAACTTTAAATTGTAACTTTGGAAGAAGTCTTCGTGCCTTTGTTCGCCAATTGCCGGCTCTCAGTTAACGTGCCACGTTGTGCTTGTTTGGATGCACATTCTATATCTTTTGTCATGGCATTATGTGCACTTGCGAACTCTGTAAAGCTATAATTAGTGCATGGGTGAAACAGCCAAATAAAACGAACAAGAATGCACTCAGTTGAATTTGACAATGCCATTGATAAGCACCTTTCTTGCTCAAGCAGAGCTAGTTAACACTAACTTCATTGTACGGGTAATTATTTTTCTGCAATTTACGGGCTCATAGTATCTAGCACCTTTTCTTTGCTCCATTGCTAAGGAGTATAGCACCTTGCCCCAAACTTTTTTTTTTTTCTGTGACACCAAGGGAATAACGAGGCATTTATGTAACCCTCTTCTGAGGCTTGATAAATCTTAGCCAAGTCGTTGCTTTATGTTCCCGTCAGTGATAAACCACTATGCGCTGTTGTAACAAGCAGACAAGGCTTCTTTGACGAAGAAAAACAAAGAAATTAATTGAAAGTTGGCCTGTGAGTGCACCTCATGCGGACTTATTTTGTCTTTGTAGGTGAGATCTGAAGTCCACCAGCGGGAACAAGGACTAGAAGCTCTGCGGCGAGTTGAGCAGCAGTTCTGTGAGCTCCCAGCGGGCTACAGCCTTGACCAGGCAAAGGCCGTGCTTGAAGAACTTTGCAGTGTACAGCGCTCCTTGGGCAAAGGTCACAGAGAAAAGACGCAGCTACTGCAGGTAAGTTGCCAGCTTTACAAATAAAGGCACTGCAAAACTATATTGAGAATGAATCCAATATAATTTTATAAGATGGTACAATACAAGTTTATCACAAAGGACTGTGTGACGCTTGAAATAAGGGATGCAAAGGTGCATAACTAATGGACAGGAAGCAGGGGAACGAAATGAGGCATAACCATTTTTGCCATTGATCTTGCACTTTAAGCAACAGTGTCCCTCAGTGAGTATAGTCTCTATTTCTCGTCTCATATTGCCCACAACTGTCTGAGACACTGCAAATGGAAGCCCTTTTTCAGCTGAAAAAGTGTTATTAGAAAATTTAGTCACACTAGAGAAGCAAGCCCTACGGGCTATTGCTGATGTACCTTATAATGAGCACACACGTGACCTATTTCTGAAGTTCAAAATCTTCCGAGATGACCACTTTTATGAGTATCAGCTTATAAGTTCTTTTAAACATGAAACGATTAAGGGCAGTACTCATATGAGGAAATCACTAACTTGTCAATAAATCAATCATATCCCATAAACCGACACACCGAACATTGGGCAGTTCCGCGACCATGCACAAACTACGGTTTTCAAACACTTTCCCTACCGCCTTCCTACAATACTAAACAAATATAAATTAAGTGATGACAACATACGTCATATTTCCAAAAAGAGAATGCTTCAGCTAATTTTATAAGCACCAATGTTTTGTTGTTTATGACTGTGTCTGTTGAGAATGTTTGTTTCATACTTCTTTGCTTCTTATCACTTTGCTTTATGTGTTTCTATTTTATTATTGTGACAAGTAAGAATGCTTGTTAATGTTTGCCGCTGCTGTTATTGTTTTGGGAGGTGGGACAGGTCAAGCTGCCTACATGCAGCTTTTATCCCACCATCCTTGTTGTTTAAACATGTTTTGATATATGTTGCAATAAAGTTCACTTCACTTCTCCAAAGCTGTCATGTTGCTGTCAGTTGAGGCAAGGGCATGAGTATAGATATGCTGTGGGTAAAAGTTTCACATGCTATGTCACACACAATAAAGTTGGAAGGGAACGGAATACGGAATACAGCAGTTTTAGGTAACCTTGCATGACAAATTGAAGATGGCACAAGTATTAAAACCTGCCGTGAAGTGTTGCGCGCGGTGGTATCGTAGTAGCTAAGGTTCCTGGCTATAGTGGCCACCTGTCAGTAGTGTAGAAAGCTAAAACACCCATTTACTTGAAATACCAGGCTGTCTGAAATAATCTCAGATACCCCACCACAGTGTGCTTTGTAACCATATCATAGTTTAAGCACATAAAACCAAATAATTAAGTCAATTATATTTTTGTTATGACCTGTCAACATGTAGCCTTTATTGTAGCCCTGCTGACAGGAATGACATGTGAAGTTTAATAGTGTGCTTGGAGCTTCTTTCATTGTGCGGGAGAGTTCGTATAAAAAAAAATGGTTGTACAGCTGTATAGTGGAACTTCGATTATACGTCTCCCGGTTTTGGACGACCCGCATTTTACTATGAAACGGCTTTGTCCTGCCAAAATCCCCCATATAAACAATGTATTAAAAACCTTGGTTATACGGCACAGTTTTACGCCGACCACGCATCTTGCGACAACATTGATTCCACCCAAAAGGGGGAAAAAAAAAACACCTTTACTCGAAACACACGTCGACCAAATATTCACAAGTGCTAAATATGAACTTGCATACTCCAAGGTGGACTACGGGAAAAGTATAGTCATCTTCATCGAATGGAAAATTTATTCCCCCTGAAGTTCATGAGCTTCTACATACACCTCAATCGCGAGCATGCGTATCTAGGGTCGTTACCTAGTCAAGCTCTATCCATACAGAGTAGGTTCAGCTGACCAAAAAGTTGATATTTTTACATTTTCGGTCTGTGGAAACATTTCCTGGTCAATATACAACTGCGAGTGTGATAAAGGCAGGTGTCCTGCTTTGACGTCAATGTTCATAATAACAGCGGGACACCACTAGTTGCACTTCACGAGACAACAAATTACAACAGCTCAGTCACGCACAAACGCGTCGTTGAAAGGGGGCAGATTCATCTTAGACATTTTTTTGTTTATTTCTTCACTGATCTTGATCAAAATGTGCAGGCTTGTGAGGCTTTTTCTGTTGATTTAAAATGTGTAATTACTTTTCCTATAACTCATTTTGTTCCTGAGAAAACCTAAATTCACCCCCTATTGTTTAAGGCCACCATAGAAAAAAGTGCTTAATTAAAAGTGATATTTAAGGACATGGCAACATAGACTTATGACTAGAGATTGAAAGTATGCAAGAGTTTTTTGTTTTTTGTCCTTGATTATTTTACAGTAAAATGAACTTTCCATCTTCAAAAGCAGTTTGAATGTTGTCACAGTTTTGATTAATATTTAATTAAAAAGGCTTGGGCTCTAAATTCTGCTCCCCTACTTGCATTTTATATACGTACAGGTTTCTATTGCAAAAGGATTATTGTTGTCCCTGCCCTAGCTGCAGAGATTTTGAGGCCTCAAAATTGAACAGTGGTAAATTTACTTTTGTGAGAAAAATAGGAAAAACTGCTAATACCCAGTTTCTTCAAGAACCACCAATCATGGTTTGCATGTTTTGCAATGCTCATAAAAGCACTCATAAATTGGTATTAAAGCTTCAGACACAGGTAGTGGCAAATTATAAAGTAGCCCGAAAGTAGGTTCCCCATTTTTCAGAAGGTTCTGCTTTGTGCTAGCACAAAGAATCGGGACAGTCAGAATGACATTACAAGAAAATCATCACATCCTGGTGGGTGAAAATTTGCATAGAGATAAAAAATACTTGCAGAAACCACATATGCCAATTTTTAAAAAAGCATTTTTTTGCAACTGCAGCCTTAATCTGCCCTCATTGCAGAGGCACAAGGTCGTACTGCGGGCTTATTCAGGCAGTCTGTACCCATTTTTCGGGCAAGGCTGAGCGTCGCAACGGGTAATCTTAGTTTTTTGATTATACGACACCCGGATGGTTTTGCTGGGTCCCCTGAAAGTTTTATAATCGATGTTCCACTGTATTTAAGCCGTTTTAAAAACTAGCCTTTTGGCTGATCACTACCTTTAAAAACAAATTTTACAGTTTTGGTCTGAAACTTATAATTGTAGATTTAGCTTATGAGGCCTAGTTATATTGAAGTTTAAGATGATGAAATACCTAAAAATGTAAAAAAAAAGTAAATTTATTATAAAGTCAAAATGTGCCATAATACGCGCGTTGCACCATGAGGGAACACTAAAGAAACTGTTGGTGCAACTCTAACATGACTTGGCAGCTACGTAGCACAGAGAACACTCTGTGCATCTTAACTCCACAATCTTCATATCTCAAAGCTAAGGTGTGTTGCCATAAAAACACGCCAACAAAGTTCATATTTGGCAGGCTTGTTTTGCACATTATTAGTCACAGTACAAAAAGTTATTTCTAGTGTTCAATCATCTTGCTTGAATCCACAATTTCACCTATACAAAAACAGACAAAAAATTATGTAAATATATTAATTAAAATGAAAGCTATCATTGCTAATGACACTGTAAGATGCAAAAATCACATTTTGTAAATAATGGCTTTAAAGATTTGAACCAAATGCCTATTCACTCAAACCTCTTTATAACGAAGTTGCATGTAACACAAAAATAAGTTTGCTATATCCAGAAATTTGTTATAAAGTTGTATTCTGAACACTATATCTATTGCAATAGTACTCTTCATTTACTTTGTTATAAACGGTGTTTTGTAATATCTGGTTTTGTTATATCTCGTTTTGTTGTATTGAGGTTCGAGTGTATAAGAATAAAACATTCAGTATGCCTGAAATTCACCAGGCTCATAGCTTGGGACCTCTTTTAAAGTGGCATAATCTTCTGATGAGTGAGGTGATGAACATGTTTTTTTTTTCTAGCTCATTTTGTGTCTTCAGTTCACTCTCATTCCTGTGCTCGACAGTGGGTATACACTTGGTATATTGAATCATTAACTTGCATTGATGCCTCTTTTTCTTGCTATACTGTGTCATATTTCACTAACTACTGTAACTTTCTGGTTGAAAAGCCAGAACTAAGTCTAAGAGCTTAAAAGAGGATAAAAAAAAAAAAAACATCCAAGCGAGAATGTGCACAACTTGAACAGAGTGGCGCAGCCGAGTAGTGGAAATTTTAAAATAAATTGAAAGACTGTTACACAAGCTTTAGAACGTGCTCAGACAATGTACGCTTGAAAATATTTATGACGAGATAGCGGGTTTTGTGGTATCGAAAACCTTCGGTTTGAGATGCCTCCGGCAGGGGCTGACAATGTCGTCATAGCTTTCGAACGGCTTGAGATAACTACGTATGTACTTCTTTTTGCTGGAAGAAAAAGCAGATAGATAGGACAGTCTTTCACTGAAAGGGCGTAAAGCTTGGCTTTGCACGTTGCATCAACAATCAAAATTATGCACTCCTGTCTCGAACAGGCAGGGACGGAAAAAGAGCCTGATGTACTTGAAATGCACTGCAAGAGAGTGACTGCAGGGAACGTTTCACAAGGAAGAAAGACAGAGAGATAGGACTCTGCTCTTCCTTCTGAAACGTTTCTTGCTCACTAAGGAAGTCTATTTCTTTCAAAAAATGCAATACCGACCAGCCCAAGTAGCCACTCTTCTTGCTCAATCTTCTCATATGAACAGGGAGCTTAAAAATATGAAATCCTCAATTATTTTACACTCAAACCTCGATTTAATGAATTCCAGATATAACAAAATATCAGTTATAACAAAGTAAATGAAAAACAGTCTTGCTACAGGTTTAGCGTTAAGAATAAACCTTTATAACGAATTTTCAGATATAACAAACTTATTTTTATGTAAGACGCAAGTTCGTTGCAATGAGGTTCGAGTGTATATAAAAAATGTTTTTGAAGGATGTGGCCTACCTTGATGAGAGGTGCTGTTCATCTTCAGTGAACTTCTTCTTTGTAGACAAACAGCACAAGAAAGCATGGCTATGAAAAGCAGACACAGGGACAAGTGCTGTGTACAATATTATCAGCGGTGACTAGGGGATGCTTGCACTGAGGGGTGCAGTGTGCTGGCAACGTGTTTTTCATAGCTGTGCTTTTTTGCCTTTTTTCTTTATCTTCAGCATGAATAACTCCCTTAACTGAAGGGGCTATTTGGTTATTGATACTGTAGGTACCGACTAGCCTAGTCAGCTACCTTTTCTGTACTGTGCAGTTTTAAAATAATGCTGTTTCTTTCCTCACTTTGTTTGTCGAACTAGCATTCTTTGTATTGCTGCTGAAAGCATAGAGTTTCCGAGAATTAACTAGAGTGGACTCTGTCGATGCCATAGTTGAGCGATCAGGCAATGATGGGTAGTACACAGACTGGCCTTGTCTTCGTACTTGCGCGTTTCGAACGCGCTTGTAGCTTCATTTATTGTTCTTTTTTTGTTGTTTCGAATGATAGAACGGACGGTTACAAGCTTTGGGAGCCGATTTGATGTGGCGAGCCTAAAAGAATAAAGTAGTGAAGGCTGATTATTTATTGATTGTTGTTTCGTGTCAAAGCAACTTCAAGCCAGGTGAAACCAACTGGAGCCAAAAGTACAAAAATGAGACAAATTTGTGTACTACTACCCATCATTTCCATGCTCGCTGAATCTCCGTGCATTGCAGCTCCCACAGACACTAGCACGAGAGTTCCCTCTACTGTATTTATAGGAAACTCTATGGCTGAAAGGGCTACCATAGCTTCCTCATTTTGAGCGGGATTGTGACGGACATGTGTTATTGTGGAACAGCGACTGTGGCAGCTGAAGGAGGAGTTGACGCGGGATGTGTTGGACTCCCGTGTGCCGGAGGAACGGCCGTGCGCAGCCTCGCAGACTGATCTGTCTGGTGAGCTGGCTCCCTTGGGTGCCCGACTTGCCGAGGTGGCTCGCACGAGGCTTAGCTACGATGAGGCACGGCGTGAAGTACAGCGCATCCAGCGCGAGTTGGCAGACCTCGAAGACAGACTGTCGCCTGGACAAGCCGAATCCGATCAGGACAGGTGGGCATCATTAGATGGCATTCTAAATTCTTAGTGTTGGCAAATCACTAACGCATCCACGAGATGCATGTGCCCTGGCGTAAACAGTGTGAAAGACAATGACAAAGTAGACTGAGTGGCGCTCGTGAAGTTGTGGCCTGTGTGGCATTAGAGTGTAGCCTGTGTGGCGTGTGTTTTAGTGTGGGTCAGTAAACTAGTCTTTTACTACGAGATCGAACACAACATTAGCTACAGCCGTACCTTTTTGAATGTGGCAATAAACTTTTTCAGTGGGTATTAGCGTGTATGCTGATAGCAAATATTGAATACACAGAACTCGCACATCAAGCAAGTTCAAGGAAGCGAGGAAAATGGCTCATTGAATAAATTGATTTGTTCAATAACGTGAATACTCACTAAATATGGAACAACATGAGACACGGCAGACATGGAGTACAAAGTGTGAAATGCAATTTGTGGAGCTGTGTATACAATATATAGGGATTACATTACAATTATGCTGTTTCCTATCTCATTTTCAAAAATAAATATACAATTTTCATCAGCACAAGTGGTCTCAAGAGCCAGCAAAGTTCTCCAAAGAGCCCATGTTCTTGATCTCTTCCTCAGTCACAGCTTGTTGCTAAAGCACAGTCGCTCAAGTTTTGTTTCAGCTAGATTCGTTGAATTGATTGTAAAAATGAACCCAGGTCTGCTGATAGAGTTTAATTGAAAGTTTTGCTTTTATCGAATGTGTTGAACTGCTGGAGATATCCTAAAAGTTTGTTGCTCTTAAGTAAAAATAAATATCCTCATGCAAAATCTGCCTACCCTATTGTGATTAGTTTCAATTTCATTTTCAGAAATGTGCATTTGGCATATTTTGTTAGCACATGCTCGGGAATGTCGCACTAACTTGTACCAAAAAACACTGTCATACTTCAGTCACCACGCTTCAACCTCCCACGTTAATTGTCAATGGTATCGTAAAATTAACACATTAATTCGGTCAGTGCTTACACACATGGCCCTGTGTTCTCATTCCCACAGGCTCCTCCTGGTACGTGAAAAGGAGCAGCTCCTGCATGAGCTTCGTGCACAGCTGGAGCGGGGAGACTCGCCTGTGCTGCGAGAGGAGATTTCACGGCTAGAGCGAGACCTGGGGGATGCCCTGGAGAGCTCCAACCGTGCCATTGCGCAGCGGCTGCGGCTGCATGAACAGAAGCAGCTGCTGTTGCAGCAGCTCAGGGATGCGACACGTCTCACGGCGTGCCTCGAGACACGCCTCCAGAGGTGCGTATACAGCGAGCCCTGCAACCAAAAAGGAAACCTTATCGGCATCTTGCATCCCATGTCACATGCTCTCGCTCTGTACCAGCTTGCAACTTGGTATCTTCTACCAATTGCAGTAGAATCTTGTAGATACGGATCTCGTGGGTTCACGGAAAACGTTCATATCAGCTGGAGTTTGTATCACCGAAAAAACATTGAAAAGTAGTGATAATTGCCTTTTTTGATCTCAACGATCATATTGGCACTTGCATGCATGTGTAATTAAGGGACATAATGGGCAATGTCTCGTGACAGCTAGTAGCCCCTTCCCATTCTTGATACATATTTCTGCGTAACACTAGGTGGCAAAAGGGCAAGCATGGCATGCTTTAGGTTAATTTCCCTTGTATGGGACCACAGAAAAATTATTATGAGCCATAATCATATCACTGAGATTGTACTGTACTTGGAGTGTGTTCCAATACTCCCCGTAGACTGCTAAATATACAGCTAAATGGACAGCGGCCATCTTAAGTCCCGTTCAAATTCTCACGTAGCCGGCAAAATAGACAGCTCCAAGAAGAGGGCATCGTAGACAAATACGATGCAAGCTAATTTGCTGTCCAAACAAGATGAAGGCTCAGCGAATCGCTCGGATAGATTGGATCTCACCGGAATAGTCGTCTGCACACAAGCAGACGCTTCTCCAGATGCTCAATGTGAGTAGCGCTAATTTTTTTAGATTCAGTACGAAATAGGCCAGAAAATACAACAGTTACATTTGTTTATCTTGGCTTTTTTTCCTGACGCTAGGTGGTGCCTCGTCGCGTAAAAGCTGTCCAGGTGTGTTTCAATTCTCGGACAGCATGGGCTTGGTGCTGTCTTCTAAGCTGTCTGCGGAGGCTGTCTGCGATGCTGTCTAAGAATTGGAACACAGTCTTGAATGCACTTTGTGCCTTAATCATGGTTGTGTGTTTTTTCGTTTTTCTTTCTCTAAATTTTAGCTAAAGTGCCACCAAGTCTTTTCTTAATCTGCACTGCTATTGCATAACATTTTCATGCAGTTTTCCTCTTATTTGTTTTCCCAAATAAATTTTGCATAACATAATTACTCATTAAATATTTTATGCCACATTTTATTCATGATGAAGCAAACAGCCTAAGCATCTGCTAAACATATAACTTCTTTTGCACTGCAGCATCATTTTTAAATGTGAATGCATTTCTTAGTCGGGCTATGTCAGGCATTTGGTGGCGGCAGCGGCCGCCCACCGGCAAGTGTTATTTCTCTGCTGTCACTTCATCTCCCATTGCAACAGCCGTGGGCGCATGCGCTTATCCTCGCCCCTAGCAACTGGAGCATGTGGTGCGACAGTGTAGGAGAGGGTAGGTGCAGTGCTTCGCCGCTCCTTCTCTCGCCATTTGCTCTCTCTGCTCCCAGTGCCCCACTCTTCTGTCCACTCTCGGCCATTCGCTGGCTGGGCGCCTCTCAAGAACATCCGGAATGGTGTGCTTGAGACGCCGCTGTAAAACGCCATTGCATAGCCGAGAATGCTGACGCCCCACTCTCCAGTTCGCTGGCTGGGCTTCTCTCAAGGCGATGGCAGAAAATCTCTGATGGCAACGGTGCCCTTTCTCGACGCAAGAAATACATTTGCATTTCCTCACAAACCCTTCGGGGTGGTGGGGGCATTTTTTGTGAGAAGACTAGATTCGCAATGTGGGCACATCTCGCTAAAGTCATCTGTACTTGCACGCCCACGTTGGTAACATTGCTGCGGGAGACTTCAATAAGTAGATGGATGGCCTTATGAATGCTAAATTAACTTGCTGTATAGTATCAAAGCATGGCGGTGATAATGCTGAGCGAGTGTTCTTGTGTGAGTTGACGTTTGTTGTGGCCTGGCTTGACTCTCTTTGCTGGCACTGTGCAGCCTGTCGGCCAGCACGCTGTCTGCCTCATCAAGCTCCTCTTTGGGATCCCTGAGCACAGGCAGCTCTCACGGCTCACTCGCCAGCCTGAGTTTTCCAGACATCTACGGTGGGTGCACGCTAGCCATGGACATGGCCTGCCGCCCTCCTCACCGCCCCACAGGCTGCAGTCCACCTCTCTCACCACGCTCCTCACTGTCGTCGCTGTCACCTCCCGTGTCGCCGCACTGTGATGGGTAAGTCTTGCCAGGAGGCAGTTTTGCATTGACCAGTGAGCTCAGTTGCTACATTAAAAAAAAAGAAAAAAAAGCTTTGCTTACGAAGTTGCCACACCTGCCCTTCACATGTAAAGTACCGTTATACTTACTGGTTTGCGCTTGAACCATAAGTACCTTTTCTCGGATAATCTATATAGCATTGGTATTAGGGACTGCCTGCTGCTCAGAATTTTTCTTTTTATATATATATTTTTCGTTGAAGTGGGAAGATTATCACATCAGTTCTTTATCATCAATTCTTTATCACAAAGGAAGTATGACTGTTAGCATCACCCGACGGCAATCTGCTTCAGCCTATTGGCAGGACCAAAATGCCCCTCATGTAGACTTGTTTTGCTTGAAAACAAGTATGTGTATCCTAAAATCGAGTTTTATGCACATTTTGCAGCTCTTCCTAGCATCAAACGCGGACTTTAGCTTTTTTTTTCTTTCTCTTTTTTTTTTCCCCTTCATATGCGGGGAAAGGGGCACCTGCTCTGTGATTTGTCCGAATTTTTGATCCTTGTTTAATTACCTCAATAGGACGAGTGGCAGGGCCACGAAACTGTACAAATAAACGAGCATGCTCGAATTTTCAGCGTTCGAATAAACAGTTGGCGACTGTAGTTGCATTCGCTCGGATATTCTCATCCTATTTACGAATCATCCATGGGTGGTGGTTGTGTGACTCAACGCACACATATGCTGTGTGGCAGGTGCAAGGGCATGGTAGAGGTACCTCGACCCCGAGGGCCAGAGCCTCCTCTGAGCCCCATCTGCGAGCAGGAGTGCCTTCGCACGGGTGGTGTGTCTGCTGCCATCAGTGACGAGTCTGTGGCTGGAGACAGTGGTGTCTATGAGGCTGCACCCCCAAGGTAATTTGACTTGCATTGCACATTCATTTTGTTTCTCCATAAAGAGTCTCCATAGATACAGGCTGATTATGTGGCTAAAACGAGCTAAAACGAAAAAGGTGAATGAACGTACTGTCAACAACTCATTCATTTGAATGTACTAGTCACCGAGGTGGCAGAGATAGCACAAGTGTTGTGCCTGTGCTGCTGTAATCGCTCTGGTGTTCCTGTTCTGTGGTTTTGTGTGCGCACTGTTTGCTCTCAGCGAAATGGGCGCTAAATGTCCATCTTACATTTTCCAGATTTATACAACGCACCTCAGCAGTTTGAGGTGCTCGGTAGTTCAGAGACCGCTGTTCCTTTTGTCCAATGGCATTTATTTCTCTTTGCATACTGGGTTACACTAATGTGTAGCAACCAGATCATTGGTGACAACATTGTCTGAGGGAGCTGAGGGCACCACTATTTTTGGATAAAGCAGAGCTCACATTTGAAAATGAGTACCCTTGCACTACTGGGCACCAGGTCTGGTGCTTGACTGCAGTCTTTAGGAACGAATTCATTTGCTGGTGGTTCTCTCTCCTCTCTCATTTGTACTCGCAAAGATTGAAGTTGCTGCATAATGGCCTTTAGTGATCCTTTTATGCAGTCTATGAATATCAATGGAATATCCACGAAGTGCTTCGTTTCACGATAAAGCTGCTTCATTGACTGCCAGTTACATTGATGGCCCATTGGTTGGCTTTCCTTTCAGGCCTGGGGATGAGGAAGAGGAGGAAGAAGATGATGACGATGAGGAAGATGATGACGACGATGAGGAGGAGGATGACGAGAACCCCTTAGACCAAGTGGACTTCCCCTGCCTTCAGCTGCAGCTGAGGCTGCAACACTGCACCCAGGATGGCATGCTGAATTTGCGTATCGAGAAGGCACGGCACCTTGGCATCCTTGTGCCTCAAGGTACCTCAGTGTGAGTACCATACCACTGCTTTCCTGGCTTACTTTTTCATCCTCCTGTTTTTTGCTTACAGTAAAAGAGGACAAAGGGAGCATCTGCAGGCTTAAAAGGACACTAAAGCCAACTATTAAGTCGACGTTTATTGTTGAAATGGCGGTCCAGAAACCTCGTAGTGTTACTTTCATGCCAAGGAAGGGCCTATTTTGAAATAAAATTTAGCGGGTTAGCACACTTCAAATTACCCGCCTCGAGAAGCAGACCAACCGCACCATCTCGCGTGACTGTTGACGTGCACAATGTTGCCCGGCTTTACTGCGCTAGTAGCTGCAGACCGAAAGCAGCGAGAGCCAAAGCAGCAACTACGGCCATTGAACAATTTCCCGCCATTAGCTTCGAGATTACAGGTGCTTTTGTTTCAACTGCACCCCGCTAGATGGCACCACCTGTCTCCTGTAACCTTGTGAAAATTGAATTTTTGAACCACTCGCGCCAATCCCCATAGAAACATCTGGTGGTTCTTTTTTCCATGAATCAAAAAGAAACGAACAAGCAGCATTTTATTGTGTCTCTTGATGCATGGAAAGTTCTTTATTTAGTGCAGTTAGATTGATTACTAGCGATTCATTGTAGGCAGTTCGTCTGATGTCATCAGGATCATTTTGAAAATATCCTACTGCGGCGCTTGTGTTCTTGTGCATTTACCTTGATTTCTCGGTAAGTAGGGCACTGTTGTTGATAATATTGTCATTTTAGATGTTGTCATACATTGAGCTTCCACTCTGATGTAAATTGTTATTTGACTTTAGTGTCCCTTTAAGGGGAGACGCTGGTCTTGAAATGAAAATTTTTATTATTCGAGATACTGTGCTGAAATTAGGTGTATATCTGTATTTTTTCCTCCTCTTTAAAAAATATAATTACCGTATTTACTCGCATAATAGGCGCACTTTTTTTTTTTCAGAAAATCCGGCTCGAAGTTAGGGGTGCGCCAATTACGCGGGGTAAAATTTTCGAAAATTTTTTCAGCTCGGTTCTCGCGCTTTAAATCTGCACGCTTGTCAAGTAAAAGGCGACTTTATAGTTTACCAATTAATTCAGCATAAAACAAACATACCTACGTACCTTTTAATGAACAAGCGAGAGCCGTCAACTGCACACACGTAAAATTTATTTACACAAAAGTCGTAGCTGTTCCTCTTTTTCCCTATTCGGAGTCCGAGTCGGAGATCACACATTCATCCTCGCCGAGCGGGGATTCGTTTTCGGTGTCCGAATCATCCGCACCCCACAACATGTCATCCTCACTCGCATCCAGTGCGTTCGAGATACCCGTCTTCTTGAAGCTTTTCCTGACGACTTCGTCGGAGATCGCCTTCCCCATGGTGGAACCAAAGTTCAACACACGACCACAACATACGCACACCGCTTGCAAAATGGCGTTTCTTTCTTTTTCTCTGATGCTGGTGATGGCGATCGAGCCCCCGGCATTGTACACGTGACCTCCAAAAAGCGCGGCGATTTGGGGGTATCAGTAATTGATGGAACAGCCGTTTTTTTTCTCGCTCATGGACGTTTTTTTTTTTTTTTTTTCCAAGTTTTATTTGCTCGTCAATTTGCCTTCTTTTTTTCTTCAGGGTACGGGGACCGCGTTCCAACTGTACCGCTGGGGGGTAGAATCGTTTCTGATCACGGCCAAGTTCGGGGTGCGCCTATTATGCGAGTGCGCCGGTTATGCGAGTAAATACGGTAGTTCTAATGTACACGAACTAGTTATCGAATTGTGAGAGCATAAGTGAGGTCTAGCTGTGTAATTTCTTACGGGTCGTTAAGGCACTTTACCTCAATATTTCTGGCTTCTGTTTAGAATGCCAAAAACCTGCCATGTAGAGCTATGCTATTTTATTGTCACTGAGACACATCATATAAAAATTCACATTTGCATTGATCCTCCACAATTTCAAAATTTAATTAGCTCACATTATTGTTCACAACATTTTATATGTCCCTCTTAGCCACAAAAAATAGCATAGCTCCCAGTCTTGTTTCTACAATTGCTTCACAAAAACATGATGAAAAGTTCCGTAAGGCTGGTCATGTGGGCAAAATATGTAAAGCTGAGAAAATCGCACTTGAAGTTTCGACATGCACTGTAATATTTTCTATAAGAAAATTTTACCACAAATTTTATACACATGTACGCCGGCTATTTTTCTGTAAAGCAAAACAAAATGTGCCTTATTCAACCCTTGGAATCATTTCTAAAAATTTTTCTAATGTGGAAAAAATTATCAGAACCCCATCATGACAAGCTGTTGAGGGGTTCTGGAAAAGCTGTGGGGTATGAGGCTCAAATGACTAGCTGTTAGGAACCATGCTGCCCTGGGTAATAAATTGCTGTGTTCCAAATTCTCAAGGGACTATGAAAATATACGAAAAATCGGGCATCCACCTGGAAAAATTAATGCCCGCAAAAATGCCCCCTTTTATTGGTATTTTTTGCTGACGCAGAGAGTCACGACTGTTGTACAAAATTGTCTTTGCAATCTTGTAAATGCATTGTTTACCGTATAAACCGCACTATAGGTTGAGTGGGATTATAGGTCGACCCCCCACTTCAGGTTACCGAAAAAGAAAAAAAAGGAAAACAACCCGAAATTGCCGAACAACATTTATTTGCGAATTGGGCCCACTGCACCCCGATCGTCGGAGCTCCCCTCAACCACCATCGTAACTGTTCTTATTCGTCAGACGAAGCACCACTGTTTTCTGAAGACGAGAGTTTGTCGCTGGCTGCCTCCCACAGTGCGTTGTCTTCCGTGCCATACAGCGAGTTGCTGATGGAACATTTCTTAAAAGCTTTTTCCACCATGGAATCTGCCAAGGAATGCCAGGCGGAAAGCACCCAGCCACAAACAGTCGCAAGCGGAGGCCTCTGTAGGCAGCCCGTCGGTGTCTTTGGGTTGTCGCTGGACATCCACTTTTGGTACTACAGCCGCACTCAGTCCTTGAACGGCTTGTTTAGCACAACGTCGATCGGTTGGAGGGTGGACGTCATACTACCTGGTATCATGGCGAGATCCGTTTTTCTATCGCCCAGTGCGCGCTTCACAGCGTCGGTCAAGTGACCACAAAATGCATCTAACACCAGCATGCTGCAAAAACGCAGCAGTGCACCTGGCTGACGGTTCCCGACTACTCTTGTCCATTCGAGCATCATGGTCTCGTCCATGTATCCCGTTTTGTTGACGCGAATGACAACACCGGGCGGGAACACTTCCTTCGGCATTGTGTTACGTTTGAAAATGATGCACTTCCTTCGGCATTGTGTTACATTTGAAAATGATGAAGGGCGGAAACTCTCTACTGTCTGTCATGCATGCCAGCATGACAGTGAAGCGCGAGTGCTCCTTGCCAGGGGACAACAGCTTCATATCCTTGGCGCCACGCTGCATGATCATGGTCGATGAAGGCATGTCATACCGCATGGAATCTCATCGGCATTGTCAATCTGCCCCATCATGCAGTTGTTCTGCTCCTGAAGCCGGTTCACGAAGCCCTGAAAGTTTATAAGCTTGTCCTTGAACTTGTCTGGAAACTTCTGACATATGGATGTGCGCCACCGGAAAGAAAATCTTTTGCGTCTCATGAACCGATGCACTCAATAGTTTGGTGCACGAAACTCTTCGCTCGTGAGCCCAGCTTCTCGAGCGAGTTTCACAGCTTTCTTGCAAATACTATCCACGCTCACTGGCAGCAAGCACGCATGAACTTCCCACACAAAGTTCCCTAGCGTAATCTCCAGCTGCGGATGAACCGCACTTCGCCCACGAAATGACATTTTCCGAGGGTTGCACTTCTGCAGCTTCCCTTTCTGCACCCTCCAATAGCGCACGCTTTTTTCTGATACACCAAAGCGGCGCTGAGCAGCCATATTCCCATTCGCTTCTACGAACTCAACAACCTCTAGTTCAAACGCAGCTGAGTACTCCCTTCTTGTTCCGCTACTCATATTCAGTGAACGAAAAAAAGACCACTAAAAATGAAACATAATGTCAAGCGGAGCGAGAACTTAGCACATATCGGAGGCAAATCACGAACACACAAAAAAAACAACAACCTGCTATTGGATTTGAATGCAAATATGGCCGTGTCCAGCTTCTCATGCACATGCAAGCCACATGTTGCCAGACAACGGTGCACTGTCGGCTAGACACCACTACATATGACTAGGAGCGACTTTAGCTTGTTGTTTTATTGAAAATATCTCGACTTCTATTCCAGTTTATATGGTAGACGGTGTGAAAGGAGCCGTTTATTAAAAAAAGAAAAATGGTGTGGCCGGTGCTACCTCAGTGGTCAACACGCTGGCCTAAAAAAAAAAAAGGTATTCTATTTTCTTTTGCACGGCATTCTGCTTAGCTGCGATGATGTCTGTCTCATTTTAAGCTACATGTCATGCTGTTGCTGTTCACCAATCACCGTGTCATCAGTGCTCGCGTAAACTCCAAGCTCGTTGGCTGTGTAGACGCTGCCAAAAATCGGATGGCGAAGGCTATTATAAGCGCCGAGTCCAAGGAGGTCAAACTTTTGGGTAGCCGACTTTCCCGAGAAAACAATCTTCGTTTGCGCCGATTTCTCAACTCACTGCGCCTGTTCTGCCGTTGAGTAGTATGCAGCATCAATCCAAAGTGTATCGCTCATCGAAGTTGGTCTCATGGCGTTGTCAGTGGGGACAGCGTTATAGTTTCCGGTGGATCCAACGGGTCCGGCAGTGACTGCAACTAGCTACCAAAGGGCACTTGTAGCCTGCGCCTTATGTTTCAAGGCCATTCTTTACGGCTTACGAAAGCTCGTCACGTCAATTGTTTCAGACCAGAGTTTCCAGGCATCTCGATCGCGTTGAAAAGGGGCTGGTGCAAAGTGGAAACACGCACGATCGCAAGAGTAGACGCTCACAAACGAACAGCCACGGCGGCGAACGCAACACAAAAAAATAAATAAGATGACGCCTCAGTCACCCAGCCTTGAAAAGCTTGAAAAGCACGCCACGTGAGGGCTAATCGGCGATCTGGAAACATTTGTGCACAAAGAAAACAGCTTCAAATCAAGCCCAAGATGGCGGCGCTCAGTCCGCCGCAACGCACATGACGCACGCGGGAACTTCGAACAAATTTTGTCTTTTTGGGGCCATTTAAGTACAACCGAGGTGCATTGAAGGTGATTTTATCACATTTGCAGACCAAATTCATCGTTAGCAATTCGAGAGTAGGTGCTCAGAAGTACAAACACCCAAAAAATTAGCTTTGCGAAGAATCGTTTTTTTTTTTTACCATTTTTGACCACGTCCCCCCTTAAAAGCGAGGCGTATCAAAACTTCTTATTGTGCAACAACTTAGTGGAAAGCCTAGTTTTAATTTTTTTAGATTGTGCGTAAATAGTGAAGTAGGATTTTCGTGCATATTGGCAATTCAATCACTAAAATAAGAAAAATGACTCCTCCCTGTTCTAATTCTTCTGTCCTTCAGGTCCCGTCAGTGGTGCTAACTATAGAAAAATAATAGGCATTTTGAATATCCACAATTCGATTCCTGCAGTCAAATTGAACAGAACGCTACAGCGGAATCTCGATTATAATGTTCCTGGTTTTGCGATGACCCTGCATTTTACAGTGAATCAGTTTGGTCCCAGTAAAGCCCAGGAATAATATATTAAAACTTGGCATGTGCAAATTTTCCAGTACTTCAAGCATTCAAAGGAATATTGCGCCATTCAAGTTAGCTTCAATATGAATGAAAGTTATTCTAACTTTTGAAGTATTCAAAGTGAACGCAAAATTATATACGATCGAACCCACTTATAACATTGCTGAAGTGCCACGAAAATTTCATTTTTACGACCAAGAATTGCTATAAACAGCTTCCACGAAAAAAAAAATCAAATTGGGGGATAGGGAGGCGGTTGTGAGAAAGCTGTAATACCTGATGCGATGTGCCAAACGGACATCAGTTATAAGAATGACGAAGCTGCCGAGTTTTCGATCATGCTTGAAAATTTAAATGCTTTTACGGGACGGGCCAAAGCCCCATAGAGCCAATGTAATGCAATGTCTGAATTTTCACATGCCGAAACATTGAAGCCTCACTTTTTTACTCCGATTACAATTTTAAATGTCAGCTTTTTTTGCATTGCCAGAAAGCTATGCGGCATAGCACTTCATGGATCTGAAGATGTGCTGGTAGACGTAGGAGTTTAATTTCTCGTTTTATTTTTTTTTTTTAACAGGGATTTTGCATTTTGGTATCTTCAGCACACACGCCCAACAGCCAGAATTCACTGTTATAACCGATAATGCAGCATGCGGGCATTACTGTCACTGGGTTACCTCACAGTAGAAAACATACAAAGGTCAATGGCGCAGCAGCTCTTCACTGTTGTAAATGCTATTACGTTATCATTGTAAGTGAATGGGACTGTATAACCCATGTGTAACCCTTTGTAAAGGTGGTTCCACTGCAGTGGAGGGTTCCTCTACTGTGGATACACATATTCAGGAAAAATCCACACTGCTGGAAATCCCACTTCAAAGTTATATGAACATATTATTCTAGGCTTGTACGAATAATAAATTTCAAGTTCGAAGCAAATAGTTTTTGGTTCAGTGGTTTGAATAATTCCAAATCGAATTCGAATAGTATATATGACATATTATAAAAATAATAAGCATATTTGTCGTGACCTAACTTGCACAAAATTTTTTTTAACTGAAACAAGGCATGAGAAAATATCATTACTTTTGGTTCAAAGGAAGTAGAAGCAACCTTGAATACTAGTAGCAGGATTTCGCTTTCGGTAAAATCAAGTGATAACATGTAAAATATGTTACGTATTAAAATTTACTATATATACTTAGGACATATAGGTAAGTATAACAACCATTTAAGCTTAGAAAAAATATAATCGATGCAAAGATAATGTTCATTCACCTTGAAATAAGGTGGTTAAATATACATTTCTTCATTCGTTTCAAATACATGTACTACAAAATTTTCTATAATTTAAATTCCAATTTAAGCAAATTCGAGTAGGTCATTATTTAAATGGTCGAAGAGTCCAAATATTCACTCAAGCCGATATTAATCTAACATAGAATAGATTCATCATTTTTTTAGTGTAGAAGCTTGTTTATAAGCTCTGAGATTAGTAAAATCTAAAATGTAATGATTTTACAGATTATCATTTGCATTATCTTATTTGCCTTTGCATCCACTTCATAAGGCAATATCCACTACGTAGGGCAGCAAGGTAATGTGATGATCATATGTTTACAAACTGTAGGGCAATGAACCTACAGTTTAATGCAGTCGGATACAGCTTAGGAATCCTGAAAAGACCCTGGGTGGTTGCCAGACAATCGGAGCGCAGCAACCGACTGCTTCCACGCCTGAAGAAATAGTCCCACTCATGCATTTGGCTTTTTTTCTCTGAAGGTGAAATCAGTGGCCATCTGGTTCATGGGGTTAACAGCTGTTAACATTCGTCTGCTTCAATTCAGGTGCACTATAACCCTAGTGGGTGAAAACTAATATTGAGTCCCCACTATTGTGTACCTCACAAGTACCTGCGTGTGCGCCACAAGGGGCAAACGACCTCACAGGGTGTGATACCACCCTCACAAGTTTTGGCACTTGAAGCCCAGCAATTAATCAAGTGCATCCTGTCTGGCGTGCAGTTGTGTGCGTGCCACTGTAATTCCGGGAGGTCCCGGTTGCGGCTGGCACTCATCACCCTGGGCGCGGCTTGAAGGTCACCAGCCCACAATACCAGAGGGTACCACCGCCACCACCGGAGACGCTGGCAGTGGTCAGACTGGCGGCGAAGAAGACACCCTTGGCCTGGAACTTCACCTTCCTGTGGGACCTCGGCTAGCAGGTCACGCCTTGCAGCTGCAGCTCTGGTACCAGAAAGCTCGCATGCTCCAGGATTGCCTGGTCAGTGTGCCTCTTTGAAATTTCAACAATGTTTCCTAACAAGGCTACTGCAAGGAGCTCCTGGAGAAGTGTGTGATTTTTCTTAATTTAATATAACCTGATGGTCGCGGGATCGAATCATGGCCACATTTGGGTGGAGGCTAAATGCTGGAGGCCCTATGCAATTAAATTAGGTTCGCATTGAAGATACCCAGGTGGTTGAAACTTACGGAGCCCTCCACAACCGTGTCCCTCATAATCATATCATAGTTCTGGGATGTAAAACCCCAACAGTTATCAGTATTTTTTATGGTAATCGTGTATGTTACACACGTCATTGTTTCTGCTTTTTTTTTTTCATTGACTGTTTTCACGCAACTGTGATGTTATCAGATTGTCTTCTGTACAAGGTGTGCTATCAATATAATTAAATTTGTAGACATGATGGGTTCTATGTTAATCAGGTTGCACATACAGCAAAAATGGTATTGTACAGCTGGAAACTAGACATGTCCCTTACAGTCTCTTACCATATTAAAAGTGGGTAATTTTACCAATTTGTTTTCGCAAGTCTGAAACAAGCATTAGAAAGTCAACCTCGTACTTTCTCTGTGCACATTTTTCTGTGGAATGTGTATAGCTGATTGGGTGGCCTTTCACATTATTTCAGGTGTGGTGGCCTTTTCAATAACTAAAGGTCGGAGGTAGTATGCTTCAGCACTGTTGTGTGTTGTGGTGAATCTTATTGAAGCAAACCCTTTGTTACGGGCTCGCATAACGGTCTTTAGCCTGCAGGCTTAACTGCTTACCAGCAGCACTCAGCCAAGGCTTGCACATTTCTTCTCACCTAGCCATGATGCAAGACAACAATGGGAGTTTTTGCATCCTTAGACTTTGACAGTGTCTCTGAAGACATTTTAAGGCAAGACAAATCAAAACAAATCCTTTTGCTCCAGTTGTAGCTTAACAAATACGATGGTCATGTTCCCTCTAGCAATCTTAGCTAAAGATCTGCATGGTCACTATAGAAGATTGTGTCTCTGGAGAGGAGTAGACACGGACATTAGCAAGGCTACTTTGACCTGCACAAGGACGACAAGTTAATAAATGCTGGCTGCGAGCAAGCTTTCCACCACCACCCTTCTTTCCAGGGCTGTGCTCAACTGTCCTTGTGTGGCCTGAACCCATCTGCCATCTGGCTACGTTGGCTTGGAACTCTTCCCCCCTGAAATGACAGCAACAGGAAAAGACGAAAGCAGTGACGAGTCGACCGTCATCTCTTCACAAACATCAACACTCACAAGAAACATAGGTGAGGCCTTACGCCGCAGCCTGACTTCACATCGGAAGTGGTGAAAATTGCGGGAAAATATAGTTCAACGTCCTTCCTCAAATAACTACTTTTCTCAGAGCCACAGCAGCATCATAAACAGATTGAGGTTTTTAGGCATCAACAATCATGCTGGCACTCGTTACTAGATAGCACATACAGGTGTGTGTAATTCAAAAGCAAAATAGGCTTTTTAATCTTGGTATGCTTTTCTGCATGACACGAATGTACTGTGGTGAAGGTAACCTCAGCATTCCACACGCGATTATTTAAAGCTGGACAGCTTTTTTTCTCTCTCTCTCTCTCAATCAATACAGGATTGTTGGGTGTGTGCACTTTGGCCAGTTTGGGAGATGAACATAGGTGTATGATTCAAGTACTAAACTAATCATATTAGTGGCAGTCGTTGCATTGAGGAGACTTCTGCTTATTGATAGTTTGCTGTTCTAAAGAGACAGAGTGGTTCCAAGGTTGCCTCAGAGTGGTGGTGTCGCTATCTGCAGCTCCACCAGGCAGGGAAGAGCAGCAGCCTCAGGAGGAGCTTAAGAAGGTGGAACCCTGAGGCCGTCATCCAATGAGCCGGTGGAGCACTGTGACAAGGAGACCAACACTGAGTGCGTGTTCCAGCCAGAAGGGCGCCGCGGCCGGAAAGGCGTTATGGGGGACTTGGCTGTAAGCCTGCCCGTGCCTCCGGTGCCGGTTTCTCCAGTCAAACGGTCAGCAGACCTTTGGACCTGCGAGTCACCGTTACGTCTGCAGGGTGAGGGTCAGTGCATGCCTTTGTTCTCACTTGTAACTGCAGGAGTGTTCTCATGTGAAGTTGTATTGTAGTGCTTGTTTTGCCTGGCTCCTTCCAGTTGTCCTATTCATCTGTGCTTTTCATTTCTCTCCCATTGACTGCTTCTATCAGTGTGGCGTTATTTAGTTTCCCTTGGCATTTCAAAACCTGGCAGTGCAGTTGAGTGATAGAAGGGTAGAGGGAATACTATTTGGAAAGCGATCATGTGAACATTTGGGGAGCACTGCTTTTAAGGAACTTCTCTGCTTAGTTCCCCCACACTCTCTTTTTTATCTTAGAAAACTGCTGACTTGTTTCTTGGGCACCTAAGTTAATTGAAACCTTTGCTTAGTTCAAAGGGATTGCAAGCTTTTGGCTGCCAAGTGGTACTCGAGGCACCTGAGAAAACTTGAACCAAATATTATAGTGCAGAATGCAGCCTGGAATTCTCAAAGTCAACTAATCATTGTTTTCTTTTTTCTCTCGACAAAGAAAGATAGAAGCTCAAAATTCACACGTCACAGCCATTGTATCAGCCATTGGTTGATTTGAGCCTGACACGCTTGGTCGTTACTCCAGCCTGAGCGAGAGGCTGTGACTTGTCCTCGCGGGCGCATTCTCACTGAAAAGCCGAGTATGCAAAAAAAAAAAATAGAGAAGATGCTCAAGGTCACGAGACGTGTGACGTATTTTTCTTTCCTTTTTTTTTTTTCCCCCCGTGCCATCTCTCCCTGCTTAGCTTCCAGTGCTTTTGTCGGGACAGAAGAGAGAGGATGTAGTTGCAACATGCGACAAATCTTTGTAGCTTCGCTCGTACTAGACAGATTCTACGAATTTTCGTGGCAGTGAATTCGTGAGGCAATGAGCTCCTTTAATGAATACATTCCATGGCTGCTTGAAAAAGTGTTGCAGGGCCCCTTTAAGGCTGCTCAATTTAAACCAGTACTGACAGGATTTGTACAGTTCCTTGAATCCTTGAAAACCCTTGAACTTGAAGAATGCATTTTCAAGGCCCATGAAAGTCCTGGAATTTTTTGCCATCCTTGAAAATCCTTGAATTTCATGAGCAGTGCGCTGTCATATATCAACATCACGACCTTCTAAATGTAGTAGATCGATGCGTCAACCTGTCAAACTCCCAATTTCCCAAGCAGTAATGTGACGTGGGTGCACATAGTCCAATTTTGCGAATGGGCATGGGAAAAAAGAAGTTAGTTTTGTGGCGAGGGCTGAAGCGGTGTATGTGATAGCAAGATATTACTATGTCGCACGAAGAAGGGCAAGCAACTTTATACATGCAACAGCCCGCTCAAGGAAGAAGGACGCACGAAAAGGAAGCGCAGAAGACGAGTGCTGATGAACAACTGTCACAGCTTGACACTGAAAGCATGCTGCTTAAAGGGGAACTCTGGTGCATTTTCGACCATACTGAGATAATGTTGTTTTTAAATAGTATTGACAGTCCTGCAAAAGCTTGGGTGGTTTATTTTGCCCAGGCATTCGCCAACAATTTTAATTGAGGGATAAACGATGAGTCAAAAGAGAAGCCAAACAGGGAGCTGCTCCGTCACCATGGTGGGTATCGAATAACGTCACGAGATCCGCTACACCCTGTCCCCGCCACGGCTGGCCAGGGTGTAAACATAGCTCATGTGCCTCTTCTGACGCATGAAAAGCAAATTGGCGATGTCGTTCGGCACCTGAATCAAGCTGTGCCAACTCGTCTGAACTTACCAGTGGACAAGTTCAGCGATGATTGCAACTACTCTCTGAACGCAGAAGCATTGCTTTTAGGTTTCGACCCACCGGTGCGTGAAGCATCTAACATGGCCCAAATCGATTTCATCGTTGCTCAATATTGTAAAACCAGACGTCAACGACTACTAACACGCTGCTGTGTGCAGCTGTGTGCACAAAACTGAACTGCGCTCGCGTTTTCGTCACCCCGTAGAAGAAAGCGCGTACTGCATCCATCTGCTGAAAAAACGGGTTTTTTGAAAAAGAGCAGGCCGTTACGTCACATACAAGGGGTAGCCCGCATGCACAATCGGCTACCAATTTTAAAATGTTTTTTTTTTTTTTCTGAAAAACTAAATGAGTTACGCTTGTATAATTTTGCACATATTACCACTGTACCGACGAGGGCACACGTGAAAAGTTTTATTAAAATTACCAAAAAAATGGCAGAGTTCCCCTTTAAACACCAAGAAGGATGCTAGACAAGAACACACATATATCCACAGGATGAGTGTAAGTTAACCCCTGTAACAGTTGTTACTCCTTGGTGTTCCAGCAACGTGCTGCAAGTGTCAAATGCACAAGCCACCACTCTTAATGGGGTGGTGCCATCTAATCGCGAGGCTAGAGCAAGCGTCATGTGGGTGTCTTCTGTATGCAAGTACACTCCACACTAACGATTGGACTTGGAAAACATTTAGAATATATTTCAAGTCACTTATCAAGCGTACGTAAATGCTCATTCTCCTAATTGAGGCCCATTGCGAGCACATCCAACACGGACGTAACTCTATAGGGCAACGAAAGTTGTAGTCACCACTCTTAATGGGGTGGTGCCATCTAATCGCGAGGCTATAGCAAGCATCATGTGGGTGTCTTCTGTATGCAAGGACACTCCACACGAACGATCGGACTTGGAAAACATTTAGAATATATTTCAAGTCACTTACCAAGCGTACGTAAATGCTCATTCTCCTAATTGTGGCCCATTGCGGGCACATCCAACTCTGACGTAGCTCTATAGGGCAACGAAAGTTGTAGTGATGTCACACCAGATTTGTAGTGAGGTGAGTGACCTCCGAACTTCTGCCACGTGCATACCGGCAAAGCATTGTGGAGGCTGCAGCTAGCTACGCGTTTGTTTTAGAGGTGCTTGTATAGCACTTGTGTGCGTGAGCAGACGATACTCATCACGGCGTGTGCACTGATCACGTGACTAAGTCAGCTACACTGCTACGTACCTGACCAACTCTGTGCCCACTAACAGGAACTGAAAATTCTCCATATCAAAAAGGTGATAAATTATATAACAAGAAGAAATTAATCTTGGTGCGTGTATCGTGTTTGTGGAGCTGTTGTAATTAAAGCTTGCAGGAAAGAGCGCACAAGCCACAAATATTGTGGCACCACCCCTTTAACCCAACTATACATACGCGTTGAAGCCCAATAGTGGGCAACTTCCTTACGCCTAGGAGAGTGAGGGAGAGCGTGCGAGAAGTTATTAAGACTAGATTTTATTTTGTTACGTTTGCGATATCTCTATATTATTGTAAGTGCAGTAACATCTGTCTTTTTTTTTTTTAATTTTAGATTGAAGAATTCCAACTTAGCATGCCGCTTTGAGCCCTTGAAAAGCTTGCAACAGGTCCCTAAAAAGCCCTTGAATATCCTTGAATTATCGCTTTGGAAACCTGTACGAACCCTGCACTGCTTTGGATAAATTCAGTTAAGGGGACATAGGTACAGTCGAACCCCACTACAACGAAACCTGACAAGGCACAGAAAAAATTTCGTTTATGCAAAAATTTCGCTGTAGTGAAATTGAAAAAACATAGCTGATCTGAGCTAGCAAAACAAAGGAACGTTTATTCTGAAAATTCAAAAAATGTCCGCTGCTTCTTAATCTTTCTCAGCAGCGTCACGTCGCGATTCTCACCCATTCATTGCGAGGCGGAAATGTTGTAGGCCCGTGTGCTCAGATTTGTGTGCACATTAAAGAACACCAGGTGGTCGAAATTTCCGGAGCCCTCCACTACGGCGTGTCTCATAATCATATGGTGGTTTGGGGACGTTAAACCCCACAAATCGATCAATCATCAATTTATTGCGAGGTGATGGTGAAAATCACGCCGAAACAACGCCTAAAGCCGCCTTCGTGAACGAACAAAACAGTTGCTTGAACACGTTAACACCAGCAGCTATCCGCCGTCAAAAGTATCCTACAACACCGAGATGAAGGCAGGGTATCATGGAGCGGCAACTTTTGCATTATTCTATTCTATTCTTATTATCTATTACTCGCAGCTAGCTAATTTTGTTGATAATGCAGATGAACAGCCACTCCGATTAGTTACTACACTGGCCAAGCGCGAACATAATGATAAACATCGGAATCAGAAAAGGCATCGTGCCGCGGTTGCACCAAGCAGCTGCATGAAGGAAACCATCAACTGAGCGACCGAGCTTCAGCTTCGGATCGTCTGCGGCTCAAAAGCACCAGTGGCAAAAGCAGGGAAGTTGTCACACCGGTCCCGTTAATTAGGGAGGCAATCGCCGGGTTAATTCCAAGGGCCGAAGTATTGGCCCCCCGAACGGCACCACGAAAGCGTGGACAATTTAGAAGTGGTCCTTTTTGGCGCGCCAGCGGACGCCGGCTGTGGCCCAAAGAACAAGTCAGAGCCGAGAGTTGATAAACAAACAAAATTATATTCTCAATAATGGCAGATCGAAAACAATACACAATAATGCACACTCCACAATAGTTGCATACAATATGTCACCAGTCAAACAACGTACTACACAGTACAATCAGCCACACTCGAAACAACGGACACAGACAACAACACACACTACAATGCAGTCGCATGCATTGAACAACCAAGACACTTAAAGACTAAAGAGATAGAAAACCTATTCAGTCCAAAGTTCTTGGAACCAAAGTCTAGATGATACTCTTCCGAGGATCACTCACTCCAAGTCCAGCGTTGTTGTCGTTCCGCAGCCCCCGAAGTTTCTCTTCCAGGAAACCTCACGTCTTCAATAGGCCACTCTCCAAGTCAAACTTCTTCGCCCGAACACGTCGACTTCACACACGCAGCGGTTGCCACGCGTCTTCGCTCGATAGCGGAAAACACACACTCTTGCCTGTAGCTCGAGTCGTCACCCCTCAGGTGGAATACATCCTCTTCTCCTGCTTTGTCTCTACGGACAAAACCTTCGCCGACTCCACGGCGGTATACCCTACGCACTCTGGCGCTAACTTCCGTCTTCTCCTGCTTTGTCCCTACGGACAAAACCTTCGCCGACTACACGGCGGAATACCTACGCGCTCTGGCGCTAAGTTCCGTCTTCTCCTGATCTCTCGTCTCCGCTGCTCGGTTAAATACCTTCTGCGCGAGATTCCAGAAGGTTCTCGTCATTTCGTCGGCGCGATACGCAGCGAAGGCTGGGGAGAGGGCGAGACGGTTGGAATGCCCTCCGCGATGGATGACTCAACCCGGCGTGACCACGCCTCTTTCGTTCTAGAAATTTCGCGGCCTTGCTCGGCCGCCGATGTGGGGTGAGGAGGTTCGTCGGCGAAGCCGCGCTTCCGAGGGGAGAGCGCGCGCCCGGGGAGCCTTGGATGTTTGTTTTCCTTTTTTTCTCTTTTGACCTCCCTGCGTCTCTCCCGCGCGTTATCGCAAGAATTTGGCGGCGCGCCCATTTTTAGCGCTCGTTCTGTGACAGCAGTCTCATTGCCATTGCTACCGAGCAGTGGTGGCGCCCATGCTTGCTGAACAGGAGCGGTATAGCGGTGATTTTTGGTGGTGTCAATGCGTGTTTTAGACTTTGTTGGCGCATTTTCAGGCTCTGAAAATGCATCGAAATGTTACAGATTGGGTTTACTGCGTAGAAATAAGTATCTGAGCCTGGAATTGCATTGCAAAATTTCGTTGAAGCGAGACGATCAAAGAAAAAGTGTTCGTTGTGGTGACAATACTTATGCTTTGACTCCTATGGACTGCCGAGTGGGAATCCTGAATTTTTCATTGTAGCGGAAATTTCGTTGAAGCGGCGTTCATTGTAGTGAAGATTGAAAACCTTGTGAAACTAAATAGAATAGTCCAGTTTTTCATGCTGATTTCAAATGTGCAAGAGTTTTCTTGGAAATAAACTTAGCGTTTGAGATGTACTAAGCTGCCTCTCTATTGTTTCGGACACAACAAGAAAAAAAGCCATTCAGTAGAATATCATTATCAGATAGTTGATAGTATGACATTCATTAATCGCAATGCTGTAAACAGTCTTTGAATCAGGTCTTTATCATTCTGGGATAATGAAAAGTAAATGTATGTACCGTGATTAACATAAGGAAGGAAGAAAATTAAGCTTTAGGAAATCTATGAGCATAAAATGAGAATTTTATTCTAACACTTTCTGATACTCAGTTTCTGCTTTATGCTGAAAAAATGATTTATGCTCTAGCATTTTAGATCATGTGATATCACTCCAGCCAGCTGAGTGACCCAAAGACATTTCAGTTTCAGCTTATACTCGTTCCACAGATCGAAATACTTATGAAATGCTGATCTTATTAGACATAATTTAGGCATTACATGTGAAAGAATAGCTGTAAATTTCAATAATGTGATTAAAAAATCACTTTTTCTATTATGATCTTTTTGGTCTTCACAAATGATGTCCCTCCTTGATTCATACATTTTGCTCCTTCATGTCAGAAAGTATTATCCTTTTTTTTTTTTTCATTGTCTCTCTGCTTATGTGTTTTTGTCTTTTATTTTTATCTCGCAGCTCAACCGCAGCGACAGTGACAGCGCCATGCCACTGTATCGGAAGAGTGGCCCTTTCCAGAGAAATTCCATGGAACGTAGAAGCCTGCGGTGCAAAAAGGTGAGCACACCATTTAAGTCTCACAAGATGATAGCATATCTTCGTGGTCTTCTTTAAAGCACAGCGTTTACATTAAGGGGGGAGGTGGCCTCGAAAAAAAGCTTTTTTGTTTGTTGACCTAGAGCAGCGAAATTTTGCTTGTATACTCATAAGTGTCTTGAATAGGGAAATATGCAGTTTCATCATAATACCTGGAATAGTTCTCAAGTTACATCATGCTACGTGGTTCGACTTATATGGTCTCCTCGTGGAAAGCCTAGCGCTGTAACAAAGTATGCCAGGAAGCTGCAAGTGGTGTTGATCTTTACTCAAACGAAGACTATTGGGTTTGGCAATCTCAGAGTACATGGCATGTGCGAGTCTTCTAGAAAAAAATTCTGAGCCATAAACAAGAATTCAAAGATTGTGAGAGACCCCCAAGAAATGTTTTGGAATTCGGGAACAAAAAATCTGCATCAAAATCCGTCCAGTCATTCCCGTGCTACACTTTCCCTAAGCAATGCGCAATGTCCAAAACACACTTGAGAAAAAGCCAGTCGAAGTTTTCGACAGGCTTTTTTCGGCGAACATTCTTGTTTTTGGTTGGATATTGATGAAAATTGGCACAGATACTAAGAATGACCTCACAGTGCTTGCATAAGGCTTCCGAGCTGATAGCACAAATACTTAATGAGAGTCAAATTATTTCTTCAATGAACCTCGTGGAGGGGCTGAGCATAATGCCAAAAAAAACAGTATTGAGAAAACTGGTTTGAAGTTTTAACTTCTCATTGCGTCTCTAAAACACCTAAAAATGTGATCTCAGTTTTGTCTTGTGATATTCGACTTCTCAGGCATGTGGGTCTCTGCCCAGTGGGTCTTTCATTAACATAATTAAGTACTTGATTACAAATCATCACTGAACATTTCTTTATATAGAGAGAAGATTATTGCATCAGAAAAATGGCTCACACCCTGGCGGCCTATGCCTTCTTTCCAAATAACAAGGTGATGGGCAGGAGACTGGTGGCACAGTAATTTTTTATCAGTTTATTTAATGACGCGAGACGGGCATATAAAAATTCGTGCCCCTGCTTCATACATGCTCTTTTGCCACTCTACCCGTGAAACGCATCATCATACGGCCGGTCGCGGAAACTCTAATCTTTGAGGCTTTCATTGTCTCAGAACATTCATAGACGCTCGTGGTGATACCAAGCACGTCTAAATCGCATCTCAAAAGCTTATTGACAGCACTCTATATGACCGTGGAGTGCGTGGACAGTGCAGCCAGCGCGTGATGCACTTAGCGGCGGCGTTCGCTGACGATGCGCGAAATGTGTAGCTACGACGACAAAAAAAATGGCGCGCTCTGCATGCACTTGGTATCGCACTTTCGAGTGACGACGCGCGAAAGCTGTTAGCCGCTGTTCCGAGCAATCCTTAGCATGACTGTGGGGTCCACTGCCGATGCGTAAAATGCCTGTCCACGGTTTCCAGGAGCTGAAGAGTGATACGCTTCGTTGCTTGCGAAGAAGCATGTCGCCACGAGTGCGCTTGCACGTCGTTCTTTCACGCAGTCTCGCCGTCAACGGAGGTTGGCCTAAAGACGGCTCCGATGACGCGCCGCGCTCGTGTGGACCGTGCGCCCACTCGTAGTAATCTTATCGTGCATCCGCTTACGTCTCCCAACTAAAGCGTAATTATATTCTAAGTGATTGTCAAGTCATGAACACGTCACGAAGTAGCGATTTTCAAGAGCCATGTACCTCGCGACGCACAAGCAGCAGAGAATCTCCCGGAGCGAGCATCGGGCCAATGGCGGGGCGGAGCTGAGGCAACATGGCGGCCACAGCCAATCAGGGGCCTTGAAACGACCTTGAAACATTTGCTTTCTGTGCGTTTATTTTTAAAGGGACGAGCCAGCTGAGGCGGGAGATTTAAACACGAATAATTGCTCGTTCCAATAAGCCCAAGAAAGCCAGCTCTCGGCCACTCCATCGCAAAGCTGTAATTTTTTGAAAATCACTGTTTTCTCGCAATTTCCAGGAAATTGTTTCGCTACCTAGGAGGGTGAAACGAATTTTCTGAAGCAGTTTTGCGCAGTTTTCAGTGTAGATATTTTGTAATCAGGTAGAAAAAGGGTTTCAGAAACTGAGAACTTCAGCTGGATATTCAATAAAGTTATTTCATCATCATCATTTTCAAAAAATTGATTTTTTTGCCATTTTTCGCAATACCAAGCCACGTCTCTCCTTAAAGGACCTCTATGCTATAATCATATTGTCATCTTTGCATTGCAGTAGTCTTAAATTTGTTTGAACATAGCTTACACATACATGTGATATTGCAGAGAAATTGGTTGCAAGACATGGCTATGCATTACAGTCAGCTAGAGAATTGAAGCTGTGTTGACTACTTATTTTGTTTAACTATTGTAGAGCCAAAATTATTGTTCTATTGAAGTGGACAGGTATCTCATTTCAGGGTAGCTTGTCAGCACCAGTGGGCCTTGAGGTATACAGGTTGAACCCCTTTATAAGAGACACGTACTGGGGAGCAGTTTGTGTCTCTCATAAGCAGGATACCACTTTTTCATATCATACTCAGTCTATATTTTATTGTGCCCACACTAATGCTAAAGTAAGCACAAAAGAAGGCTATATACGGTTACAAAATATTTATTTTTCAGAATTTGCTTTCAAACCACTTTCCTTATAAAGTAGTTCTCCATGGTTGGTTGTTTTAGGGCTGTGTCTATCCCATTTTTCAACACAGCTCCTTCCAGCCTGCTCACAAGGTCAAGGGCTTCATGGCCGTCAGGCCAAAGCTGAATGTGTTTCCCAACTTTGCCCAGCACTGTCATTGCTTCACCAGATGTCATTGGCGGGGTACTGTCCTCACTGTACGATACATCCGTATCGGTGTCTTCTTCCTGTTCCCCTTCCTGCACCATTCTTACAATGCTTTCATCAGACAGGTCTTCAGTTACCGCAAGGTTGTTGTCTGCCTCAACAAAGTTCAGGAATGTGCCAGACTCACAAAATCTTCTTTGAATAAGTGGCCGTGATTCTGGCTCAACTGCACATTACAGGTCTTTGTCTGCAACATCCTCCTCTTCTTCCTCCTGCAGATCAAAACCGGCTTTGCGAAAGCTCCCTGTCACGGTGCTTCTCTGAATATCATTCCATGAGCCTGTTAACATCTCAATCGCTGTTCTCAAATTGATTGTTGTCTCACGCAGCATGTTGAACAACAGGCATTGAACAAGTCTGACTCTGTATTTGATTTTGACTGCATTAATAATTCCTTGATCGAGGGGCTGTAGCACAGATGTGCAGCCTGGTGGGAAGTACCTAAGCTGAACAGCTGTCTAGGAACAGTAGAACTCTTCTCTTTTTCATAACCATCTTGCGATCGAAACTTGCTGGCGATTTGTTAAATTTTTCCGATGTCATCCAAGTAGCCTTGTTTGCGGTGTACTCAACATTGAATGAAGTTCTTTAGGCAGCGTGGGTTTTTCTATTTGCCTATAACTAAGATTTTTTCTCTCTGTTTCTTCAATATTTGTGCAGAACATAGCAGTAATGCAATCTTCCGACTTTTTGCCTTCACTGCAATCTTGCTTGTATAAGGCAAATGTTCTTCCAGGACTCGTCCAGATTGAAGATATCGCTAGCCTTCCACCCCCTCAGCAAAGTTGGCAATGTCTCTTCTTTCCATTGCTTGACGGAGTTTTCATCGGCAGATCTGCTTTCGCCACAAACACTTTTGTAGCTGATGCCATGTCGGCGCTTGAACCTGTCAAACCGTCCCTAACAGGTCTCAAACTCAATGTCAAGACCGAATGCACGTTGATTGACTTTTTCTTGAATTAATGGTCTGTTGAGCGGGATGTTCTTACTCCGTGCATCCCGTATCCACAGAAGAAGCACCTCTTCTACGGCAGGATGGGATGACTTACGCAGTGTGGACCGGCAGGCTCCTGTTGGCGCTTCTTGAAAAGCTTCTCTCGCTGAGCCCAAATCCCGCTAACAGTTGACAAGCTAAATTTTCTGGCGGCATCTGCCTGCGTCATGCCACACTTTATGTCTGCTACAATGTCGAGCTTTTTTGACACCGTGAGGCAAGTAAGGCGTTTGACGGAGCATTCTGCCATGCTGAGGCAGCGAAATCCAGCGCTGTGGTCATGGCGTGGTGGCCAACCAAGTCTAGGCCAGTAGCAGCATTTGTTGCGCACCGATACTGGCGGCCAGCAGTGAAAGTTGATAGCAATCACCCCATCACACTATCACAAAGCGGCCACGAAGCGTAGTGATCACGGCGTGACATCCGGTGGTGAACGGCAGCGATACGCCTACTGCAGGCGATGCGGCAAAGCACGTCTAGCGTCTCTTGTGAATCGTTGCTGGCAGCCAGTGGTGAACTGACAGCGACGACGGCAATCACAAAATGCACCCTACCAGCAACTGTACGGCTCTGAAGCATGGCAGAGGAATCGTGAACTGGATTGATGCTACGAGCATTCGTTTAATAACGTGGGCCATTCGGGCCGGGGACCTGAGCGTCACCAAGCTCGTGAGAGAACAAAAGCTTTTTTTTTTTTTTTTTGCACTTGCAGTGAAGCTTGGCCTCCGAGACTCGAAACTCACTTTTTTTTCGCGCTGTTTGTGTGAGAGTTTCAATTATAGCCTCTGAGACTTGCAACTCTTTTTTTTTTTTCTCTCATTTCTGGCTTTCGTTCGGCTTGGCTCCTGGCATGCTTTGTAGCCTTCGATATTTTTCAGGAAAGCAAGACAACGGTGATGGAGCGGCTGTAGCTTGTCAAGCAGCGCAGGGCTGATCGCGGTGTAACGCTTAAAATCACGTAACGCTTAAAAAACGATTCGCGGTGCACTATTCGTGGTGCTATTTTTAGACTTGCGGAGAACACACATGTGGGGCGTTTTAATTGGAAGATTTCTGCAATGTGTTCACACTGCGTGCTCGCGGTATTGGCTCTTCAGGTGCCTGTGAAGTGCCACACGTGGACGTGTTCGTCTCTTGGCGGTAAGGCTTAAGTGCATATCAGCAATGTATACCAGTTTCGAAGACCTTTTATGATTGTTTTATAACCGACTGATCTACTAAACATTTACTGAGGCTATAATAAACAAGGTTTTCATAATCTATTGTTTTTTCTATATTCCAAAAATAGACACAAGTCGAGTTAGCGGTTGATGGCGCTTCATTCAGGTTATAATGTCTGTTACAAGCGATGTTATTGACAAAAAACTCACTGATATCTTGTCCTTTACAACCGATTGTCTTCATTATCCACTGTCTCTTACAAAAGAAGTCAAATTAATGAGAGAGATAGGCTGGCGTACCAAAAGTGTGAATGTTGTCTGTTATACCCGTTTGTCCATTACATCCGTGCTTCTTATAACGGGATTCAACTGTAGAGGGAGGTGTAATCATAGCATCGTCTTCGTACGATCTCAGTCAATTGGCGAGTCCTCTCGTTTGTCGTCGTTCTCTCATTTGTCAGTGTTGGCATTAATTTCAAAGGGATAAAGTGAATGTGTTCATTGTGTCTTCTTTGGTGCAGTCAGCTGCTCATGGAGGCAAGGCGGCAAGTCACACGTCTGGGGCACGGACATCCTGGATCTTGCATTGGACCTGCAGGCGTCGCAGACACGGCTGCAGCTGCTGCAGCAGGACTTGGCTCGCCTTAGGGAGATGAAGAGGCGTTTGGAGGACACAAAAGCCAGGGGTGAGTTACTTTTTGCACATTGCAGAGCAAAACACGCATTTCCCAAATCTCTATGATACCAATTCGAAGGGAGCACGCAAAATATTCGTATCATACCGAATTCTTATGAACCAAAAACCAATTAAAGCTGATCATGAAAATGATCAAGAACTTTATTGAGGTCAACTATTACTTGCTGAAAAAAAGTTCATGATGTTCTTTTGAAATTTCCTGCCTTCACGGCCTCTCAATAAAGGACCGTGGATTTTTCACTTATGCTGCTGGCACTTAAAGCGCATTCACACTAGGCATCAAAGGGAGTGAAAGCGGCAAAACTTATTGGATGTTCACTCGCTCTGCCGTTGAAGCGGCCGGAAAAACATGCCGCAAAGGCGCCACGAAAAAAAAAAAAAATAATCAGTCACGCAAGAGAATTTAAGAAAAGATGCCAGGGCGGCCGCGAAACCATGTCTGCGCCTGCCGAAAATTATTCAGATTCATTCTGCCTACTGCCGCCGCTTTCCCTGCATGAGAATTCATTCCATTTCGCCCATTTCTAGAGCATTGAAATTCATACAGAGTTCTAGTTATGCATGCAAAGCACTAAAAAAAACAGTTTGCACCTGTACAAATTCCGTTTCGAAAGATACACCAGCAGAAACAACACGAGCAGATGCAGCGGCAGCGACGGATTTTGCCGGAATCGCAAAAGCGAGACATGTTAAGGCATGCGGACTCGCTGCTGCTGCACCTTCTTCTACTTCTTGTGTTCTCGGCGATCATAATTCAAACCAGGCTCTTGATAAACATGTTTTGTCAAAGCTGTGAGCTTTGTCATGCTGCGCAGCTAGTTCGCGATTGCACCGACGCGAGCCTTTGCCACCATGTTGAATTTGCTGCTCGTTGTTTACATTACGTGGTTTGAGAGTTAGTGCAGCGGGTTTAGCTCAAGCCACGAAGCAATAAATAGCCGATATGCTATCGCGAGGCAGAAAGATTGGTCTCAGGCCTATCTTTTCGCGTCAGCGTCGCATTGTGGTTCTCCGGACCAGGGAAGCGAGGGAAATTCCCGTGCGTTTTGTCGCGTTCATCACTGCGGGCATGTAGCCATAAATTTTCTCCTATGGGGGGGAGGGGGGGGCACCACCTTTATTTTGGGAAGGTTACCCCCAAACGGCCATAGTTCGCTCTCCATGCCATGGCGAAAAAAATTTGAGGGAGAGGAATGTGTTTTGTGTGCCACCCCTGGCTACGCCTCTGGTTCACTACCTTTGAGGTACGGTGTGAATGGGCCTTCCTCCTACAGACAAGCGGCGTTACATCATTCCCGTGCAGCAGTCGATCGCCGGTTCGTATCATCCACAGTGGCTGAAGAAACTGTGCAACACCAAATTACCGCGTATTTGATATAATGTAGTGCATCCTAAAAAACCTTAAAATTTGTATCATTGCAAAATTCGCATGAGCCCTAATCGTATTATAGAGATTATACTGTAATTGGTAGGCACTGTGTCTGTCATTCACATAAAATCAGGTTATCAGGCACTGATAGTAACATGATGCTTCATGTGACCACAATGTCTTTTGGGCCTGCTTTCCTGCTATTGTGTTTTTTCTTGTCTGCATGTGTGCTCATGGTTACACCACCGTAGAAAATTTATTCTTGCTGCAAACTAAAATATGCACTTCCTTAGCAGCATTTCTCTCTGTTTATGAGTTTGAACTGTGCCATCAGATGATGCCACCATCCTGGTTGCTCTGGAATTTCGGGGACCAAACAAACTCCCTGTTGACATTGTCATGACTTTCTAGCAAGTTACGTCACGCAGCACAAGCTTAGGTCTACTTTACTGATTTTACTTATTCATAATGCTTTATTGCCTAAGTATCGTATTTATTCGAATATAGGTCGACTTTTTTTTTCCGAAAATGTTGTTCATAACCAGCAATCGACCTATATTCATGACCAAAGAATCTTTACCTATATTCGCGATCAAACCAACCAAGAACACCGAGCTTATGGCGTTCAACTGCCGCACGTAACGGGATTCAACTCCCTCCTCCTTTTTGACTACCTAAGTAATTGAGAAAAAAGTTATTCATTCAGTAGTCGCATATCGCCCCCGCAAAATGCAGGCGCTCCGCCGTGTTTGCGATGAAACCCATGAGTTCCCTAGGTATTGGCCGTGAAGTCCCCAGTCCCTAGACTGCCTTCTGGCGTGCAGCCGCGCTACTGGCGTGAGGCCTCGCGCTTTGTTAATTGTACAATCGGCGTGACGGTTCGCATTTGCTTTAGGCGCTGCGCCATGCTCCCGACTGGCCTGCAGAAATCAGGCGCCTTCTTCTAACAACCACCACCTTTTAATTGTGTGTGGTTGCGACGATGTCACGTCACCAGAGCTACACAGGTGACTTCAAGTACCAAGTTATACTTTTTACCGAAGACTCGAGCATAATTGGGCCGTGCGGGGCGAGTTCTGTGTAAACGAGATGATCAGGGGTTGCCAAAAGCAGTGTGACCGTATGTTTGCATGCAAATGTCGGCTTCGTGCCTTTCGCAACCCAGCAATCAAATCGGCAGCGGTGGCAGCAAGGATGACGTCGTTTGGAAAGTCTCGGATGTTTGCGAAGAATTCGATGTCGACATCATCTTGCACTTCTGACAAAATGACGGCCCTGGCAGCGATTAGGGCACTAAGTTATGTAAATAAAAGTGTGCTACGTTTTAATTTGTCTGTTTCTAAACTAAGAAAAAACATTGGTTGACCTATATTCGAATATTTTTCTTTCTCTCGTAGAACACTATAAGTAGGGGTCGACCTATACTCGCGCCCGACCTATTTTCGAGTGAATACGGTATCTTTGATGGTGCTGCCATTCGCTGAGTAAATATTTCTGCACTATTTCCAGGCGAGACTGAAATACCTGCCTGGTTGGCTGATGATGAACAATTGCGACAAGTACTGGCAGCAGCAGATCGCCAGGTGAGATATTTAAGCCTTTTGTTGCAAAGTGAAGCTGAAGGGATAAACTGCACTCAGAACGCCACTCTTTTTTTCTGCTGCAGGCCTCAAAGCAGACGGTGGAGGAGAAGAAGACAGAAAAATTGCTCAAGAAAACTTCTCGGGAAATATACAGGTTGCGCAAGAGTCGTAAGAAACAACCTGACATGGCGTTCTTCAAGTACGTTGTTTTTTTTTTTTTTTTTGCTTACTATGGTTCAAAGTATATGTCCAAAGTTTCTTGCCTCAAAAATTTTGGTGCTCACGTTTGTGGTCATCAGCGGCCTTGTCCTCAAGCCCGGGTCAAGTTGTCAAAACTCGTGTTTGTGGGCACCAGAATCCATGTCCTTGGGCCAAGTTATCACTAGTAATGTTCATGGTTGTGTTTATCAGTAGCCTTGTCATGAGATCAAGTTATTGTTGCTCATGTTAGTGTGGTCAGCAGCATTGTCCTTAGGGCGAGCTATCACTGGTCATGTTTGTGGTCACCAACATCCTTGTTGTTCGACCAAGTTATCACTGGTTATGTTAGTGGTCGTTGTCATCAGCAGCCTTATCATCAGATCAAATCATTATTGCTCATGTTAGTGTCATCAGCAGCCTTGTCCTTAGTGCGAGCTATCACTGGTCATGTTTGTGGTCACCAACGTCCTTGTCATTCGACCAAGTTATCACTGGTTATGTTAGTGGTCGTGGTAATCAGCAGCCTTATCTTCAGCTCAAGTTTCTATCGCTCATATTAGTGCCATTAGCAGCCTTGTCCTTAGGCCAAGTACAATCACTGCTCATGTTTGTGGTCACCGACTTCCTTGTCCTCAAGTTGAGGACCTTTTTTTTTTCGCGTCGGCATTTCGCGTCGGCATTCGAGAAACATGTCGATACTGTTACCTCGAATGACTCAAGTCTGAACACTGATCCTGAAATATTGGGAGTTTGTTCAACGGGTATGTTTCAACACATACTGTGACTGCACGGGTTACTTCAAGGCAATGAATGCTTGAGAACAATCTCGTCTTTACATGTTACTTGAACGGAGCGTTATCAATAGCAGTAGGCAAGTAAATAATGCGTGCACCACTTTTAGCAGTCACAAACATTTTTCCTTGCTAGCCATGGCCCCTTGCAAAACGTTCTCGAGCCACGTGTCTGAAACCCCTGCTTTAACGTTATAGATTTTGTGCTGCCATGCGTGGGCCACATTTATGGGGACAAAATGAAAAAAAAAATGCCCATACTACATGAATTTAAGTTTGTTTTAAAGAGATCCTTGAAGTCGCCATTAAATTATTGCTCTGTTGTCTTTCGCCACAGAGTGCATCGTGAATGCAGCTTAGTGCTGCAGATTTTCTTTTACTTGGCTTAAGATTTCTGAGTGCATGTATTGCACAGTACTCTCGTATTTAAACGCAACATCAAATTTTTTAGTATAATGGCTGGTATGCACAATTGCTCATAACAACCATGTGATGTCATGACGAATCTAGTTCGGAAAAATAATGTTGCCTCTGATATACAAGTTCCAAGTCAATATTACTCCAATTTGACCCAAACTATAAATTGTCCTATTTCAGTTCATAAGAACTGTAAACCTAAGTAAATAGTATACCACTTTGCTCCAGCCTCGCCGCGGTGGTCTAGTGACTAAGATACTCGGCTGCTGACCCGCAGGTTGCGGGATCGAATCCCGGCTGCAGCAGCTGCATTTTCAATGGAGGCGAAAATGCTGTAGGCCCGTGTGCCCAGATTTGGGTGCACGTTGAAGAACCTCAGGTAGCCAAAATTTCCAGAGCCTTCCGCTACGGCATAGGAGCCAAACAAATGTGTGGCATGACGTTCACCTAAAACTTGTTGTCTCATTTTTTTGTTGTACTGTTTTGTTTTTGTTTTTTTACATTGTGGTTTATGGGCGCTATCCAAATGGTGTGCGGTTTTTCCCACCAGAGAAAAAATGGCCTTCTTCACGCGGGCCCAGTCCACCGTCCCCGTGCTTCCTCCCGAGGCAGACATCGCCGAGGAGGAAGGGGCGAGCACTCCAGGAATGCCTGCTGCCGCGTCCACCCCACAGCGTTACGAGTACACCGTAGATCCCGTATTGGGCGTGCAGGTGTGACATCAAGACACCCAAGTGCCTCGAGTCTATAATATAATGGCGACACACCGCCACGCCACACACTGAAACATCGATCAAAGTACGGCCTCGCATGAGGAGCAAGTCTCTCACGGGGCCAGCTAGCCATCGGCCGACCACCTGAGCCGAGCGCCTGGAGCCCGAGCGTCCCTTCGGAGCTTGTGTACGTACCTGAGACCACCTCAAACACCATAGCCGCCGCGCCGACCATGGCTGCCACTCTAAGGCCAAGCCAAGGTCAAGCCGTAGCCAGGCGGTGCCCAGCCTGCGTCCCGGTGTAACGGTTTCGGTCACGGACACTTAACGAAGCACCGCTGCCCACCAACACACGTCTTACCTCTTTGCCGCAGAAGTGCCTTACAGTTCTGTGCCTACTGTAAATTATTTGGATACTTTTTTTTTTTCTTGTGATAAAGTACAAAAAGGGATTGATGCTGTTGGCCTTACAATGTACAGGAAGGAGCCATGTGTAACATCACCACTATTTTGGACCGTTTTTGCATTGCTCCAACTGGCCTCCCGCACCAAGACATCTGTGCCTTGGGACACAACACCCTCTACTTTTTGAACAATAAAGGTAGAATGCTGTCGTATCGTCGTATCTGAAGGTTCTTTTCTTTTCTCTTTAGCTCTTTTGAGTCGCAGTATTTCCCAATATGTGCATATAGGTAAGCACAGGTATCTTGGTTGTAGATTGTAATGCAAGGGGTAACTTTTAATTTCATCCAAGAAGAAAAAAGTTATTATTTTAACTTTAAGTTGTTCAAGTGAATACGGTAGTTCCCTTTGTCTTTGCAGTACTGTTCCACACCCCCTACAAAAATTCTATGTGTGAAAGGAGGAGGCAATAGGTGCCACAGAGGTATGTTGGGTAGCTTGTGCATGCTCAAGGAAAAGAATGGCAGTCCTTGCGTTGGCTGGAGTTTTGCCTTTTAATTTTTCAATTCTACAGAGTGGATTCAGAGTACCTTAAGTGAACGAAATAGATGTTTTGCACATGAACATGCATAAATTATTTGTGAATTCAAATTGAAATGAACTTCAGTGCACTTCCCTTTGTAATTTCGTAGTTTCACTCAGCCTGATAGTTTTACGATAGCGGAGCACGCTATCCACAGCACCAAAGTTGCATTCTGTGAAGGCTGTAAAAACAAGCTTTTTATACCTACCATTGCCTTCTCGCACAGTGTGCTCTTGGTAAAGTGTAGAAATGTGTTAAGACCGTGGGTAGCTCTGTAGCCTGGGCAAGGTAAATGACATGCCATTAGTACCCATCGCACCATAGAGTTTTCTAAATATACACTAGAGGAATCTTTGGCGCTAGTGTCTATGGGAGCTTCAATGCATATGGCGCCTCAGCGAGCATGGGAATCATGGGTATGACATTCATTTGCCTAGTCTTCATACTTTACGTTCCTTCTGACTTCGCGTGGCTTGAAGCTGCTTTGTCACGAAAAAATAATCGGTAAATGTTTGGCAGTTGCGCTTCACCACCTTAATTTTTTAGGCTACCCCGTCAAATCGCGTCAACAAGTTAAAACGGTTTGTTCTTTCCTTCGAAACAAAACCAAAACACAGCAATTAAAGAAGCCACAAGTGCGATTCGCTGCCAGCAAGCACGAAGACTAGGCAAATTCATGCCATAACCATCATTCCCATGATCTCTGAATGATCGCAGCGCCAGTGTCCCCTCTAGTTATTTTAGGAAACTCTATGGCAAACACTACACGGACCTACTCCAAGCTTAAAACAGCTCTCCTGTAACAGTGAATTTTGCTCCAACATGTTTTTCCTTGCGCCATTCTGTGACCCTCCTTCCCCGTCCCACTTTGGAGTCTTTGGGATATGATCACTTTACATACGCTATATAATCACCGTGCATACGACGCATGGAGCCACGGCGACTCACTCTATTCTGTTATTACGCAGAACCTCACCACATATGCAGACACGCCTCAAAAACAGCAACCACAAACGAGGATAAGAACGTGTGTGCAGGCGGCCCCGACAGCATGCACCGTCGATGTTGTATAATCAGAGTTGTTCACTTCCCTTACTAGGCGTGTCCAATTTAATCGATTTCCCGCATACATGCTGGAAATACCCTACTAAGTCTGCACATCGAGCTATATCGTCCATAATAAAACAACAGCCATTATATTTAGTACGCCGAAGTATTCTCCACGCTGTCTTTTTTTTTTTCCTCTACGTTTGCGCGAGTGGGCGCCCGTTGCACCTTCTTTATCGATGCAAAGGTTATTAGGGGCGAGACGAAGCCACATCTAGAAGCGATATATTGCGCCTTCAGCAGTGCAGACACAATCTGTCATCAGCGTCCGACTACCCTTGATAATTGTATAATTCACATACTGTGGACTAGTACAAAAACGCGCATAACGGCGTCAACTCGTCAATTACAGTTTGATTGAGCTGTCCGCGAGAACCCTTATTACGCAGGCTGCGAATGAACGTCGTCCACGTGCGCAGATCCATAATGAGGACCCCTGCAATCGTCACTTCCGTCACGGAGCCAACATAACCTCCGCGGGAGCGCAAAAAAAAAAAAATTAGCTCCGAAGATCCGCACGTTTTCTCGAACGCAAAATTACACACGCAACGCTCTCCATGAGATGGCGAGACAGAGAAAAACTCCCAAGCATTTCCCCGAGGGTGAACATGGTTAAGTGCGAATACACGGGGTGATGCTATGAGGGGTATTCATTAATTCGCACTATTATATTTATTAATCACACCATAATGCCTTTATGGTGTAATGGTTCCTGGGAATCGCAATTTGATCACACGGGGGAGTTTACGTTAACGCACTGGCGAATGCCAACGGATTTTAACTTTACTCCCCCTCACGACCCGCTCTCGACGGGAGACTGAGAGAGAAGGCGGGCGCGCGAGAGAGAGGGGTGCGCGCGCAGCTGCAGCGAGCGAGGAGAGCGGAGGAGCGAGCGAATGGGGAGGGGGTATAAGGCGCGGACACCGATATCAGCGTCGCGTCCGTGGCTTATTCGGTAGAGCGCCGCGCTGCGGCCCGCCAAGTCCTCTTTCTTTTAAAGATAGAGAGAAGACTGCGGACGCCGCCGACGGCGGTGGATGGTTTGGGGTCGCTTATAAAGTGTATTCACACTTAAAAGACGCCGTCTCTACCGTCGCGCCGTTGTGGCCGAGGCGCCGACAAGTCCCGGCGCCCGCCTGCTCCGCTAGTGCAGTGAGAAAGCGCTAGGGGGCACCGTGGCTGGGGGCAATGGAACGAACGAAGCGGCCGTGCTGCATTGCATAGCCGCGTCTTGGGTGATTCTGACTGGCGATCACAGCGGTGTAGTTTCCGTGGTACTGAAGCTGTCGAAAGCGTCTGCATTTGGTGCGCGCGCGTCGTAGCCTACGAAAGCGTGGAACTGCGCGTTTCGACTGCTTGTAACGCATTACTGAGCTTTAAACGGTGTCTCAACGGCTGCTATGTATACGCGTCATGATGCACAAGTGAATGTGCAGGTGCGTTCGAAGAGCGTGCTGACTCTCAAAAGAAGGCTACAATCGGATTTCGCATAGGTGCACCCTGATTGATGTTCGTATTGCTAGCAGCACATCGAGCCGCGATACCATAATCGAATGCGAACGCACAACGAAGAGCGAAGAAGGAACAAAGCAGCTACGAAAACCTACAACACTTATGTTGACCGTCCCTTCGATATCTAGAGCATTGCTGCTTAGATGAGCTTCATTGCGCTCGACTGTTTCATGAGTAACCTGAACACACGCAAGGCTACCTCAATGTTTATGTTAGGGGTGGCTGAATGTTATCGTGCCAGTTTCGCACTGTTCCTTAAATGCCGAAAGGCTATCAACAGTGTGCTTCACAGTTACTGTACTCCAGTTTGTACCACCTCTGAAGGCTTAAAAATACCAGGCAGCCGAGCCAAAGGCACGCGTTCAGGGACCACACAGAACAAATTTTATACCTCAGGCCTCATCGCAAGCATGGTAAAATGCGCATATGTATATATAGCCAATCCTATTTCGTCTTTCTGGCGCACTTCATGGCGCCAGAACGGTGATTCACGTGACATCATTAGCGTACATGCTCTCGATCGCTGCATATCAGTTGTCAATTCAGTTGTAACAATATCAGTTGCCAATTGTCCCCCACCCGGCTTTGCCGCGCAGTCACTCGCAAGTTTTTTCCTGGTCTCGCATCATGCTTGCGATCAACTGATTTCGCTTTATTTCGTGCGTTTTTGACAAGCGCAAGCGCAGATGACGGGTTGTAGCCGACAAGCGCAAAATCCTGGTAAGTCCAACTCTTAGTGCCGACATTGCACCTTACGAAGAAATAAATGGCGAGGAGGCGGAACAAATAGAAGCGCGGTGGATCATTTGACTGTTCCAACAGAATAACTCTATAGCGGAGACGATGAAGCTATATATACCCTTCAAAAAGGCGTGCATTGTTTGACGGCTTTTTTTTTTTTCCACTAGATACTTAAGACAGGTTTTCCCCGCTGCCATCATTTTCTGTACGAAATTAATGCATCATAACGCTAGTGGCGGTCAGCCGGCAGAATCAATAAACGACGAGTGCCGATGGCTCATGGCGAGAGGCGCTTAGAACGTTCGAGTGCTTTTGGCCGGCTGAACGCGACGGCCACCGCTCTGCTTCGGCGTCTCGCATCTTTCCTCCGCTGTTCGTCTTCGTCCTCTCATTAAACTTGCAACGACGGCACGTCTACGTCACTCGCCGTCAGGTAGCTATACGTCCAAACCGATACCATCGCTAAGCGGATCGTATGTTCTACCCGCGAATAAAAAGCTCGCGTGTCTTGGCGAGGAACGCGGCTGAAGCAGAGATGAAAGGAGCGGGCCATCTCGGTCGCATGGATGGCGCATGCGGTAACATCATCCGCATGCTAGACCTGCCATCGCTTGCTCCCCCTGAAGAAAGAAAACGTCCCACCCAGGCAAAGTTTAGCAAAGTGTCGCAGCAGCGCCCCCCCCCCCCCTCTTGTTAGTCGTGCTATAGCATACACCAGAATACAGCGAGCTCAGTGCTTGCTGCCATATTGAAAAGCACGTGGCGCCATCTGTTGCAAGCGTGGCGAAGCAACAGCCTCAACTGCCACGCGAGCAGACGTTCTGCAAGTCAAACGCGAAACTTCACAAACCGAGTCCGGCTGTAAGCATGTTTCGTGCTGTTTCTGTGCTGGAAGTTTATGCTGATGTCGTGTGAAACGTCGAGGAGACCTTCATCGACAGTCCGGAATGTTAGCAGCTCGTGCATTGCAGACTACGTAAACTACTTCATCAGGTACGTACTATCCGACTTAAAGAAACGCGATCAGCGGAAAACGTTAACTGTAGTGTGCCTTGGCTGTGACAAGGCAGAATTTGTGCTGTAAGCTGGCGTCAACGTAGCGCTAGAATCTGGCTCCAACTTACCCTCATGCACCGCATGTGTATCAGTTGCCAGTCCTGCCGGGCACTCGGAACACACAGGTGGTGCAAAAGTGCCAGCCATAACAAGATTTTGAAATGCTGCGGTGACGCCGGCCGAAAGCACATGTAGATTCGCCTAGGGACAGTCAAGGCATGTCG